CTCCTCTGCTGAACAATCGGTGGATGATGTTGTCCTTGCTCCTTCTTCTGGTGATAGTGACAATGTTGATGTTGACCAAGATGCTGTGATGAGTGAAGCTCATGGTATCTTTGAGGATACTGACCTGGTGAATCGTGCCCAGTCTATTCTTCTTGAAAAAGAGATGAGTAGCATGTCTGTGGACGACGATACGCTACAAAATATATTTGCTCAGCAATGTAAGTTCGATGCTAGATTTAGTGCTCCACCTACTATGACCACCAATGCTATTTGTGTTCCTATTGTGGTTCAAAATGTCATTTGCTTTGGCTTAGTGGATACGGGTGCTACGTTTTCGTGCGTCACTGACAAGTTCTTTCAATTCTTAGGAGGAACCTCTCTTGCTGGATTTGAGGCTAATGATGATGATGAGAGCTTTGTTCAAATGGCTCATGAAGTAACGACTGTGCCTAGAATAGGTGCGGTACGTTTGCACATTAGCTACAATAAATCAAATAAAAACCATTTGTTTGAAGTATTTCCATTCTATTCTGAGGAAAACGTACCTGTATTGCTTGGTATGGATATTTTGTCCAAGCTTGGCATTGGTCTTACGGGCTTGGTGAGTCAACATGGCTTTCAATCAGGTCCTCGTGTACCAGACCCTATTGATGATGGTATTACTCCAAACGCACATCCTTTTGGTAGTGAGGAAGAGAGACAGCCGTTTCTACTTGCACTAAAGGGGTTATTAGAAGAGAATTCGCGCATTGATATGAAGAATACTCAGTGTAATCTGCCGGATTCGATTATTAAGCTTGATACTAAACCAGGTGCTGTCGCTTGGCGAGCTCAATATCCTTTGCCTGAAGCTTATCGTGATGCTGTTGCCAAACAAATTCAGATATGGCTTGATGAGGGTGTTGTTGAAAGATCTGCTAGTCATACACGTTTCAATCATCCATTGTTGGTTGTAAAGAAAAAGGACGCTGATGGTAATTACACAATGTCTAAGCCTAGAGTGGTGTGTGACGTTCGTAAGTTGAATGCTATCTTGGAAGTGGATGACAAACAACAGTTACCTTTGATCTCTCATATCCATCAGAGCATTGGTACAAAAATGATTCATACTTGTCTCGATATCCATGCTTGCTTTACTAGCTTTGGTTTGGATCCAGAGCAAGCTCATAAAGTGTCATTTACTTGTCCCTTCACGAATATCCAATACACCCATAAAAAGGCTGCTTATGGAATTCGCCATGTCGGATCGGTGGTTGTACGCACATTGCAAACACTGCTCTCTGATTTGAATACAAGCTCTGGTTCTACTTCGTTTCCTACTGATGGTGATCACTCGGTTTCCTGCTATGTAGATGACATCTTATGCAGTAGTAATGGGAGCCTACAAGATCACTATGCGTTGGTTGCTGAGGTAATTCGTCGTTTAACCGATGCTAATTTGGTGCTCAATCCTGAGAAAGTCGTCTTCGCTCAGCGTAGTATTTATCTCTTGGGATGGAGTGTTATTAATGGTAAATTACTGCCTGACGGTAGAAAACTTACCAACATTGCAGATTGGCCGGCTATTACCACTGGTCGTCAATTGGCATCTTTCTTGGGTTTAATGTCGTACTTTCGTGCTGCCATTCCATGTTATTCTCGTCTGACTCGAGATCTTGATAGCTTGAAACAGTACAAAGATCTAACAGATGTTTGGAATGAGTCTCATACAAAAGCGATTGCCGACTTGAAGGATGCACTTACGATGGCACTTGTGCTGTCACCTCCTGATTTTTCGATTCGATTTCACTTGGCTACTGATGCTAGTTTAACTGCTCTTGGCGCGGTTTTATATCAAGTGGTCAACGATGAAATTCGATATGTAGGTCTCGTATCTCGTAAATTGTCTGTTTCTGAGCGTAACTACAGTACTACGAAAAGGGAATTGCTAGGGATTTGCTATGCCTTGGTTAAGTTTCATCGTTTTCTGTATATGCGAGAGTTTACCTTACATACGGACCATAAGAGTCTGATCTACTTGAATACACAGGAAGTCCCCAATGCACTCATGCTTGGATGGTGGGAGACCATTTTTTCTTATACTTTCGATATTGTGCATTTGCCCGGTGTCCTTAACGTAATTCCTGATGCTTTATCTCGACTTTACGAAGATTCGGATGCTGATGCTTCAGCACGACATCTTCTGGGGGGCAGGTACTATGCTGATGGTGGTGAAAGTGTAAAAAGAAAGAAAAAGGGTTCCAAAAACAAACTCAAGGTTGTCACACCTTCGCCTCCAATGAAACGTACTTTGGTCAAGACAACTAAGGCGTTACGATCTAATTCTTTTAGCAACCATGCACGCACTGCGGTAAACGCTACTCTTATCAAAGATGGCACCACCACAGCTGTCTCGCAAAAGCAAAAGGAATTCATATTGCGTACGCTTAGGTTTGCTGACTATATCACTCCTCCTGCTAATGAAAGAGACAATATGATCATTGCTCAGCATCTGGTTGGACATTTTGGGATCAAACATGTTGAAACTGCAATTCATCATGAAGGGTTTCACTGGGTGAACATTCGGAAAGACATAGAAAGAATATTAGCTGATTGTGACGAGTGTAACAGGTACAATATCGCTAGAGAGGGATATCATCCTTTCCGTAGTGTCAATGCAGCCCAACCTTTGGATCATTGGTGCATGGATCTCGGTGATATGGGTGTTACTAGCTCTTTCGGCAGCAACTTTCTATTTGTCCTTACTGATTACTTTACGAGATTTACTGTGATAAGATGCATTCCAGACAAGAAGGCTACGACAATTGCCAGGGAAATGCTTCAAGTTTTCTCACTTTTTGGATGGCCAATCAAGTTGACTTCAGACAGAGGCCTGGAATGGATAAATGAGGTGGTCCGTGCTATGATGGACATCAGTGGGATAGACCATCGCCTGTCATTAGGGTACAATCCATTGGGTAACTCGGTTTCTGAGTCATTTATCAAAATATGTAAGTTAACGACTATCAAGTTGTTAAAAGGTAAGAGGGATCAATGGGAGCACTTCATTCCGTGGGTGAATTACTGCATCAATGTCAAGTATGCTCGGTTACATAAATCTCGTCCGTATACACTTTTGTTTAATCGTCAACCAAATGGTCTGGCTGATTATTCAAAGGTGGACTATTCCAAACGTTTGGAGAAAGCTGATAATAGACTCATTGACAAACGATACCGTTTTGTACAAGATGTTCTTATCCCGGCTATTTCTAAGCGTATTGTGGATACACAAAATGCTGATCATGCTAACTTTGCGAAGAAACATAAGGTCATTGCCGAACCCTATCCTATTGGTAGTAAGGTTATGATTAAAAATGTTCATCGTCAAAATAAGTTAGATGAACGGTATGAAGGACCTTATTTGATTCATAGTATAACCGATAAAGGTTCCTATGTGCTGGCTGACAAGACGGGTGCACTCCTTAGTCGAGATGTGCCTACCCATCATATCAAGTACCAAGTCGCTGCGAATCCTCAGCCAATCACAATTGATGAATTCTCTGCAGAGCATTACGAAATTCAAGCTGTGATTGATCATAGAGGATCTCCTGGTAACTATGAGTATAAGGTAAAATGGAAAGGGTTCGATGATCCTAGTGAAGATACTTGGGAGCCTGTGAAAAACTTTGATTCGGCCAAACACATTGAGTTGTATTGGGCTCGAAGAGAAGGTGCAAAGGCTGCTGGTAAACGTAGGTTAGCTCCTCAAACAGTTAACTGGCGAACTACTACTACTCGCGAAATTGGTCAGAGTGGTAGATCAAACAGGTCTTAAATGGCTACTAGCATGATGGGATCAAGTCTTTTCCTTACATTTTTGTCCTATGAAAGGTTTTTACACAAGGTTTTTACTGACTGATCTCGGATGCAGTGTCATTTGGTAATTATTTATTGGAAAGTGCTTTATGTGCTATATTGTCATGATGTTTTGTAATCTGGGATTACGAAATGTCCACAAGAAGTACCTGAATCTGGGGGGGCAATGTTGTGCCAGAAGGGCTACAACTGTCTATAAAGATTAAGGTATTCTTGATGGGTAGATATGTCTGTGTTGTGCAACAACATGGACAAGCTATGATAAGTGAAGTGCATCTCAGCTATCTAAATACTGAGGTTCACCAGATGTGATAAGCGTTGTACAAGATAAATTGCTACTTTGGCATTCAGAACTTAGTATAAATAGAATAACTCTTGTCTTCATCAATAAATCATTAGTTTTTGTGTCTGATCTTATTCAAATAAGTCTTTTCTTGTTTTTATAATATTGAACATTTTTTATAAGCTACAAATAATAATCCTTTTATTCTTTGTGCTTAACACCAAATATTGATGCTAGAGCCTTGAAACTAACATGTTCCTATACCAGTTTTTGTGTAGAAAATGATGATGTACATGAATTTTAGATTGGATATGTTGAGGATGATGTGGAAAAGATAAGAGAAGCTATACTCAATATGGATTATACAAGCGCAAAGAAGGAAATCAAGTCCTTCTTTACATTGGCTTGCTGACGGAATTGCTAGTCTCTTGCTAGATACAATGCTTGTTGAGCACAATTTAACTGAATTTGTGTCTCTATCAATCTTTGTTGCTACTATTTAGGGGCAGCCCGCAATTTTTTGTTTTTGCTTACAGTGCGCTCAGGAATCGTTTGATCATCAATCGATGGCTACATTGACATACGTGCTCTTGTGGGGATATTTTTGCGGATGAAACTCTAATAAAGCACTTGTGCTGTTTTCGGGTCTTCTCATTCATAGAGTTAATTAAAGATTTACATTCATATAGCTCAACGATTACTTTATGTGCACGCATCATGTCCATAATGGTGAAATGTAACTTGTCCTAGAAAGATTATGCTGAGGAAGCGTTCGGACTGCAAATTACCATTTTCTCAACATTTTCCATTTTTCTTTTTGAACTGTATCTTTTTCTTTCGCAAAGCTATCAAATACTCTAATATGGACACTATACAAAAATCATGTCAAGACATGCAAAAGAAGCAAACAGTAATGCAAGACACAATTCTCGACAGATTGGCTTCTTTCAAAGAGCTATTGGAGAGACAGAAACAATCACTTGCAACTGGTAATTAGTGCAGCATAAACCACCATAGAGATATGCTAAGTATTAGCAAATAACAGATAACAGCAATCCAGAACAAAGCATTGTAGATATTAAAGATGCTGCAAAAACATTGCAATTTCAGAAACCACAAAAAGAATTCGAAACTTGCTTGAAGAAGCTGAACAAAGACTTGGAAAGAGTACATATCGCAATTCATGTTACGGGAATATTATGATTAACAAAGCGTATTAGAAATTCAAGCAGGATATCTCTGTCATTTATCATCCAGAAGCGTTTGCTGGAAAGGAAGACTTGATATTTCGTGCGTTAGCATTGCACTTTATTCGACAAGGAAAATTTGAGTTGTGTGATGAATTCATGGACGAGGCTCAAGTACCAATTGATGATGATTTGCGCTCGACTGTGGAACATCTAAAAGCCGAATTTGAACAAATGTACACTGTTTTGAATCAGTTGGATAAAGAAAATGACTTGACATCTGCAATCAAGTAAGGTCACCGAACATCTCTTCTTGTTAATCTGTACTAATGCTTGTATAGGTGGACAGAAGAACATCATGAGGGTTTACGCAGATTGGGGAGTTCTCTCGAGTTCAACCTGCATCGTATGAAATTCATCCAACTCTTGTTGGCTGGTGATGCGCTGGGGGCCATTAATTATGGTAGAACACACTTTCATCATTTTGGTGAAAAGAACTATCCTGGTAGGTTCAGTGCATCTCGAGTGCGGACAGTGTATTGACATAGTTGTAGAAATCAAGAGATTAATGACAGCATCCTTGTATATAAACGATATATCAACCTCTCGCTATGCTGATCTATGCTCGCCATCGAATTGGAGTGAAATCAAACAAGAGTTTCAAAGGGATTTCTGTTCACTTTTGAAGATGAGCTCAGAAAGTCCACTTTATACCAGGTGAGCCTCATATTATTTATAAAGAATCCGTCTTACTGATAGCAATCTTGCAGTGTTTATGTTGGCACAACAGCGCTACCAGTGATTATGAAGCTATTCACCATCATGGCAAGCAAGAGAGCAGAATGGAGCGCACAGGATGAATTACCAGTTGAAATTCCTCTTGATGAGGAGCTGAGATACCATTCAGTGTTTGCTTGTCCAGTATCTAAAGAACAAGCAACAGATGAGAATCCTCCCATGATGATGCCCTGTGGTCATGTCATTTGCAAAGAGAGTCTGACGCGATTATCTAGAAACAGCAGAGCTGCTGCAAGATTCAAATGTCCATACTGCCCCTCAGAATCATCTATAGATCAGGCTGTGCAAGTTTATTTTTAATAAAGATACTTTTTTTATATTTCAAAATTTAATCAAGTTTTTTAGCTTTGTACAAAACAATGTAGGCAGTATGCCAATCTCCTCCACCATCAAGACGCTCGATATCAGCATCCTGAAGCACAGAAACCTTGTCATCATCAAATTTGTGCCATTCATTGGGACCCTTCTTGACCCAAGCGATGTAATGGCCAGAATCAGCAGAGCGACCAACGTGTGTCAAAACTGCAGCGAGTTCGTATTGACCAGTGGGATTGCATCCAACGTCCTTAATGAGCTCAGGGTCCAAGTATTCAGTCCAATCAACCTTTCCTTCATCAGTATCCATAGGATCATTTTTGCTTGCATCAGTGGCGGTGGTAGTTGAAGTAGCAGCAGTGCTTGATGAAGCAGCATTGATATCGTTGTTCATCTTTCTGCGCTTCTCATCTCTTTCCTTGGCAATCTTTTTATCCTCCACTTGCTTGATCTTCAACTTTGCCTTGGTAAATTTGTTTTGGAGTTCAGGTGTGCAAATTTCGGTTGCATCAAATTCAAGGGGGAACTTGACTTTACGCAGAATTTTGGCCTTGACTTGCTCTTGAGGCTTCCAGAAGAAACGAACAAACTGAATTGGCAAGTATTGAGGAAGGCGACTGACACGGGATTTACGAATATATTTAGCGGTGCGATTCAATGTGGGAGACGTCTTTTCCAATTCTTCGTTTAATGACTCCAAAATGCCGTTGATCATGTAGTTGATACCTGTTTGATATACGACTTAATATAAAATGCTAATTTAAAGCAACCCTTCAACTTACTGATAGAAATATGACAACTCAATTTGTTGAATGAGTCAGTGGATATGACTTTATCCTCCTCAGGAGCCTCCTCACAAGTAGTTCTAGCATGAATTGCATCAGTACTCAAATCAAACGAATAATCCATCAAAACTTACTCTGTTTGCAACTGACCGGTCATGTAACGCTCGATAAAATTCTGCTCTGATTCTTCCTTGGGCAATTTAGCTTTCAATACAGAGACAAGTTCACTCCAGCATTCTTCAGCATCTTGTTGCATAGGGACACCGCCTTGGCCTGTTTGAGAGAATTGAGGGAATGATTGACGAAGCATCTATAGCAGAGAAACATCAGTTTATGCCACGCAAGTTTACTGTGTCAACTCTTGATCTTACCTGCCAGAAAACCAGAGGTGGGAAACCGTCAGACACCTTGTTGAGGTTGACAAAAAGATCACGCAGACTAGCAACCAAGTTACCACGGTTATCAACTCCATTCAATCCACCCTGATACTTTTCCAATGAATTTTGAAGTTCTGGCATAGCACGCATACATTGCAGAGTTGCATTCTATGGAATAATGAGACACTAGTTTGAGATGTCATCCAGCTTTGCTTACCATGTAACATGTATTTCCAAGGTTTTCTAATCCAGGAGGAATGTCCAACTATGATGAAGGTGTTAGAGTGATTTTCTAGTGCATGCGTAGTCGACCTTACAGCTTCGGCGACTTCAGCATCTGTCATGTCTTCCAAGAATTGAACGGGCTTTGGAGGTGGTTTGGAAAGCTCGCCTGCAGTACCCATCATCATGAAGCTATGGCCCTATTGTCGGCTTGTGTAAGTATTCTATCCCTCATTCTGCTTGTTAGCCTATTTACATCTTTCAGCCCTAATTTGTTCAAATCCGTGTCGTCCTATCATTGCAGTAGCCTGTTAATTCACTTTTTACTTTTGCATACCGTTGCACTTGATCACTATACCTTTAAAAGGCCACCTTTGACCATGATCTTTTGACGTTCAGGAGGTACGCCGGTTTGTGAGTAGATTTGAGTCTTGAAGAGTTCAGCAGACTCATCGGTGTCTGGTGAAAAGGTTGGTGTTTATGAATCTCCATGTAGCTTTGCGACTTACCCAACTCCAAGTTCTCGAACTTCTTGCCGCTCCACTTGATTGTAACGTTTAATTTAGGCATATTTTCAGTTTCTGAAGTAATTGAGAAAGAAGAGACGCGCGTATATTACTCATTTCGGATCCAGTTTTGTAACTTGTTTTGTCAGGCTTCATTTAGCATCCGATGGACCTAAAAGAATTTGGATGCCTAGTCATTTTATTGGGAATGGAGTATGCACTATTTGGAAATGACTATTTGATTTTGCATAGAAGCATATTAATGGAAACTCTAGAGAAATCTTGAAAGCCTTAAGAAAATATAATTTTAAATTTAAAACAAGTTACATACAAACTTTGGTTCTTGATTTGACACTAACTTAGCACTGATTATACATCATAGCCCAACCAACAATATCACAGCCGAATTATATTACTCAGGCTTCGAATTTGATATCTGATAGTAGGGGTAGTTGGCAATTACAAAGTTTTCCTCTGCCTGTCATCCTAGGAGGAGGGTGGATAATATCACCACGTCGTCGATCTGATGACTCTATTACGTAAGCTTGGTCGTTCATGCAAAAACATTTAGTACCGGACAAGGCTCGAAACCCTTTACTTGCATCTACAAACATGCCCATGAAACCTCGGGTGAAGAGAAAGAACGGCAAGCCTGAAATCATACCAACGAGGATGCACACATTTGATTCAATCTTCAAACGAAATTGGAGCTAATTTTTGGTGAAGATAGGCACACTCGAAATCTACCAACTGTCAATGAGATGGCGGCCATTATTTCTAATGAATATTCTGATACTAGTTCTAACGATATATGCATCATTTACCAAAAAAGTATTTTAGTCAGCGGCGATAGTCTCTTTAAAACAAATGAATCAAACGCATACTGCCTACATGCCATGTTGTAATGCTGTAAATTATGATTAGGAAGAGGCGATTACATATATTTTGGTGGTGAGTTGGGCTGACTACATTGTCAGACATCAAAATGCAAAATTATTTAGATCAAGTGATAATTCTTTCTTCCGAATTCATGATCCCCATTTAATTCTGCATCCCAATCATCATTGTTATCATTAATAAGGCATTTGAGTCAGCCAGCAGCGCCAAATTTTATTCGAACTCAGACTATTCTTTTCTGCTCAAAATTGGCCAGATCTCTTCTTTTTTCGACTTCTTTAATCTATTTTGCGAGATTCGATTCTATAAGTTGTGATGATCAGCCCATACTTCCTAATACATTCTAAGAATACTTTTCAATGCGCTTCCAATGGTGCAAGTAAAATGGATGTTTTGACTGGAACTATTGAGCAATTCCAGAAAATATGGAATAAGGTTTTTGGCCAAAATGTCAAAGATTTGCATATGTAAACCTCATAAACGTGGTTTCAGAGGTTGCTTTGAATCGAGAGGAACATTTTGATTCAGTATATACCATAGTAAAAGTCTTCATTTTCAATGTGAAAAACGTGATCGTTTGATTTTCGTAAAAAAGCATGAGGTACCCCTCATGCTTTTTGGTCGATTTTTGGCCATGTTTTTGTTGGTCTCAAAAAGTTGAGCAAAGGTGTCAGAAAGTTACTACTACTCAAGTGCAATTATTTGGTATCATTCCGGCGGCTCAGGAAGGTCTACATGTCAAGATATGAAGGCTCGAAAGTCGTTCAATTTGGCTGTGTTAGCCCGTTCAAAGGTACCAGTTCAATAGATATATCAAATTTCACCAATTGCATCATAGCAGCGTGGCATCCGAAATCATTATAACTGATATACGCTTAATAGGGAACCCAAGCATTTTTGAGTACATGCAACGATGTGGCTTCAAAAGCTATTAAAACGCGTATTCGATCCCTATTGTTTCTTTTTTTTTTTGCCTTTTTCTTTACAGATATTGCTGCTTGTATGGTGAGTTCTCGGATGATTGTGTTTGCCTAAACCAGAACATACGTTTGATGGACAGCGATCAACTTGTTCTGTAGTATGGACAAGATGGCTTTATTTATCAGCGGTAATTGACACCATGGTATCTTTTGACTGAATTTGCAATTAGAGAGCTCGATTCGCAGCATCTTTTTCACTTCTTTGTTTATTTTTAGATTGATTGTAATATAAGTCAACTCATTAGAAAGGTATCTATTCAGGCTTTTGTATTATACCATAACCTGAAAGACTGACAAATGATGTAGCAATTTAGACAGTGCAAATGGCAACACCCTTTTAGCACGTATAAGTTCAGAGTGCGTTGCTCGCTAAAGGCTACGCCGTTTAGGACGCGATATACCACCCATTACTACATAAACAGGCGGAAGTCATTACTTGTATTGATGCAGGTTTATATAGGATTGCCTCTGGAATGATATAATTAATCTCGCTATGACCCGTCGCGAAGCTAATAACCTTGCTTTACACGAAAATCAGCATGCCCCTCCTGTTTCTTTCACTTTGAGATCCAACGAGAGATTCCACATTATTCAAAAATGCACAGCTAGATCACTGATACACAAGGACGACAGCATCCAGGAAGGACCTCTTGGTTTACCACTAATTACTATTAAAAGGAAGTTCGCTCTCATCTTACCCTCTATTGAAGAAGCATTTGATGAAGATGGATCCAAACCACAAATTGCTGAGGGGGCCAAGGCCAAACTAGAAAAACCAGAGAGAGAACCAAAACCAAGAGAAGGCCCCAGCAAGAAAAGACATCCTGCTGAAAGGGAGCCGCCACGAAGAAAACGCTACTTACAAGAAGGATTTGGCCAACAATTAAGAGTCTAGTATGATGGAGGAGAGGGTGATAAAGGGGGAGCTTGGGATGATGGAGAAGCTTGGTATGGTGAACATTCAGCACGAAAACCAGCTCGCCGGCCAGCACAATACCCTCTAGCACATTCATCACCTCCAGTCCCCCCCATCATCACCGGCTTCCACAGTACCAGTGTCTTCCACATTAAATTCATCCATCAACAATTAAAGCTCGCCCCATTCTCAATTTTTATTAATTGTATATAATCAGGTGCCATTCTTCATTCATGATGTAAAGAGGCTCTTAATTCATACACCCCTAGTAAACATAAGACACGTCTTGGCCATTGCGATGCCCATTTGAAGCCTATTAGCAGAGTCTTGCTAGGTGTATCAGATCTATCAAATGCTAGTGTTTGCAATACATTTTGGTCTGGGTCAAATCATGACGTACACTTTGTACAAGTTCGCAACATGTATCATTGGAACTCCTCAGTCCAAAGGGCACAAAAACTTGTTGCCTCTTGATTTCTTTGGAGAGGCTTTCTTTCTTCTTACTTTTAAAAACACCTATAAAAAAGAGTCGCAGCTGTTGTAAAATAAATCTTTTTCTCTGCCTCTCTTCCACATCTACATACAAACCCCTTTTCACTTGATAGCTCTCTCGCACAGATTTGAAAAAGAAAGAAACACAACAAAAGGTTTGTTTAAACCCAATGCGGGCGCTTTGGGATCAACCGACTCATCGCAATGTCATCTAGTATAACATTATTCACACACTCGCGAGCAATGAAGATTAAGAAATCACCCTCCAAAAAGTTGGCTCCATTGGTAAGCCATAGGGTGCCATGTAGCCATTGTGATATATACATCTAACATGTTTGAAATAGCCACGTCAGCTGAGTGACTTGATAAGACGCTTGGAAGTAGAAGAGAAAGAGCATATCCCCAGCATCATCCGAGAATTGAGCTCATGGCCGTATGCCAGAGGTGATCTATTCCACTGGGTCGCCGCGCTCGACAGATTGGATGCTATTCTGCTCGACATTTGCACTGAATACAACCTCAAAGACATACAGACAAAGCCATTTGATGACCAGACAAAAGAGCTCATCCTGTCCATTATTGATCTTGCGCGTATACTGTTTGAGAACTGTACCAACAGAAACATTTACAACTCATACGAGGTAAGTCTGGTGTGCGTGTGTGCAATGGCATATGGATTGACTGACGCTCTGGCTAAAGCACCTCAACATGTTGCTAAACACATTTGATATGGATGTCTTGGAACAAGTGCTTCATTTCCTGATTCGACCAGCTCAGAGAATCAACAACCCAAAAGCAATTCGTTCATCCTTTGTGATTCCTCAAGATAAAATTGTAGAATTGGCTCGAGGATGGAGTCATGTACCTGTAGAGCTGTTACGTATTGCACAGGATCTGACTGTTACACCTAAAATGACGACTTTAAATCTCCAATTCTATCGTACAACCACAACGGAAGGCCACCAAGTCATCACCGAAAACATGGCAGATCAAACATTTCAACACAAGGAGGATGTGGACGTGTTTATGGATCTCGTCCAAAAGTACAATGTGCCCAAAGAGTCTCAGTTTGAATTGGCAAACAGAATTAGGATCGCAAAGCACGTCAGTGACCCTGAAAAGAGGCAACAGCTGCTTGGTATCCGTATTTTAGCCATCACTGTGATGTGTATGTATATCCCTAGCATCCGATATTGTAGAGAAGCATCTAACATATCATCTTTACAGCGCATGCGATCTCTGAAACCACTGCACAAAACAAGGTCTTTATTTATGAACCTTACTTGATTTCGCAGCTAGCAGAACTGATCTCTCCTGAGAAACAAGCTGATACCGTATGTGGATGATATTGCTAATGCTGCTGTGGACATACGCACTAACTTGTATGTATACTAGACTATTCAAACCTATGTATTATACGCTCTCGATGGCATCGCAAGACACCGCAACAAACTGTCTGAAGTCCTGATTGCTGTCAATGCGTCTGCCAACCACGGCACCATGATGCAAATCCTGCGCAAAGCCAATTTGAATGAAGCATATCCTCAGTCCTTCTTGGACGCATTATTTACATTTGTGTCTTTCCTATTACAAACGCAACCAGGTGGGCAAATGCTCATGTCGGCAGGCATTATCCCCACGCTTGTTCAGATTGTTGGAAATTATCAGTACACGCAACTCAAGAACGTAGCCAAAGTGGTGGGCCTTATTGACACCATTGTCAACTCATTCGCTACGTCGTTTTCGGCTTTCTGCAATGCCAATGGTTTGGACACATTGCTGAACCGCATCAAGGTAAGATTGAGTGGGGTTTTGTGTATATCTATATCCGTGCGTAAGTGATTAAAACGTGTGACACTAGATGGAAATTGAAACTTGTACAAAGAGTGCCATGCCAAATGAGACTCAGCTCAATGCAACCAACACGGCTCCCTACGATAGACTGTCTACCATTAAAGCCATGCTCAAATTCCTGTTACGCATGATGGGATCTTCAGGCACAACAGACGGACTTCGTAACCTGATCGACTCCAGTTTGCCACAGTCATTGAAGCTCATCATGGAAAATCCCAAGCTCTTTGGCAACGGTATATTTGCCTTAGCCATTAATGTCAGTACCACATTCATCCACAACGAGCCCACTTCGCTGCCCATCTTGCAAGAAGCCAAGCTCCCACAAAGCTTCCTACACACCATTTCCACCTACGATTCACCCAATCACGAAGTCCTGATGGCAGCTGTGAATGCATTTGGCGCCATGTGCCTGAATGTGCAAGGACTCGACATGTTCAACACAGAGAAGCCCTTGCCGCACTTTTTTGACCTGATGACATCGCATGATTTCTTGAGAAATCCAATGGACGTAGATAGCGCAACTGGATTGGGGTCTACTATGGATGAGCTGATTCGACATCATCCCTCCTTAAAGCCCTCAGTATTTCAGTGTGTCACATCTCTTATTAAAAAAGTAATTGAAATGGGTTCTGATGTGAATGGGGTTGGAAAATCAAGTGATAATAGTCATTTACTGCAAACATCGTCTGAAGACGCCGCCATGTCCACAGCTACTACTTCTGCCGCCACCACCACCAAAACAACAACAACTGCTACAAAGGAACAAGGAGAAGAAGAAGACAAGCCTGAAAAAGTAGAATGCTTACTCGTATCGTTCATTGATTTGGTCTCTCGTTTCCTTGAAGGTCTCTTCCAAAATCAATCTAATATCAAAGAATTTGTCCAAGAAGGCTGCCCTGAAATGCTGCTCAACTACTACGCTTTGCCTCTGCTGCCTGCAAACTTCTCAGTAACCATTGCTTCAGACTCGCTCTCGTATCTGTTCCGCATGATCAGCGAAGTCAGCCCTCTGCCTACCGTGCTTGCCATTGCTGCCAAGGTCAAGGAGTCTATTCGCTTTATCACAGACCAGACAGGCGATTACCAAACGAGCACCTTGATGGAGTTTGTGGATGTGAATGCAACAGAGACTGACAAGGTTGCACGAGGAAATCAACACTTGCGCCAAATGATCCAGTTGCATGGCTATGTTGGCCTCTTGTCAAACCTTTGTTGTTCAGCCCTGTTATCTCATGGTAGAAACGGTGCTTCTCTGGTGACCGAGTTTCTCTCTGAATCAAAGCAAGAAAACATCATCCAGCTCCTGGGTCAACTGCACAGACACATTGTATGGGAAAACATCCTGCTGAAAGAAGCTTTGCCTCCTGCTTGGTACGCTGTTAAATCCTCCTCTTTCGCAAATGGGCTTGGCGCCCTGAAAATGAATCCTGCTAGCCTGGCCGAGCATCCACTGGGCATCTACAGTACAAACACGCCAACAGAAGCATCTGCCACCACATCTGCATCTACCGCAGCTGGTGCTGAAGAGGTAGCCTCTTCCTCTGCCAAACAAGATGAAGCCTCCAAAGACAAGATGGATGAAAACGCACCTTCAGCCAAAGATCCTCGTATGGTCAATATTAAGCATTTCAAGATTCTACTTGGCGAAATTCCTCAACTCCTGGTGCCCGTTTTCCAAGCCCTGATCAAGGTCTCTCTCAGTCGTCGCACTGGTAGCGCACTTCCCAAATCCCAAACTATGAAGTTGGCTGAATACATGTCAGATATCTTAAAGGACAATATTACGTGGCCTCCCATCACTCAAGCTACTGCTCCTGACTGTAAATACGATTATTTGACATCTGTTTATACCATGACATCGCTCCTTTTGAGAGACGAACGCACACAGTCATCGCTTCAAGCACCGCTTGCTATTGCTTTTGAGAAACAAGGTGGTATTGATCTGCTGTTGGGTAATCTCAAGGACATGTGGACAGCGGCTCAAGCATTGTATCTAGAACAGGATAAGGAAAAGCACAAGGAACTTACTACTCGCGTCAACAGCAGCATAGAGAGTCTCTTGAACGTGCTGCTTCATATTAGCTCACCAAAGTCATTACGAGACTCTGCGTATACAACCACACTGATTCAAAAGGACAAGAAGGCAGAGGATTACTTTGATCCTTATGAATGGATCGTCTGCCTGGAACTCAAGCTTATTCCTCTCAAAGACTACTTGACCTGTCCACAACTGCACTTGTTTTCCAAGGCAGTCAACCAGATACTGATCAAGATCTTCCAGCAAATCATGAAGGGAGAGGGCAGTTTTGCTAGCCTGTCTTCTACAGCAACATCCACGACTCGTGGTGCAGGTGCTACTGTAGGTGATCCATTTGGCAACTTTACTGCACCACTCATGACTTCACCTTTTACACTGTTGCGTACGCCAGTTGTTGCTGCTGAGCGCAATATCCAAACACTGGTCGATATGGGTTTCGAGAGAGCGTCTGCTGAGCAAGCACTTGTTCGCTGCAACAACCAAGTCTCTCGTGCTGTAGATTATCTGTTCAGTCATCCCACACCCATCTTTGGTGGCTCCACCACGGCAACTACCACGGCAACCACCACGCCTCCAGCTCCTCCAGCAACAGAGACCTCTTCTGAGGCTGCTCCAACCAACAGCAACACACAGGAAGATGCTCAGATCAACCAAGAAGCATCGAGTGATGATGACAACAACGATGACGACGAGGAAAACAATGAGGATCACAATGATAATGAGGATGAGCATGAGGATGATGGGGATGATGACGACAACAGCTTGCATGACTCTGACAACATGGAAGGTGTGATTGATACGTTTGTGGAATCCTTGAACAACGACTATAGACTGGATGCTGCTACTTCTGGTCTGCGTCGCTCTCTCTTCAACAGCATGGGCGGTGGTGGTAGTAGTAGTAACGAAGCGAGTGGTACTCCCGACAAGGAACCATCAGAGCATGTCAAGGAACTCAAGGCTGTGCGTCAATCCCTGTGTGAATTGCTGCCAGCTGCACTTTTGGCCTTGGCTGATCAGCGTGAAGATTTGGTGTTTGATGTCCGTGATTTACTCATCTTACTAGGCAAGTATGACGAGGAAGAGCAATCGCCTGAGAACAAGCGCATCGATACCACCAAGACGTCGCTCAACATCATATCACTGCTGGTCGATCAAATTGGAGAGATTCGTGATGACAGCTCCAAGTCTGTGCTGCTCAGCAATCGTCTCCGTCTGTTGGCCCTGTTATTGCGTGAACCTCCTATGCAAAATGCCATGAACCAACTGGCAGACCGCTTCTCCTTTTTGTTTGATATGCTCAACTTTTCTAGTCTCGGTCAAGACGATCCATTGCCTGCCTGGTCTGCCACCATCTTTTTGGTCATTGAGGCCTTCATTGCACAAGCAGATGAACCTAAGAAAGCCAAGCTCAATATCAATTCTCGTCGTGGTGGTATGTTCTTTTCTTCGTCTGCCTCATCCGATGACGACGACAATGAGCAAGAGAATGCTTTAAAGCAAGATGCAGACAAGAGCAAGGAAGCTGATGATGATGAGGATGTCGCTATGGAAGATGTAAATGCACCCAGCACAAGCTCAAGCTCAAGCTCAACATCCAAAGCTGTAGGTATCTCGGTGGAGCAACGTAGCAAGTTACTGCAATGCTGTGTCTCTCTCTTGCGCAAGAGCAAGTTATCTCGAGATGACATTTATGCCATCTTGCGTATGATTGTTCGTTTGACCAAGGACCATGAATCCGCACTTCACTTTTTGGGTATTGGTGGTGTACCATTGCTATTTTCCAAGCCTCGTTCCAGTCTGGAAGGCTTACAAGGCCAACAAGCGTTCATCATTCTGATTTTGCGTCATATTGTCGAGAGCAAGGCTGTGTTGCAGAGCACGATGAAGGATATTATCACCAACTGGTTTACTAACCCTCGTCCCCGCAATATGGATATTAGTTCCTTTGTTCGCAGTAATGCCCATGTTGCTTTGAGAGAGCCGGAGGTGTTTGTTCAAGTTACCACTGACATTTGTCGCTTGGCCAGATACGATGAATTCGAGATCAACCATCAGATCAAGCTAAAGAAGCAGGAGGATGACAAGCAGGACGCAGACAGTGGCACCACCGCCATTACCAAACAAGCATCATCATCTGAAGTCGTCGTCTACTATCTGTTGAATGAAATCATGACTGTACGCACAGAAGCCACGGCTGTGGCCAGTAGAAAGGAGCCCCTGACAGATGAGCAAAAGAAAGAAGAAAACATCAAGTTTGTGTACACTGGTTTCTTGCTGCAGTGCCTGGTAGAACTGATCTCGTCCTATCCATCTTGCAAATACGACATTTTCAACTTTTGCAAAAAGCAGAATGGCCAGCGCACCACCACTTTGGATGGCAAGCATCGCTCCTTTGTCTCGATGCTGATCAATGACTTACTGCCTTATAACCACATTAACTCCTCCTCAGAAGACACACGCAAACAGCAGGGTCTGTCGACTTGGACAGCATCTACGCTGGTGGCCATGTCTTATGACGCCTCTTCCTCTAGCGACATGAGTGTCCAACAAAAGAACGAATTGATCCAGGTGAGAAAGTATGTTCTGGAAGCGGTAGTGAGAGCACTGAAGGAGGCTGTCGCTTCATCAGACACTGCCTCTGTCAAGTACAGTAAGTACCTCGCTTTGGCGGACCTCTGCCACCGCATCTTGAACGCTAGACCCAATGTGGGTTCATCGATTCCTCGCTCACTGGGTGGTGGTCAAACCAATGCCAACAGTAACAAGGAAGACACTGCACTGAGCAACGCTAAAATCATGTTGGACAAGAACTTTGTTGCTATTCTGACATCTGCTATCAGTGACGTTGATATCAACTATCCCCATGCCAAGACCATTTTGAACTCTATGCTGAGACCGCTGGAACAACTGACCAAGTTGGCCATCAAGACAGACGATGGTTCTGACAATGACGATGAGGATCAGGATAAAATGGACACGGCTGAAGAAGGCATGCATGTGCCTAGCACGCCTGTTGCTGAAGGTGAAGAAGCTCCTGATCTCTACCGAAACTCTGCTCTGGGCATGTTTGATGCTGGTAGTGTGATTGACGATGACGAATACAACAGCGGTGAATACAGCGATATTTTTGGTTCATCTGCTGATGAGGAGGAAGAGTAAGAGCAACTATCTACAAAACACTACTAATGTGGAACTAACAGTCTATAGTTTTGACGAACAAAGCGGAAGCGACTTGTCAGACATGGATGAAAGTGATCAAGAAGACGAAGAAGATTTTGATTCAGATGACATGGACCAGGATGAGATGGCAGATGACATTGATGCTGAAGCGCAACTGATCAGTGATGAAGACGACGATGGGGAAGAAGGTGGTCGTGAGTTGACATGGCACTTGGAGGACATTGAGCAAGAGCCTGGCATCGTGCATGCAGAGACTGTCATTGATACTGGCGATGAGCGTGATGAACCCAACCATATTCGTCACTTGTCTGATCCTTTTGAAGAAGAGGACGAGATGGACGCCCTGTCTGATTTCGACGATGCCTCTGAAAACCTGGATAACGACTCTGACAACGACTTGGCTGATGGCATGATTCTGGACTCGGAGGACTTGGATACGCCCTTCTTGCCAACCGACTTTCATGAAGAGCTGATCATGGACGGTGATGAGCTGGAAAGACCCCGCTCTATTATTCCTGCTGGATTTAGAAGACGTTTTCACAATGGTAGACGCACTTTGTTAGAAGGAGGTATGTACTCTGCAAATAGGTCGATCTTGTTAAATTTGGTTTGTAACATTTTTATGTCAATAGGCCGTTCATTTAGAAACCAAAGCAATGCACAAGGCCAAGAAGACATCATCACTCATCCTCTGTTGTCCAACAGCACTGGCAACCAAACCTCTAGTGGTGGTGGTAACTCTGCCCGTAGTATGATTGATGAAGCACTCTCTCGCAGAGACCTTGGTGGTGCTCCCAACTTGAGAAATTGGCAGGACTTTGAAGACATCATTGGTGGTAGTGCAGTGCGTATGCTGGAAGATTTGTTGACGCATGCTCCCTCTGCGACTCAGGCGGGGCCATTGCGTGTGGATGTGACATCTGGCCCTGGTGGTGTGCTGCGCACATTTGAATTTGATCGACTGCCCCACTTATCTGGCTTGGGTGGCCATGGTGCTCATCTGTCTAGTCCTGCTCTTGGCGGTGCTTTGGGTGCTGCTGGCAATGCTGGTGCCTCCAACGACCAAGTTGAAGAAGGTTTGTCCATCTTGCATGACTTCCAGCCCATGTCGTCTGGTGAACGTTGGAATCAAGAAAGCCGTATGATGTATGGCCCCAATCTGGGTGACAAGGCATTGAAGCTTGTCAACAAGCTGCTCAACATCTTGACGCCTATTGCTATTGAGGATGACAAAAAGACCCGTGTTGAGGAAGAAAAGAAACGTCAAGAACAGAGACGTAAGGAGGAAGAAGAGCGTCGTAAGGCTGAGGAAGAGAAATGGCGTCTTGCAAAGGAAGCTCGTAAAGCGGAAGCTGAAGCTGCTGAGGCCGCTGCTGCTGCTGCTGCTGAAGCGGCTGCCAATGCGCCAACTGCCAATGCTGAGTCATCGACATCTGCTGCCACTGCTGTAGATGAAGCAGCACAACCTCAAACAAACACAACTGATAATACCAATGCAGAGAATGCTGCTACTGCTGAACCATCCACTACGGCTGATACTGAGCGCACAATTGTTACTATTCGTGGTGAGCCTGTTGATATCTCTGGTACTGGCATTGACAAGGAGTTTTTGGAAGCATTGCCTGATGATTTGAGAGAAGAGGTGCTGAACCAACATTTGCGTGATAGACCTGCTCCTCCACAACCTGCTGAAGATGATTCCATCAGCCCTGAATTTTTGAGTGCTTTACCCCCTGATATTCGACAAGAAGTAATCCATCAAGAGGCCATTGAACGTGAGAGACGTGAGAGACAAAATAGACAACAGGCTCCTGCAAGCACCACAGCAAGTGCTTTGGGTGCAGCTCCCGCAAGTGCTGGTACAACTAACACTACAGCTGCATCTGGTAAGTTTGTGGAGGGTTTTCGTGGCAAGTAACCTCATATACTCATATGTCTTTTTTTGATTAGATAACATGTCTGCATCTCGTAGAAGACCCGCTCCTGCCGAGGATGATGCAAAGACACCCAAGAAGAAGGCCAAGGCTCGTCGTCAAGATGGAGCTGCTCAGTTGGTAGAAAAGCTGCAACTGGGAACACTGGTTAGATTGCTGTTTGTGCCTCAAACCATCTCCAAATCCATCTTGAACCGTTTGCTTCTCAATCTGTGCGAGAATAGCAAGACGCGTGGTGATCTCCTGTCTTACCTTGTCTGCGTGCTCTATGACGGCAACAATGATCTCGCCTCTGTTGACAGCAGCTTTGCTCTTCTCTCTAGCTCTTCTGGTAAGAGTGGCAAGTCAAGTTCATCCAAGCCGAGCAGAGCCAACAGCAGTACCAGTGCTGCTGCTGTCACTGACAATGTACCCAACTTTATTGCTCAACGCTGTCTGGAGGCACTTACTTACATTGTGTCCAACAATGAGCAATCCATGACCTACTTCCTGACTGAAAGCGACTCTTTGGTGAGCCTGAAACGATCTTCGTCTAGCAGAAAAGGCAAAAACAAGGAAAAGGCGCCTGTCAGTTGGAACAAATACCCCATTCTCGTGTTGATGAGTCTATTGGATCGCCCTGTGTTTATCGACAACTCGATTCTGATGGAACAGCTCATGGATCTGCTGTCTACCATGTGTCGCCCCTTCCCCATCCTGGTCAAGAAGTACCAAGAAAAGGTGGAGAACAAGCAAAAGGATCCCAACTTATCCGAGAGACCCATGCCAAAGCCACCAACTATCCCAGACTACTATCTAAAGCTGGTCGTCCATGTCTTGACCAACGGTGAATGCTCCAGCAAGACCTTCCAGTACACATTGAACGCCATCTCGCATTTATCTGCCTTGGACGGTGCTCAGCAGACAATTGTGAATGAACTTGTCGAGGATGCCAAGCAATCAAGCACTCAAATTTTGAAAGATCTCGAGAATCTGCTGGATGTGTTGAAAACGGCTATGCCTGGTACAGAGATCAACAGCACTATCCTCGCTCCATTCGCTGCTGCTACCTCCTATCAAGCCAAGTTACTGCGTGTTTTAAAGACACTGGACTACATGTTCTCTCGCAAGAATATCACCGCGACTACAGCCTCAGCAGAAAGCAAGGCCAGCAATGAGCTCATGCAAGCAAAGAACGAAAAGCGCATGCTCCAAATCTACGAGGACCTCAACTTCTTGCCCTTGTGGCAGAATCTCGGTGAATGCTTGTCTGTGATCCGCGAGAAGGAAGAGCTGATCAATGTCGCCACTGTCTTGCTGCCGCTGATCGAATCGTTCATGGTCGTGTCCAAGTGCACTGCTGAAAAGGGTCAGAACAATGTGTATGAAAAAGTAGCTACGCCTGCTATTGAACAGCAGCTGACCCTGTCAACCACCTCGCCCGAATCCTTCTTCTTTGTGTTTACAGAAAAGCACAAAAAGGTCCTGAATATCATGGTGCGCAATAACCCTACACTAATGAGCGGATCATTTGCCTTGTTGGTGCGTAACCCCAAGATGCTTGAATTCGACAACAAAAGAAACTACTTTGCCCAACAATTGCACAAGCGCACCACGCCTCGTGAAAACTATGCTATGCTCCAATTGAACGTACGTCGTCAATACGTGTTTGAAGACTCCTATCATCAGCTTCAAGGTCGCACCGGTGAAGAGATCAAGAATGGTAAATTGGCTGTGCGATTCTACGATGAGGAAGGTGTAGATGCAGGTGGTGTTACGCGTGAGTGGTTCTCTGTCTTGGCGCGTCAAATGTTTGATCCCAACTATGCTCTGTTCATTACCTCTGCAGCTGATAAGCTGACCTATCAACCCAATCGTGATTCGGCCGTCAATCCAGACCACTTGAGCTTCTTCAAGTTTGTGGGTCGTGTCATTGGTAAAGCTATTTATGATGGCCGTTTATTGGACGCCTATTTCACGCGTTCCTTCTACAAGCACATCCTGGGTCGTACCGTGGATTATCGTGATGTGGAGGCCTTGGATCCAGAGTACTACAAGAGTTTAGTGTGGATGCTGGAGAACGATATCACTGATATCATTGACTTGACATTCAGCATTGAAACCGACTTTTTCGGCACCAAGGAAACTGTGGATTTGAAGCCTAATGGCAGAAACATTCCAGTAACTGAAGCCAGCAAGCACGAATATGTCACCTTGGTTACCGAGCAAAAATTGACCACAGCCATCAAGGATCAAATCAATGCTTTTGTTCAAGGTTTCCACGATGTAATTCCTGCTCCCTTGATTCAAATCTTCAACGAACAAGAATTGGAACTTTTGATTTCTGGTCTGCCTGATATTGACATTGATGACTGGAAGAACAACACGCAATATGAAGGTTATGACGCTTCATCACCTCCTGTCCAATGGTTCTGGCGTGCAGTCAGAAGTTTCGATCAAGAGGAGCGTGCCAAGTTACTCCAGTTCGCTACTGGTACTTCCAAGGTGCCTTTAGAGGGGTTCAGCCAGCTTCAAGGCTCAAGTGGCGTACAAAAGTTCCAAATTCACAAAGACTTTGGTGGGGAAAACCGTCTTCCATCAGCACACACATGGTTAGTACATGATATATGGCTAGTAAGTAGTTCATTGGACTAATACACACTGTTTTCCTATAGCTTCAATCAAATAGACTTGCCTCAATACGATTCGTATGAAAACTTACGTGCCAATCTCTTCAAGGCAATCAGTGAATGTTCAACTGGTTTCGCTTTTGCATAGTTCATCACAGTTCCTTTTGCTCTTTTTTTCATTTTTCATTTTCCCTTTCACTTCATTTACACAACAATAAAATACACATTATAACTGTACCTTATAGTGTCAAATTGATTTGATACATGCTGAAAGGGAGGTAGCTGTTTGATGACAGGCAAAAGACTATGATACATGTTGTTTTTTATTCGTATAATACAATTTAAGCATCACGAGCTTGAATGAGCTCCTTGATGTGGTTGCTTAATTCAAACTTATTCAAGGATTCTGTAGAGAGATATTGAGCGCCTTGGACAGTTTCAATACACTAAGTTTGAAAAGGTCAGTTTCCCATTCGGTTGTTCTTTCCATGCATTTGGTTGCTTACCTTGGATGATCCACACCAGCAAGAAAATGGTTGAGCTAAATGAACCAAAATGTGGTTAGTATACAAGTATGAGATCCCTCCATCCTATCACTTACCCATATCCCATTCAGTCGAAGGGTAGAAAAAGGTCAGTTCATCACCAGCAGCAAGATCTCTTGTAGCGGATACAACCATGCGATCAACATCCATGAGAGTAGAGGGGTCACAAGAGTGATTCATAAAGACAAGATCACTATTCAACTCAATGTGCTCAGTCTTGGAGATTTGGACAGTAGAATAACGCTTTGCACCGGGAGTAAGACCCTCCAATGTGGCAATGACAGCTCCTTTGGCAAATGCACGTTGAGCGACAAGTTTGGAGGAGAATGATTCGGGAGGACCTTGACGAACAACCTGGAAATCTTCAGGATGGGTAGGCTTGCCATTGACAATGATATCGCCGTGGTAACTTTCAAGGATAGTGTTGGGCATATTAGAAATAAAAGAAGATGATTTTACATCTGCTGTAGAGTGAAAATGTTACAAGAGCTTATATAGACATTTTTCCTATCATAGTCTATGATTGGCTGTCCCTTCCAATCAAGCTGAACCCAGAGCATTTCTTACATCATATTGGCTGGTAACTGGTGAATGGGAGCACAACCCCACACGGAAACTCACAATTATAACGTTTAAACGAGAAACCACTCCGATTCCTGTATGTCATCCTATATACAGGTTACCTAATTGACTTGTATGGTAACTTGTCTACCTTTTTCAAGTGGCTCTATTGCATTTTTGGTGCACAGATGCTATTTAAGAGTTACACAGTTAAACAATGTCTTGCTTTTCGTGGATGCTGATAGAGTTGAGAATCTTACAGTTTACAGTAGGTCCAAATATGTGCACAATATAAATTACTAATGGCACATGGGATTTTTTCCTGTTGAAACTTATGGATCGCGTTGATGTTCTTTAAAATCAGGACAGTACCTGCATTCATGAATATGGAAAACATTTACTATTTTGCTTTGCTAGAGGTGCAATTGATTTATCAAATTTATTTTCTATAGATTCGAGCGATGTTTCTCAGCGTACCAATTTATACTTATTTACCCTAGTTCTCGGCTTGATAATGAGTAAGCTGTATTTGGGAAATCCTCTGTGCAAAAAGCAATAACCGGTCTAAAAATTCGGAGGTATCTCATGTAACAGCTGTTTCTTGTTAGTGTATCATGGAATAAAATAAACATATGAGATGCTACATCTTTTTAATATGGCTGAATATGAGCTTAACAATTATGGTCATGCGATGAATCCAATTTATGCTACATTTAATTACCTGACCTAATAAACCTGGTCCTTATATCATCAAAGTTGGAATATTGGGGTTCAGGGTGCAAATCACGAACTTCATTATAGACTCTAAGAATGAAAGTGCAGATTAATGGCTTGGATTGGCGCGAAAAGTGGGCTGTTTTTGATAGTTTATAAACCTCCTGTTAAATGCATTTAGGTGACTTGGATCGTATACCTAGTGATAGCAATGTAAATTTTTGGTAACGTCAATAAAAACTGCATCAATGGCTTCAGATTTGCATATCCTACGAGACCTACCTCTTGGACTATCGTTACTGAATGGACTTTTTAGTAGTCGAGTCAGTATCACCAATATTCTCATCAAGTCTTAAAAATGCTATCTGGGAGGACTCGGTAATAAGAATTGCATATACCATTGAAAAAAAATGCAAACTGTTTGATTCGCAACTAACTATGATTCAGGAACATACCGCATCTATTAAGAAGCTGGAGTGAATACTTGACCAAACACTTTGCGAGGCTACAAGAAAAAAATTTATGGCCTCAAATGTATAATTCATGATTTTCAGGTTTGAGTAAGATGAGGATTCCGAGGACTTTCAAGAATAAACTGACAGCGAAGAACTCACAGAATTCAAAATATTTCAAAAGATGCTTCTTATATGCACTTTACTTATAGGCTACTTACATCTGTTGAGTACTCGTTACTGTCATGATAACTTTCTCTTGTACCTCATATATAAAATAGCTTTGCGCGATTCAATATAGCATCATGATATACAGTATTAGGCAATTAAGCAATGTTGCGCGAGATGCTTTACAATGAATGATGCTGTCTAACGGTAATGAAACCCTTGATATTAGATGAAACGCTTCCCTATAACTCTATTGGAGTGAAATTCTTCTCTTGCTGTTTCAAGGGATTCAGGTCAAAAAACAAGTGTAGCTATCATACAGCTGCGCACTCCACAAATTAAGTAGCAAAAGAAGACGGTTCCTGAGTATTGAGCAAGTGGGTTACAAAATTTAGAAAATAAGAGCATGCGGATTTTAAGGCTTGCTGACTTTTGGCACGATTCTACCTGTACATTCTACTACCAAAGTGTAAGTAGATGACGATCGATCAAATGGCTGTTAAGCGTTATCACTAGTGCAGGTGAACCATTAATGGGATTTACGAATGCTTGATGTATTCTCCCACTCTTTTCGGCAACAAAAGAAAAGCTAATGGTCCGCCTGCTCATTGAAGATGAATTCGTTAGTTGGCCTGTCGCTGAAGATTATGTTGTTGGAGGATGCTGTGTCAAAATGGAGTCAAAATTGTTTAGGATATAGATCATCTCTGAGAGGCAAATGTATTATACAACGTATAATACATGAGAAGATCTAAGAATGAGCAGAGATGCGTAGTAGATTGATAGTTCTTTATTCAAGCAGCACAAAGGAACATGAGTGATGCCATCAAATGGCTAATCTATATCCTGGTTCCTAGAGAGTGGTAGCCTATGGCCATTCGCCTCTGAAAGTGGGATTCAATTCTGACAAATGTTCTTTCGTCAAATCATCTAGGAAGAACATTCTATCCTGGATCATCTTCGTTGTCTTTCCTTGACTGGTGGTCTATAAGCTCGTACGCAGTACATCCTCGTTAACTGGTTCAAGGCTTATACAATTATCCCGCATTCAAGATCAAGGTCCTATTGCTGCGGCACTGTCAATTAACTATAAATACCTTCGAAATCTACGCTAGTTTTAATCCTCATTCAATCTTGGAATAACTTTATAAATATATTCAGTTCTAATTGTATTTCCTCTGTTTATAATTTGTTATTCTAAACAAAAATATATTTTTTCAAAGGAAACTAATCAATAATAACGAAGTATAGAAATCACTTGTATTTTATTTTTATCAAAAATCGAGCTGAAGATTTTGGGCTCGGCTGAAAAAGAAGAGTATTCATATCTAAACATAACTGCAATCAACTTGTAACTTTAATAATATATATAGTCAATATATTATGGAAATTAGTAGACAATGCTATTGCAAAATCTGGCAAATGCTGTTAATGTTCAATTCAAGCTGACAAACAATGTAAGCGCACTGGGGATAAAAGCTTATTTTGTTATGTTAAAATACAATATAGATTGAAGCTGTCAAAGAACTACACTTTTATATAAAATTCATTTAGAGGATGCATTTATATACTTTTCATTTTGCTGGGGTTGTTTACAGCATGATAATAAACTATAGTACAAACAGGTTTACTATCTACCCAGCAATTGATTTGTAAATCATGATTAGCATGTTTTATCCAAGGGACCTAAGAATAGCAAAATACGTCTAGTGTGAGACCTTGTTAGGACATTTGATATAACATATTTGAGTAGCTTTGATGAGATCGGAAGAGCTATCGCTCTCATAGATTTTAATTGTCTACTACTACCCTAATCCACAATAATTGATGAAATGAAACTGTTTAATCAGCCTTCTTCATTACTACTATATTTTTCTGGCAGAACAGCTATATTCCATTTGGTAGAAGATGCTGTCCATCCGCAATAAAGCTTTGTATAGTGGCAATAGCGACCTCATGGCAAGTATCGGCAGAACCTAAAATACTCAAATGAAAGCCCCTGAACTTATTATAAACATATTAAACTTATATTCATTTGTTAGAAATGACACACTTAATGCGCCTAACCTAAGATCTGGGCCTTATTCGACGCAGATTCTTCAAGATTATTAAATAATATGTCGATTTATTATCTGTCGTTTGACAATATAAGCTTTTGCTCTTCTGTTGCAAGCCCAATTTAATCTAAATCTGATAGTTTTACATCATGAATATCTCGTATTGCAAACCGTTTTGAGCGGTTAGAATAGTGCCAAACAATTGCTCTCGACTACCACTCACTTACTGATGCTTTATCTCAATTTTTTCTGCGTCATTGCAAATTCATCAAAATCGTCGTTTTTACATGAGTATTAGCAAGGGAAAATTCTTGAAAATCAAACAATCGCGTTTTTCATCCCAAAAATGAAGACTTTTTCTATGATACATATCAGACCAAATTAATTGTAAAGATGGAATGCAGCATCCGAAGCCTTTTCTATGATATTTGTATATGCTAAATGCTGACATATTTGCAGAAAACCGGTTTTGAACTTTTCGCAAATTGCTCATTATTCTCGGTCTGAAAGCTGAATGTAACCAGCATCATTCGATGCGCCTTCATTGACTCTTTATGAATGCATTAGAAAGTAAAGTATAATAACGACAATTTTCATAATCAAATTTAGCAAAAACGTTTGAAGAATGTAAGTTCGAGTCAAATTTGAACACGAAAATACCCACTGCACAATTTCAAATTAAAGTACAGCAGTTGCGACTGCCACGGCAGAAGGCTGAGACTAAATCTACTGGCCGTGACGTCCAATAGGGCGCCCTCTTATTTCTCCGTATCTCCCTTTTTTTACCCTTTTTGCAAAACGCGTTTAGTATCATACAATATTGGTTTGGAACTCTTTTAATTGAAAATAACACTTTAACTTCTGACAACACGGCCTTGCACTGTTATAAATACTTGATACTGCTTCTTTGAAATGGAATACATTAGGTACCATTCGATAACGAGCACTGGAAGGCCTAAAATCAGTACTACTAATCGAATTTGTTTATTAGGCTTCGATAATTTTTTTGCCTGCTTGACGTGCATGCTGCTGCCGTTACTTCTCTCCTATCTCTGCAGTCTGCTTCTTTGGTCTTTGTCTCAAGCGGTTGCTTCTTTAATCTTTGTCTGGTCTCTGGTGTCGCTCGGTGGTCGGTTTTTCTATGATGTTGGTGTTGCTGCTGCTGTTGGTGCTGCTGTTGGTGCTGTTGGTATTGTTGATAATCTGATGTTTCCTGGTCTACTGCCTTTATTGTATGCTTTTTCTCTGGTATATCTCTGGTGATTGCCCATCCTCTTCTCGTCTATCTGCGGTGGTGATAAGTGGCAAGTATCCTCTTTGGTCTTTGTCTGGTCTCTGCTGATGCTGTTCGTTCTTTGGTTCTTCTATGGTGCTGGTATTACTGCTGCTGCTGCTAGTCTGGTGTTTCCTGGTCTACTGTATTTGCTGTATACTCGTTCTTTGGTCTATCTCAGGTCATTGCGTAATATCTGGTCTATCTGTGGTGGTGATATGTGATAAGTAACTTCTTTGATCTTTGCCTGCTCTCTGCTGATGGCGTTCGTTCTTTAGTTTTTCTATGGTGCTGGTGTTACTGCTGCTGCTACTGCTACTCTAGTCTTTACTGGTGTGCTGTATTTGGTGCATGCTCGTTCGCTGGTCTGTCTCCGGTCATTGTCTATACGCTTCTGGTCTATCTGTGGCTGTGGTAAGTGGTAAGTATCTTTTTTCTTCTGGTCGCGATGATATAAAACTTCTTTGAACGTTTGTATTATTGCTTCCTTCCTCATGATAATGCATTCATGATGCTTTCTTCGTTGTGTTTTTCTTTTTCTATTGTTGGTGGTGTGTCCTCTGTGGCTTCACATGAAACAACATTAGTCATTATGTTGTACTGCAAACTTATAATACCACTGTTGCATTTGCAGTTGTGCGTATTTGTGCCATGTTGCTTTACATCCGACTATTACTACCATACACGTTGCTCATGTATGCATTTTTATTGCAACATCAACAAGCTTTTTTAAACATCTTTGATGTTGTGTTTGTTATGCTTTTCTTTGACTCGCTTCGTGTGAGTGTCTCTTTTTTGCCTACATACTATTATACTCTTATAGTATTATGTTCCTTTCTTCTGTCTTTTATTATTATTATGTTTCTTTTGAAGCATACCTTTTTTTACGTTGTGTGGATGTGCCTATCCCTGAAACTCAACAAGACTTTATCCGAGGCTAGGAGGTGGATAGGCCGCCTCCACTTGGTTATCACTACTTACTTTAGTGATGATCGAGAGCCTCAACGCCAGAATCTAAAGCTAGGTGGTGTAAGTAAGGCATGTTCTAGCACCTGAGGGAGATTTGATGATAGTAACAGCTATATTGCTATATATAGCGGCGCTTAAAATTTTGCCTCACATCAAAACAAGGGGAAACCCTCGCAAAATTTTTTTTAGGTCAGCGGAGTTTTTAAGCAATCTGATTGGCTAAGAGATTCAGGAACCAAAGGATTCTAGCTAGTTGGTCTCGTATTGTAATGAGTTTATGTTTGTAACAAAACGATAGCGAAATAGGTACAATTTAAAGCTTTCTTTATTAAAGTTATGATAAGATGCCAGCATTTAATCTAACATCTATTGCACAATAGTTCGACGTGAGGAACGTCCTTTAAATTTATTATGCAAGGAAAATTACATAATAAATATTACTTCAGCAAAGTGTTGTTTGCGTTGTTGTTACAACAGTATTATGATAATGGCCAACCCAACGCCAGACAATCGTTTTAATAGTTGTTGAAAAGTATATGTAATGAAATAGCCACCCAAACGCAACTTGATTGAAAACCGAAATTCACCAAATAGCACTCATTTAAATTCATGCTATTTGGATCTATTACTAAAAGCGCTCAAATGTACATCAACAACCGTTTAAACATACTAAAATAAAGATACACGCTTATATCGCACATCGTGTGAATGAATCACTCCTGATCACAGTGTATTCAATCACATCCATGATGGTCGTAATAAGAGATGTTATCTTTATCCAAATAAAATCAAATCAATAACAAGCACATTCAAATATGACAACTATGCCCTGCTGCCATAGTTGCACAATATCCCAGATAAAGGGTTCCATACTTCAATAACAAACATCACACTTTAAACCATCAAGGTTACATTAAATCATGCTATGACGGTAGCTCACCCAAGCCCATCAAGGTTACTCAAATCAACCCTTATGGCCAGTGCTCTTGCATTGATTACCACTTTAAATCAAACATCAACAATATTTGCCAGATATTGCAATAGCAGAACCTATTGCTCTCTGTCATCACTAATCCTACAAGCTAGTTGCAGATGTATAAATACTCTTCTTTTTTTTACTCAATTCCAGGATCTTCAGTTCATTTTATACACAAATAAAATACAGTTGATTTCTATTGTATTTTACTACTGTATTGCTTTATTTTTTTTTTGTGAAATCTATTCAAACCTGATTTCACTGCAGTATAAATTAAATTTGCATTCAAAGCCATATCAAATTGCAACACCCAAACGCAAAAATCGGTCGAATAAATAATCGTATCTAAATCAATCAAAATAGTATCAGTGAGGACCAAAAGTATGTATATTGCTGAAAGCTCAAACAAAGTCCACAGTCGCAAATCATTGCCGAAAAATGAGCGTGGATTCCATAAAAAGATATCACAACCAGCAAACCGACATATACAAAGTAAACCATTTGCATAGCGCAGCGATATACCATAGCGCTAATGCATAACAGCAAAACGCCTCTATTTAACGAGCATACTGTTAACCTTTAAACTCAAAAAACTTTGTAAGAATCATTTAAATCAAGTAAATTAAAGAGCGAAATTCAGATAAATCGCTCTGGTATAACCCCTTAGTAGAAGTTCTGAAACGAATTTGCCCTTGGAGATTTATTACATTCGGTGCGTCTAGCTAAAGTATGTCTAATGTTTTTGTAATAGTTTAACAGGAAGGTTTGAGAGAATGTACGTGTAAAGAATAGCGTTCTAGAAATCGTAAATTCCTGCTTGGTGCAAGTGGTACGTGTGAGAGCTGAAAGCAAAAGTTCATGGTGTGATCCATAATTATTGTTACCGATATGGGCAGACAGAAAAATTTTAGTAGAGTGCTTGTGCCATGTTTATAAGCTTAAATACATTGTTTATCTGCTACTTATCATCGGATACTTTGCTTCTCTAATCCAGATATGCATATTCTGCATACTTGAAGAGGGCAGCCATGCTATTTGATGCTCCCCATCTTGGATGTGGCATTGCATAAATGTGAGTATAGTGAGACTATAATTTAAGAGATAATGCATTTACCACTCACCAGTGTCAATAAGTATGCTAAAAATGTATGCATTGAATAGCATGTTCTTTTGATGTCACACAAACACACTATGGGAACGAGTAGAAATGTTCAAATCATTGCATTGCTCGTTATCTTCTTATTTGTGATGTGTATGAGACATGAGTGCGAATCAAAATGTGTTTGGCGCCAAAAAGAGGGGAGGATGAGGGTATAAGAAGATCAGATCATAAAATTGCTCCTACCATCATTCGCCCTTTGTATTTTAAGCTTCGCTTAAAACTAAACATGTTATCGGATCAAAGACATCAACGCATGGAGGTACAAAGTAATAAAACCTTGATTGATTCAGGTTGTATATATAAAACGGCAATTGAATACAACACGTTTTCCACTTAGCATTTGCAGTCTGGATCCATCAATCCCTATATTGGCATTGTGAAACTGAAATCAATCAAGACAATGCATGCTACATCCTCATTCAACAACAAAAAACAACCACTTGAGTTCCCCTTTTCATCCTGGGTTCGTTGTATATTCGCTTACACGTGTTAGCAATGAATCACGGCCCTTTTTTTTTTTTTTTTTTTTTTTTGGCAACGTCAAAGGACAACACTGGTTGATTTAGGGAGGTTAGTTCCAACTAGCACACTTATTTTAATAAATCAAGGGGATCACAAGCTTTTTATTTAAAGACTGGTGCTATAAATACCTGATCAATTTTTTTGACAGAAATTTTTGTTTAATATATGACAAGTACCACCAGAATCAATTTGAGAGGTAATGTTACATGTCTGTTTTAGGGTTATTTGCATTCAAGCCATCATGAATTGAATAGCCAAATATACTCTTACAGGGCTTTATGTATATGCATGAAAGAAAGAGAGTTACTGGTATGCAGACAGTTTTGTTTGGAAGCCTGTCAGCTGCTTGTGCGTATACTAATTTTAACCAGCTTAAAGCTGTGTGCAGGTGGCAAGTTCTACTTGGTACTGCAAAGGGAGGCTAAATCCAGCGAGATCAGAAATAGATGGTTGGTTGACAGGTCGCTTATATAGGAAATACACCTCGATTTACATGCTGCTAATATATGATATGGCTTTAGACTGATGCTGTTGTTTGGTACCATGATGTACTAATCTTACTAGCCGGTGTAACTTGACTCCCCCCCTCTTGGACACACAAGAAATCTCTCTTTCTGTGTATATCATTCTTCTATTCTTCTACTTTTAGAAAAACTCCTCCTCTCTTCCTCCTGCTGCTCCTCAAATTACCCCTCCTCCTGGTCCTCTTATATACCTCTCCTGGTTGAATCACCCGAGGAAGCACCTCCTCTATCAATTGCCTGCTATAGTAATTCACTCGTGTATTGTGTGATCCAGATTAAATAGAGGAAAAAAATATATAAATACATGTAGAATTGTTTGATCCAACTTGTTTGATCCCCTTCTCTTTATCAAACATATATATTAAATATGGCTTCCACTGCTACTACTGAGCCTGTCATTGAGCCCACACCCGCCACCATCGCTGTTGAGGCTCAACAACCCAAGATTGAATCAACCGAGACAGCTGCCGTAGTTGAGGACGTTGCTCCTTCTACCACTGCTGATACTACCACTCCTGTCGCTGCTGAAACCACCACTGCTGAGGAACCTGACACTGCTGCTGCTACCGCTACTAACGAGGAGGCTCCTAAGGCTAACGAGGAAGAGGCTGTCAACGAGGCTCCTGCCAAACCTACTCTTACCAAGCGTCGCACCATCTTTAATCCTTTTGCCAAATCCAAGAAGGAAGAAGCTCCTGCCACTACCACTGAAACTAACAAGGAAGCAGAGCCTACCATTTCTACCAGCACTGGTAGCAAGGAAGAAGAGAAGGCTCACAAGAAGACATCCAAGGGCTTCGGTACCTTCTTCTCTAGATCAAAGGTATGTTTTGTCGTTATGTTTGTATATCCATACAAGATTTGCTAATGCATGCTTCATTTTGACAGTCTACACCTAAAGTAAGCGAAGAGGCCAATGCTGCTGCCACCGCTGCTGAAGAGACTGTTGTACCTACTGAATTACCTCAAATTGAACAACTTCAACCTATCGAAACTGAGATCAATGTTGAAAACAAGGAAGAAAGCAAGAAGGAGCCTGCTGTCAAGGAAGCTGTTGCTGAAATTGCCGAAACTGCTCAAGTTGAGGTTGCTGAAGCTGTTGAAGAAGTTGAACAAGCTGCTGCCCAAGCCTCCACTACCGTCGCCAACAAGCGTCAATCATTCATCAGTAAACTGTTTGGTAAGAAGAAGCCAGACACTACTGCTACCAAGGAAATCGAAGAAGAAACACCTGCTGCTGTCGCCTCTGAGACCACTGAGGAAGCTAAAGCTGAGCCTATCGCTGAAGAGCAGCCCAAAGAAGGTAAATATTTGGATACAATTGCATATGCAAGTACAGTCTGTTAACGCAATGATTAGAATCAGCCGCAGAAGCCACTGCTGCTCCTGTTGCATCCACATCTCGTCCTTCTTCTCCTCTCGGTAGATTGACAGAATTATTCACATCAAAGAAGAGCAACAAGAAGGGAAAATCCACCACAACTGAAGAGCAAGAAGCCCCTGCCACTGTCGCTGCTGTCACTGAAGAGCAAGCAGATGCTGCTGCCAACGCTGATGTTAAGGAAGACGAAAGCAAGGAAGAAGCACAAAACAAGGAAGATATTGAAGCAGCTGTAAAGGATACTAATGTCACTGATGTTGCTTCCCCTGCCGTTGTTACTGCATCTGCATAAATTCTCTTTACACACTCTTAAAAAAGCAATCCCTCCTTTCCCCTCCATCCCTTCTAAATGTAAAATTCTTCCTTCCCAAATCATACACTATTACTTACTACCATCAACGCAAGTATTTAATCTAAACTACTCAAGAAACTGCTCTCTTCATCAGCATCCCTACTAATTTATAATAAACAAATATTTACATATCTTTACTCTATGACGTTATGACACAGATACTGCAAATCATCTCTGACAGTTTTACCCCTTAATATTAGTTTGCCCGCTTTTTTTTTCTTCTTTTTCTTTTTTAGAGTTTCAAACCATCTCTTTCTTCTCTCCTTAACCAAACAAGATGTTGGCTGCAGCAGATGCTTTGGTACAGCAAACTTCTCAACATCATAGGCAGGAGACAGATACCATGTCATATGCTAGAAATGAGCTCATTGAGCAGGTCAAACTAACCATCATATCACACCCTTATTTGGATGACATGTTGGATAAGATTAGAGCGACGGAGATACCTTGGGAGGACTACAAGAACTCTGGGTTGATCACTGAAGACGAAGTGGCCATGATCAAGCATGTAGAGAACAAGAATGTGGATGATCTGGGTCCTATCATGTCGGAGGTAATGGACTGTGTGCCTGAATGAAGAACAATGAATATCAACATGCTGCTTCTCTCTACATAGCATGGCTTATACTACGCTGCATTGTATCTTGAATTGATGCAGAAGCTAGCAAGAGTAGACGCCCTTCAGAAGGTGCTGATTTTGATACATGATATGCTGGATGGTAGGTGTTGAAACAATTCAGTCAACAACAACAAATAAACAACGCCGCTTACATTTGCATCAAGGTAACGAGGAGAGAATAGCCCTCTTTCACGAAGCTGGCAAGAATGCAGCTGAATTTCCCTTTGACCCTTTTCACAAGTAATACAAAAGGAGATATAGGTTTGATTCCATGAACTGATATCTCACTCTATTTAGGGCGCTGCGCATTGGTGATGAATTCATTGGTATCCAGTCTAGCAAGATCTTGACCCTGTTGATTTGGTAAGTTTAGTACGAAATGAATCATAGCCCCACACCAACATCCATCCAAGCTCTACGCCTCAACGCGATATCGACATTCATGAATTTTTCAGATGGATGACCTTTCAACTGCAAAGCCAGCACCAACATGTCATTGAACTGAATGTGCAGATTTTGGACGCCTTGTTCCATATTCCTGCTTACAGACAAGCGTTTTGGAAGACAAGCCATGCCATCGACTCACTTGTCAGTATCTTGAAAAATGCACAAGGTAGAAATCTGGGTCCTCAAAAGATATACGAACTTACATTTGCTATTTGGCTGTTGACTTTTGATACGGAAATCGCAAAGAACTTGGACAAAAAGTGCCAGCTTATTCTTACATTGGTTGAATTGGCGAAATCTGCAGTTAAGGAGAAGATCATCCGTGTCATCATTGCTACCTTCAGGGTGAGTATTGTGCCTGATAAAAGGGGGATTTGCTCTCATACTGACAGAACCACGACACAGAACTTGATTGAAAAGGCACCGGCTGAAAATATGTCTGCCATGTTGGTGGCTAAATTACTGCCGCTGTGCGAGCATTTGGCGACTAGAAAATGGACAGATCAAGAGATAGCTGACGATATTGAGTTTACTCGGGCCGAATTGCAGCAAAACTTTCAGAGCTTGACGCAAGTAGATCACTCCTTTACTTGTTTTCAGCTCGATTAACAGTTTGATACTGCAGGACATTCGAAGTGTACGCCTCTGAACTTGAAACAGGCATGCTACAATGGAGTCCATCCCATACATCTGAAAACTTTTGGAAGCAGAATGCTGCTCGTCTCAATCAAGACAATCAGCAATTACTGAGACAGCTTACTCGTATCCTCAGCACTTCTACGAATCCCACTGTACTGGCAGTTGCATGCTATGATGTCGGTCAATATGTCAAGTATAATGCAAAGGACGGAAAAAGGTAAGTGCGGGTGATGCCTGATATGGATCCAGTCTGTTGATGGGCGTACAATACAGATATCTGCAGTTGCTCGGTGCCAAGCAAAGAGTGATGGAATTGATGACTCACGAGGACGCCAATGTGAGATACCACGCACTATCATCCACACAAAAGTACTTTGCAATAACATGAATAAAAGACGCTTTTTATTCAAACGATTCAAGCACAAGGTTCAATCCATGTTCAAGTATTTCCCATGGTAAGGCAAAAGTAAGACGAAAGAACCCCGGGTCTTGTGAGTGAAACACAGAACCTGGAGCAAGATACACGCCACGAGTGATCATGTTATGCCATAGTTGCGTTTCGTCTTCAAATGTCGCTTCTCTATTGCGATTTCGTCTGATAATGGACCGAACGTCAATCATGAAAAAGGGCCCAGCCTCTGCAGGGATGAAATCAATGCTGTGCTTGGTTAGAAACTGAATGGCCTTGGTATAAGTCTCGGCCAGCATTTGCCTGTTTTCCTGCAAATATCTAAATGCAGCGATTTAGTCTCACGTTTCTATCGTGTGTAACAAGTTTCCGTACTCGTCGATCCAGATTTCATCCGAGAACAGATTACTTAACAACCTGTCCATGATGGTAGACGTATAACTAAATCCACTATGTAAAAAGCAAGCGTTACAAGATGCTACAAACACATTGTCTTGCCAATTACTCACGCACTACGCATCAAAGCCAGCCTCAAAGGCTCATTGAACTGTGTGATAATGAAGCCAACTCGAAAACCGTTGATGGCGAAATCCTTGGACATACCGTAGATAACATGCACAAGATTAGGATCAATGAAACTCTTGTAGTCGATGCTCAAAATTGAGTGGAACGGGTCCTGCTTAAAAGTGTCTACCAAGTGACTGAACGAAGACAAGGCGTAGATTTCATCCGAGACATAGTGCAGATTGTGCTTTGATGCAAATTTGAGAAAAGTCTCTAGATCTTGTCGAGAATAGCACCTGTAGATAAGCCCATGAATGCCATCATCCCAGTGTATCACCACTGTAACATACCTTCCTGATGGATTATCTGGATTTGTGACCAAGATGGATGTAATTCTCTTTCCTTCACTTTGTGCCAACTGATACACTCTCTCAAGTTCATCACCATCGATGTTTGTATCTGATATACCATGAGGAAAAACCTCAACGATATTGACGCCTGTATGAACACTAATGTCCAAATCGAATGCTCCGTAATACGGGCCAGGAAGCATACAGTAGTCTCCTTCATCGGCAATGCTCATGATGAGTTGGTTTACAGACGCACCAGCGCCTGTCTGGGTAAAGATGTGCTCAGCCTCTAGTGGATAGTAGGGCTTGAAATGTCTGGTAAAGAATGATTGCAGCAAGTCCAACAATCGCTTGGACCCTTGAGGAGCTCCGTAGTTGACATCCTAAAGCAACATGAGATTTCACGTAGATGAAGGCATTTGTAGCGGCTTACATGGGGCACAATTTCAAGGCATTGCTGACACTATTTGAGGCAATAGTAGTTGATGTAGGAGATGCTTCACGGAAAACGTACCTTGGCAAACACCTTTTGATGCAAGAGATCGTTATGAGCGAGCCCCAAGTTCAATGCACCCTGTGGATTGAACTCGGGATGGTGCAGCTTGTCAATCACTTGCATCAACGCCTTGTTGAGTGGGCAATCTACAGCAAGAGTTTTGGCTGCTCTACTGGAAATGGCAGCCATGTGGAGTATTGGGAAACGGGTAAAAAAAAAAGGAATTCAATATGCAATCCCTTGTTTTTCTGGATGTTATGGCTTCTAGGTTTCATTTTGAGTGTAACAAATAAACTTGAATTAGATCTACCGCGATTTCATCAAATGACGCAAAATGAAGCTGCCAGAGTGGCTTTTTGCGCAATGATGCTCTTCACCGAGTGCCACTGCTATTGCAACGTTTGGTGAGCAAGAAAGCATCCATCTTACCAAAGCTTGAATGAAAGCCGCTCAACGTTACTGCAGCAATGCTGGATATGCTCGAGAGTGTCGTGCGATATTTGCTCACGAAAGAAGCAGAGATGGGCAGTGATAATGGTCAGAAACAAAGCATCCAGATCCATATTGACCGCTGAAAGCGAGAGCTTATGATTGCTAGCATTTGCAGCACGAAATTACCTTGTTACTCGTATGTATCATTCGCTGTATTCTGAGGTTTAATGGACCATCATTTACTACCATGGATGAACCTAGTTTTGTAAATGCACAATTGGGCATCTGAATAGACAAATTCAATAAGCAAAAGATTTGCTTCTGTATCAGAGATCAAGAAATGAGCTTTTGTCGTATGCAAGCCGTCTACCCAACTCTACATTTACCAGTTTCTTGGTACTACTGCTACTATTTAGAGCCTGTATTTGAAGCAACGTCATCCCCAACATGGGTTCATTCGTTTTTTTTTTTTCAAGCGGGGAAAAATCACATCAACATGTAACCCAAGGATTTGAGGGGAAATAACAAAAATCTTCAACTTCTCTCTCTCTCTCTCTCTCAATCTCAATCTCTCCCCACTCTCAAACAATGTCCAAGTCTCACGTTGAATCACAAGTAAAGCAACCCATCTACCACGACCCTTGGGCCAGACGTGAAGCCTGGCGCAAGCACCCCATCTTCTCAAAGAGCTCCAACTTCAAAACTATGTTTCCTGGACTCGGTATTGCAACTGTCGCTTTTGCTGCCTATTGCACCTATGAACATTTCTTCCTCAACAACAAGAAGAGCCATCATTAAATTACTGAATCCTGCTATTCCCTCATTAATTTCTGTATGTATCGTTTTAAGCAATGTGATGTTAATGCTGGATGTGATATTAACATGCTTACAATAGTGCTTTGCTTTGACAAAATCTTGTTTTGTATACATTCCAGCCCTTTACTATAAAAAAAAAACTTGTCAATAAAACGGATTACTCGATTATTCATATAGACCGATATCATACAACTAGATTTTGAAAGACGTCAGTGGATGTAGGTTTGGGGAAATAGCATTGGGAGCATCACATCAGCGTTGTTATAGCAAATCAGGATGGGAATCGCAGCAATTGAGATGCTGTCAGGCAGGATGAATTGATAGAGATGTTGGCTCAGAAGGGCTACATGAAATCACAGTTCTGGGAATTGTGCTTCTAACATTGGACATGATTAACCTGAGCATGTCCCTCTTTTTTCATGCTATCCATGTGCCATGTGAAAGCGCAGTTGAGCAACGGCGAGCCTCGGCAGCCTTCACAATAACAGGACACCATCATTGACATTGTATCGCGAATTACTATATCTGTCGTTGGCGTTTTCCTTGTAAATGTTGAATCAGTGACTCCTGATTTCAGGATCACACACACACACACACACATGAGGCAGACATGGATTTACTCAGTTTTCAACAAGGACATAAAAGTGCTGCTTTCTCTGACATTGGACCACTCTTTCAGCCGATTTCTCCATTCAATCAAGGTATAGCATCCTTTGCTTTGCAACTATGAGATCAATTCTCATTTGAGCTGCAAAACAAAATCAAAATCAACGAAGCCAATCTAAAATTTTTCTTTTCTGTTCCCTTCTTTTTTTCTTTTTGTTTTTCAATTTCTTTTTCGTTTTTAGAATTAGATAATTTTTGCACTACAAAAATGACACAGACAATCATCACACGAGGTAAAGTGGCATTGCTGGAAGGTCGAACTGCAAGTACTGACTCTTGCATTCAACAGCGAAAACATCAAAGGGTGTCAAAGTCAGTTTAAAGGTACAGACATCTTGCTGATGATTCAAGCAGTGCAATATGAACCGCAGTGCGACTACCTATTTTAGCCTCCCCACTGAACCCCCCCCCTTTCTTCCATCCACTCATATTGTTTCACTAGCACCGGTCCTAACTCTTTTTTTTTTTTACATTTCTTCACTAGAGAAAAGAATCAGACGAAAGCATCACCATGGAAGAGCCATCAAAGAAGCAAAAACAATCAGCATTTGTTCGTTCTCGCATTAATGCCGACAAGGAGCTTTGGGACAAAGTATCTATATTGAAACAAGATTGTCGAACCGCTGGTAAGTCTCACACCCGAGTTATTTGAGCCAATAAAGCTCATTACCCATTTTGACAGGTGTGATTCCTCGACTGGAGCCCAATTTTAGGAAAGCAGATACGCTCTCTGCTTATCTTTGTAGCCCATTAACTGATCATTTATCGACTGGATTTATGGATTTGGGATGGGGCTGTGGCTACCGTAACTGTCAAATGCTGATGACATTTCTGGAGAGACAGAAACAAGACGGCGAGCCGTTATTGAAGAATGTGCTCGATATATCCGGCATTCAGTTGCTAATTGAAAAGGCATGGCAAGAAGGTAATTGAAGAAACAGCTTTGCATAGAGGCAATGTTACTCAATCCACTGATTTGGTAATATAACAGGCTTTGATACATTGGGTGCGGCTCAGTTGGATCATCATGTATTCAAGACCCGCAAATGGATTGGAACCACTGAAGTGTACACATTGCTGGCCTATCTCGGTATTCGCTCAACTATTATAGACTTTCATCAGCCAGGACCTCAGCATCTACACCATGAATTGATGGACTGGATTCAATCATACTTTATGGATCCCACTACGCAGAAAAAAAGCACAAAGACTGTGTGTATTACCAACAGACCGCCTCTTTATTTGCAGCATCAAGGACACAGCAGAACTGTGGTTGGCATAGAGCTATTAAAGTCCGGAAAAAGAAACTTGATCATGTTTGATCCCGGAAGAAGAATTCTTCGCAGTTATAGATCATCACAAAAAGAACCCGCATTGGAACCTGAGGAGCATCACCGCAATGACGAGGAGAATGAAAATAAGGATCAAGATGATGATGAAGAGGAGGAGATCGATATATTGAATCACGATGATAGCAAAGATGCTTCTTTGAGCAAAAGATTTCTAGCTCGCTTCAAACACACCCCATTGCCTTCTAGTCTACTGCGCCCATTTAGAGTTGATGACAAGTCCATTGGAAAGCACAAACAGTACCAAGTTTTGGTGTTGGGCCAGGTGGAATATCAAAATGGTAAAATGGCTTGGGACTCGAATAAGGGCTATTTGTTGAATGAAGACGAGAGAGAAAAGATGAAAAATGTTACCAGTCTAGCTGTCATGTAAACAAAAAAGCTACTCTTTATCGCATCTTTATCTATTATATATTCCCCTCTTGCAATACTCTCCCCTCCTTGCCTCTGTTTCTATACTAACTGTCATTTTGTTCAATATTATCGAATTTACGTCTTCACCTTCTTTCGCACTATTCAAACACATACACCTCATACATTTTACTCCAAATCTATCGCATCCTTGTAAATAAAAAAGTAAAAAAGCACCCTTTGCTACACTATTTTAGTTAATCAATGGAATATGTTTGATGTACAAAGGACGATGAAATTCTAATTTGCATCCATCAACACTTACCGCTCGGGCTATTATGGCCATCTATACAAACTCATTGTTTGCATTTGTCTAGTTCCTGTTTTCTTGCAATGATACATGATTGTTCAAGGTAGCTATACAACTGCCATCCAAGCTCGCTCTATAACTAATCATCCATTGCCTGTGTATTTGCGCATCATCTCTAATCCAAGCTCGACAAGCTTCAAGCGACTACATGTGCACAAGACATCTCCTGCCAGATACCGTATTCAGCTAGATGGAGGCACTCGATATAAATGTATTGGAGCGTTTCTTGGTCAAAAGTCGTGAATCATCTAATAAGCTGTTCTTTTAGAAACTAAGTTCTGTATATAACAATACGAGTTGCTAACCGTGTTGCACATAATCTAAAATGTATAAGCTGTGAGAAAATGGTGTTCAGGGTCGCTAGAAACCTTATTCATTCGAACATTAGATTTGTTCTCACGTTTGGTTGACGTGTTACCCGTCAGATTACCAAATTTTACCGTATTGAATAGGATATTCAGACATACCTTTTATATCTTTATTAGATATAGTGTACCACAAATCTTCTTTTGACTACTCTGGATGATTCTAAGCAGACATACATCACTCCTGAATATTTCGCTTATCAGATCAAAAAAATATTCGATGTTTGAATTATAGATCTGATAACAATCTGATTCAGGAACAGTGCATCTACTCAGTTTTGCCCATTGCAATGTTCCCGCCCCAAGCTTAATACGATATTGGATATCTAGATGAAAAGTACGGCTACTACTTCCTCGACTTTTTCACTTATCAAATCAAATGCTATATATAAGGAGGATACCAGTAGCAGGCGGTATTCTGATTCTTCCAAGATATGCCTTTTGAGTTTGGTACGCGGCTCTTTCGGAAAACAATGAAAGTGCTACCTTTGTGATATGAGACTGTTGTGTTTAGAATAAGGAGAAAGCGTAAATAATTTATTTTTTCATATAATACAAGGTGGGAAAGGAAGGGATCAATAGATTAAGCTGAATATATATATATGCGAATATTTTGTCTATCATGATGGGAGATATAAATGTGAAGAAAGAATCAATCTTCTTCCTTTTCACCAAGAGTCAAGCTTCATGGTACCATTTTCCAACAAGTTGGTATGCATCTTGAAGACCTTGTCAAGCATTTGAGGTTCATGACCTCTACCAGCAGCAAGACACTTCTTGGTAGCAACATCAAAGTAGTCTTGAAGTTGAGGCTTATATTCGGGATGAGTACATTTGTCGATAATCACTTGAGCACGTTCACGAGGAGACAAACCACGGAGATCAGCTAAACCTTGCTCAGTAACAAAGATGTCAAGATCGTGTTCAGTTTGATCGACGTGAGAGCACATGGGAACAACGCAGGAAACACCGTTAGGGTCCTTCTTGGAGGGACGAGTGGAGGGAGAGTGCATCACACTCAACTTGGCATTACGCAAGAAATCACCAGAACCACCAAGGCCATTCAACATACCAGAACCACACACCAAAGTAGAGTTAGCATGACCGTACATGTCAAATTCGACAGGAGTGTTCATGGCAATGCAGCCAAGACGACGAATGATTTCGGGAGAGTTGGATACTTGTTGAGATCTCAAGAGGAATCTGTCCTTGTACTTTTCCCAGTTATCATAAAAGTGATCAAAGCCTTCAGGAGAGAAACGGATCGATGTAGCACTAGCAAACTTGAGTTTATCGGAATCAAAGAACTCCAAAAAGGTGTCTTGTAACACTTCAGTGAATCTATATGAAAGGATGGCATGAGTTTTTTTTTTCTGCATTTACCCTACATCTCCCGTGATAGCTTTGTGGTAACTTACACTGTGACATTTTGGAAGCGGGATTTGGCCAAACCGCCAATAACAGCATTAGCAATGTTACCAATACCTGATTGGAGAGGCAACAAATTGGCAGGAAGACGACCATACTTGACTTCTTCCTCAAAGAACTCAATGAGATGGTTAGCGATGGCCTCAGACTTGTCATCAGCAGGTGCGTTGCCACCAGTCTTGTCAGGGCGGTTGCTCTCAACGACAGCAATAACCTTGTCAGTGTCGATGGGGATAGCAGTCTATGAAAATCAAATGTTAATTATTTGCATCTGATGCCATCACATTTTGTAACACTTACTGTTCCGATTCTGTCCTCAGTGTTCATAATCAAATAAGGCTTACGGTTAGGAGGAAGAGTACACGTGTTGATGTCATGGAGACCTTCAAAGGAGGGAATACGAGTGTTGACTTCGATAATGATCTTGTCGGCCATTTGGATCAATTCAGGAGTAGCACCAACGGAAGCACCAGGGACAATCCAACCATCTTCAGTGATGGCAGTAGCTTCGACAACGACAATGTCAAGCTTGTTGTTGTCAGGCTTATCTTTGGTATAGTAGCCTAAGCAGAATATGAGTTATACACTCTGCCTCTCGGTGATTTTGACAAGTATTGACTTACCATAGACGAGATCTTGAGGGAACATGGACAAATGCTTATCAGCAAAGCGGATACGGCCTTCATTGATACCCTTCTTGATGTTTTTGCCAACTTGATGAGGATAGCGACGATCAATCATATCAAGTTCGGCCCAACGATCCTCGCATTCAGCACCAGAAGAAGCGCCCACAAAGAGATTGAACTTCATTTTACCTTGAAGGTTGTTCTTTTCGACATGGTCAGCCAAAGCAACAGGAATCATCTTGGGGTAACCAACACCAGTAAAACCAGACCAGCCGAGATATCTATCATTCAAAAGATTAGGCACACCGACACGCGGATGGCAATTTAGCATAATCAACAACTTACTGTCCGCCTTTGAAGAACTTGAGGGTCTCTTCAGGCTTCATGACCTTTTCCAGAAGAGCAGGACGACGAACTCTTGACTTTAAAGCAGCACTTACAGTAGCCATTGTGTTATTAATATAGTTTGAAAAAAAAACGAAAAAAAGATGGAATGTTGAAAACTGAATGTTCCAAAGCCCTTATATATATATAGCTTTGAAAGGGCGGTAAACAATCATCTGTCGGGACATAATGTCATTTGGGAAGGCGGATAAAGTAATTAATCACTCATTTGTTTAATAGGGCATGGGTTGTCCAGATATAAGGTTTGCTTTAGAATCTGGGGCTAGCTGGTTTATTTTTTTATCCATGGTTTCCAGCCTGGACATTTACGTAATGCAAAAACGCAGATGTTACTCTAACCAGCAGATATGGGTGACATGGCATTGGATGGATTCAAAGCGTTTATTCCAGAGCGCATTGTACTAAACTCTGATATATATATATATATATATATCATGTAATTTACATTTCTGAGCAGGCGCAGGATAGCTGGGTATTTTCTCTTTTGAAAGAGTCCTTCTAAAATTAACCCATCGTTTGAAATGCAAATTCTGGTGGTGTTGCAAGTTGAAAGCCAGGTTGATGTGGGGTAAATGTTAGAAATCCTCAACTGCGCTGCTACAAAGACATGACGAATGATATGAGTTGTTTGTCTCGAATCCTCGCAGCTGGTTGGTTTCAATCAATTGATACATTCAAGTCAGTTTACCCGCATTAAACATCGAAAAAACAACACAGAAAGGATATATATAAAGACTGACAGAAACAAGACCGAGTTCAAATCTCTCTAGTGAAACGTGCTCAATTGTCTCTTGAACCTTAAATCTGACGTGCTGTTTGGAAATTGAATCCTGTGTATACTTTACCAAACGGCTAAATGATGAGGAATCGGACAATATGCTGAAATGACACTCTCCATATTGATAGATGCGTTGTACCATCATAACCTTGCAAAAAGGTAAAGCCGGTGTAACCCTTTATATATAGCAGATCCAAGTTTTTGTCAATAAAAATGTGGGGAAATGAGAAGATTTTCGTGCTAGTAATCGTATATATATATATATATATATACATGCTGTTCTAGTTGCTTGTTCTCGGCACACGAGCTATTCTATAATGCATTGAAAGGATGTAACATGTATACTATATGGTGCCAGTAGCACACAATAGTTTCTCGATGTGTCATACAAGTAAGTTTCTTGGTTTTATAGGCAATATATACAGGTTTATTATGAACGAAGGCTAGTTTTTCTTTACAGGAATGCCATCTTGCATCCAACAGCTATCTTGGTCATCGTCTTCAGAGAGTAAAACCACTCGACGAGTCTCTTGTATCACCTGTCCGTCTTCTTCTCTGATAATGACAGTATCAATGTTACGCACAGGACCCGTAAACCACTTTCGACCTGAAACAGCGTACACTAAAGAAGCTAAACCAATCACGAATGCAAATGGAATGACGGCGAAATTCATATTGGAAGGGGTAACAGGCCATTGCTAGTTGATCAAACATTAGAATTGAACATTAAGCAACGATAGACATGACTTACAGTGGGTAAGATAAATAGAGCAGAGGTGAAGGATATCCAAGCACAAGCGATGATACCACATGGCACGGAGAACGCGCCTAGATGAAAGGGTCCTTTCTGAAAACGCTTTCTTGCCATTGTAATTCGCAGCCAAATGGGTATAAAATATGAGATACTTGCTGCAATTGTATTTATGGATACAATGGTTTCGAACGCAACTTCGCTGAAAAGATATGGGATGCCCAGAATGGCAGAAAAGATGATGTTGAACCAGACCGCATTGGCAGGCACTTTAGACTTTGTCAGTTTAGCGAGCCAATTCGAGAATGGCATTGCTCCATCGCGAGCAAAAGCGTAGGTTTGTCGAGAGGAGCCTACAATAACAGCAGCACCACTAATCCCACACACATTAACATAGCTTGACTCAACCGCACAATTGACACACTTACGCAAAATACATGGCTACGAGGATAATCACTAGGAACCACATTGTCCAGCCTACGCCTGTGCCATCAAGAAAGACTTGAGTGATAGCCATATTGTTGGTTGAGTGTACAATCTGCCTATCAAAGTCTTGTATCATAAATGCACAGGCAATCATGAGAACAGTACCAGCCACGGCTGATGTGCCAATTGCCATAACAATACCCATGGGAGATCCCTTCTGAGCAGATCGTGTTTCTTCGCTCACATGGGCAGCGGTATCATAGCCGTTCAAAGTAAACTGAGCCTGGAGCAATCCAATCAACCAAGCGTAGCCCTCGCTGCTGAATCCTGATCCATTATACATCTGGCCCAAGGCAAAGGAGGCTGATGGTTTATTGGGTGTCAGCAGTAGACCGACCACGACAATAAACAGAATCCCCATTACATGCCACCATACAGACACATTATTAATGACGCCCGTAAATTTAATCGGTAGTGTATTCATCCAACCGTGTATCAGTAGAATAGCGATAAATACGCCGTAGTCTATTGCTGGTGTCGTGACAAAGTCTGGGTGTGTAACAGAAATGGCAGATGTCAGAAATCCTGCCATACCTAGATCACCTGCGCAAATAGCAACTAGAACAAGAGCGTATTAACGAGAGTATCACTACAACAGCACAAATAGACTACCTGCTAGACTAAGCCAGTTGAAATAGCCTTCAAAGCATTCATTAGTGAATCATCACACATCCTGCATCAAACGATTTTAATTTACCAACTATCCAGCACATGAAAGGGACCCACTCTGAATCCGACAATTGTGCCGTCCAAAAGTACAGACCTCCTGTCGTTGGAAATGCGCTGCAAACTACATTGGTGTTAGTTTTTTCATGATGGCGCGATAACGCTATACTGCGACTTTACTTTCTGCGAGGCTGAACCCAATGGATAATGTGAGAACTGCTACGGTCAAATAGCCCCAAATAGAGGCAGAAGTACCGCCTGTGAGCAGTGTTGTGCCCCACATCTGGCAAAGAGTTGGCACCTTTATACGAAATAATGGCAGACGGATCAACTTACCGGCAGTAATCCACTCAAGACAGAGCAGCATCCAAAAGAAATTGCAAAATTTGAAAATGTCGACAGCTGGCGACTAAGACTTTGCTTGTACCCAAGCTTGGCAAGTAACATTTCATCATCAATTACAGCTTGGTCTCGCTTCTTTTGCCTTTCGTCTGTTCTCTCTCGACCGAATATCAATGCGCGATCGGGTACTCTAATAGTCCAGGTCATGGATGTATGCAATTTGAAGGTAAATGGAACAAAGAAGAGGGAGGGGGAGGAAGGAGGAGAGCAGAGCTTATTTATACATTTATATACATGTCGATTTGATTAATAGGAGGGGTCACAGGTTGGCATATAACATCAAGTGCTGTATGGAAAGAAACATGATGATAAAACTAATCAAATCATAAACCCCTTAAATTGAAGCGGATGCCAAATTCATGTATACACATCTCTGTGCATTGATGCGCAATGCAATTTGATAGCATTTTCTGAGCATCAGGGGATCAACATCTCCTTAGTATAAATACGCTCTCCTTGAACCCAAACGAATCAATACGCACCCGGAATCGTTTCAATTGGGTTCTTGAGAAACAACAAACAATCTGTTTCATCGCAATCTGTTTATGTTTATTGTTGTTTTTCTGTGTCCAAAACTTGTTCTATGCCTTCGTTCACGGGCTTGATCTCTTTTTCTGCTTCCTTGACCTCGTCACCGGTGGCTCGACTCTTGCTTGCAGATGACATGAGCTGTTTGTGTCGCAACTGATAAGATAATCGAACCAAATCTACGGCCTTCTTGAAGGTACGACGAGCGTTGAAGTTGTGGCGCACAGTAGGTAACAGATCTTGTTGTTGCTGTTGTTGTTTGCTATCATTATTTGAGCTCAACCAAGGATGAGCCAATGCCTGGTGTGCAGTAATGCGCTCTTCGGGGTTGATGGTCAAGCAACGTTGAATGAAGAATTTAGCTTGTTGAGAGCAGTTAGGATTGGATGTGTACATGTATTACTGGCGTATAGCTTACCTTTGTCACTGACTTCAGACCAGTATTCTTCATGGAAATGATACTCTGCCCTTGTGATGGCATTCATTTCTTCAATGCTGTTTTCTCCTTCAAACGGTGTATATCCACACAATAAAAAGTATGCAATCACGCCAATGGCCCACATATCACTTGCAGAGGAACCTTTAGTAACCGACGGTTTAAAGCCAATGCCATGCCACACTTACACTGGTTTGCCATGGCCTACTCTTTTGAAGATTTCAGGGGCCATGTATCCTGGAGTTCCACAAGTAGTCCTCAAAACATCAAATTTGTCACTGTCGATGATTCTAGACAGGCCAAAGTCAGCTATCAACAGGTCAGAATCTGGGTCGGTTGTACGGAAGATGAGATTCTCGGGCTAAGGAAGATGCCATTGTAACGATTTGATTAAGCTCTGCCTATTTTCCGTGTATCTCGCTTTACCTTTAAATCTATGCATCGTTAATATCAGATACCCATGTCTATATGCCTGAATCGTCAACTGGGTAATTACCTCTGTGCACCACACCATTATCATGCAAATAGGCAACAGCATCACACACTGTTCGGATGATATTGGCAGCATCTTGCTCTGTGTAGCTGCCCTTCTGGCAGATACGGTCGAACAATTCACCGCCCAATGCTAAATCAGTTACCAAATACACTATACAAGCATGTTAATGCTGCTACTGTCCCCCATGGCAAGACAAGATAGATTACAATTGTTCATCGTTTCAAAGTAGTCGACCAAGCTCAGTATGTTCTTGTGACCTTCAGACACTTTGCGAAGAATGCTAATCTCGTTACGAATCATGTGCTCACGCCCCTCCATCAGTTTCTTGCTAATCACTTTGACAGCGTAAAATTTCTTGGTGTCCACCTGGATTTCACAGGATGTAACCATTAATGCGCTATCCATGGACATGTGCGTTACACACTTACGTGCATCGCCTCTGTGTAATAAGACAAACACAATTGAGCCCAACAGGATGAAGCAAACTTAAAATCTCACATTACCTTTCACAGTTGCATAAGTGCCATTGCCAAGCACCTTTCCAGTTTTATATTTGCAAGGTACAGTTACGGGAGGCTTCTTTGCTGTCGTCATGATATTATGCTATGTGTATAACCTATATTGGTGATAAAAAGAGAGAGAGAGAGAGAGAGAGAGAGAGAGAGAAAAGATGATGCATTCAATTTGCAAGACACTTTTGCCACATAAAACGCTACATCAATCATTCACTGAGATGTAAATAAAAAGGGTTTTTGTTTCAAAAATTAAAACAAAACGATGCTCATTGTTCAAGCATTTCATGAAATGTCTACATTGTCATCATTTAAAAAAAAGTGGGAGAGTAGGTGGTCCCTGAGTTTCTCTGCTATTTGGAATTACTATCAGAGTAAGCCTTCCCCTGTTCCATAAGGTAGATATACAATCCAACCATCGGGATGATATAATCTACAATTGTTTCATTTTCTAAACCGAGTTTCGAATTTGCTGATCCTTGGTTTTACCTGTAGATTGGTCATGACCACACTTGAATTGTCAAATGGATTTTTGAATGGCAGTTTTGCATTTCCATTAGAGCAATAGGTTACAATTAAAGTCATCTGGTCTGAATAGGAAGACGTAACACAGGCAAAAAAAAAGAGTAGTTATACTAAGCTATAGCGCTATTCAACTAGCCGATCTATCTCGCTACGCTTGATGTCGGCGTCGCCCTGCGCGACTTTTCTGAGATATTGTCATTGCAAAAGACACCTTCATGAGGCAAAGCTCCCCCCCCCAAAAAAAAGTATTTGCGTTAAGCAACTGTCCTTTCAATTCCATGATCCCCATTTCATCAGCATCGCAATCATCATTGTCATCAACAGAAAGGCATTCAGGTCAGCCAGCAGCAATACTGCCGCCAAAATTGATTCACACTCAGCTTATTTTTGTTTGCTCAAGATTGGACAGATTTCATTTTTTTTTCGACTTCTTTAATCTATTCTCTGATGTTCGACTATGTAAATTGTGATGATCACCCTGCGCTTCCTAATACATTCTTGAAGTACTTTTCAAGGCGCTTCCAATGGTGTTGATTGTAATAGGTGTTTTGGCTGAACTTATTGAGCGATTTAATAAAATATGAAATATGGTTTTTAGCGAAAATAACCATATTTTGCATATGAAAGCCTCATCAAAGTGGTTTCAGAGGTTGCTTTGGATCGAGAGAAACATTTTCATATAATATATACCATAGTAAAAGTGTTCGCTATTGGGGTCTAAAACGCGACCGTTTGATTTTCGATGAAAATCATGAGGTATCACTCATGGTTTTTGATGGATTTTTGACGATCCCAAAAAAGTTGAGCAAAGGTGTCATACAGTTGCTGCCAGATGAGAGTAATAGTTTGGTACTAGTCTGGCGACCTGAATCGGCTTCTAGCGCGAGAAATCACTGCTTAAATGCACCCTAATTTCGCTGTGTTTCGCAAATTATTGAATAGTAAGAGGCAATGTAAGTGTGTGTTCTGCCTGTATATTATTTGTTTTCATTGATACAGACGCGGCGCATTGTAAAAGAGACAAATCGACGATTACAGTCCTTTTCTGGAGGCTTCTCACTGAGAAGGAGTATAATTTAATGGGATACATCACCGGCTCTAGGACTCTTGTCACAAGTCGCCCATGATTTACTCAAATCCGATTATTGTTGCGTACGTGAGTGCAGCATAATTTCTTTTTTGAGCTTATTGTTGATATTGTTACAAATAAAGCGTGGCTCAGAGAGAGTACTTACCTTTTGTGCAGTCGGAACGGAGTCAAATCAACCAGCCTCACTGTACATCATACACCCCTCAAATATAGTAAGAGCTGCCCTTTTTCTCTTTCCTGCACACTTTTTATTTTGTTTCATATTCATATAAGATGTCGCATCCCATTTCTACCAATATGGAATATTTCAAAAAGGTCCACCCCCTCCACAACAGCAACAGCCATCATCACCATCATCATCATCATCATGGCACCAAAACGTCATATTACGAGCGAGGAGGATACGAGGAAGATGATGAACATAGTGACTTTGTCGATGACGAACGTAGCGATACAGAGGAAGAGGCAGCAGAAACAGCAGCGAGTAAATGGCACTCTATTTTTCGTCGCATGTCCATCAACATTCAAAGAGATGAAGGCACACCAGATAAAGACATTGCATCAGGAACGGCCGCCAATCCATCGGATCATGAAAGAACGTTGATGCTGAATATACCGCATAGCGATGGCAGTGAAGTGTGTGAAACGTTCGAGGACGATACACTGCCCACAGTCGAGCAGGTTGCAGTGGATTGTGTGAATGCACAGGACCCTCCTTATACACGCTATTTTGAGAATCCCTTCGAGTCAGATTCCACCTCGACAGATGATACAATGTATGTGGCTGCCACGGCAAATGAGATGAAGCAATTGCAAGTGCATCCGCTAAGCCATGCTCCAGCAGCCACAAATGGTGGTGGTCATGGTTTAGTGGTGCCAGAAAAGAAAAAGGTACATGGTGCCATGTTCACATCCACGCCTGACAGCGCGATGAAAAATGATGCACCACAAGGTAAGCATCACACACTTCTTTTAGCCATCCACTCATCATTGTGTTGCTTATCACAGTAGCAGCTAGCAACAAGGCAAAGATGCAGTGGGCAAAAACCTTTGAAAAGATCAAGGTCGTCAACAGTTTGGGCGGCAATAATCAAAGAAGATCCAGCTCGGCACACTATACAACTACAAGACAGCCATTAGCACCTTACTATCCATCTGCATTTACACCTGGCTATCTCTCACTAATGTGCAGAGACGAGCATGGCAGAAAAGCAGTAAGTTAGAATGGCAGAACAATGGATCAAGCGCTGACAGATGAGCACTAGCCTCCGATATTGTTTGACGCCTTGAATGTAAGCATCATTATGATGAAAGCTTACGAGAGACACGTATATTTACCGCGACGCAATAGGTGTCTATTACGGATTCCGAGATTGACCACAGCGCCATTCATCGATTATGGACATTTCGCATCGAGCTTCAGTATGGAGAAATCAAATGGGTGATCAACCGCACCATCATTGAATTCTACAACCTTCATCTGACACTCAAGTTTAAATACATTTCTGGTTTTATTTCAGAGCCTCCGCCTTCGTTTCCCAGTCAATTAGCACATCTTACAAATGCAGCCTTGACGTCCATGCGTATAGCTCGAGAGGAAGAAGACGGTGTCTGGCGAGACGTTGCACTCAAACGCCGAGATGCGCTGGAAGTGTATCTCAAGGCGCTGATTCAGGGAGCCAGCATGCTTGTCAACTATGAACTGTGCGAATTCCTAGAGTTGAGTGCCATCTCGATTGTCAAGGATATGGGCTGGAAGGGCAAAGAAGGCTACCTGGAGTACAACTTGAATCCATCTTCTATGAGGCTGTTCCGCTGGCATCGATGGCAGAAGGAATGGCTGATTCTGCGTGATTCGTACATTGCATTCTGTAAAGACATTGGATCAACAGCTCCTGCGGATGTTCTCCTGTTTGATAAACACCTCAAAGTAGTACGAACGCAGAGCACGTTTGGATCCATTCATCAAACCCATTTCATCATATCAAATTCATCCAGACGAATCGAGGTCAAGGCACCCACTTCCAAGCACATTGAAGAGTGGATAGAGAACTTGGATAAGGTGCAGAAAGAGTCTCCATGGATTATGAATCACCGGTTTGGGTCGTATGCTCCAGTCAGAGAAAATGCAAAGGCCAAGTGGTTTGTAGATGGGCACGGTAGGTAGTCTGGCTGTCTAGGGTAGCAGCATGCACTGACAGAAGATGGGCTAGATTATTTTGAAGCAGTGGCTCAAGCGATTTTATCAGCCAAGTCAGAGATATACATTGAAGATTGGTGGCTAGTAAGTGTATCTGCGTTGATCATGTACAAGTTACTCACCTTCATACTCGGGTAGAGCCCCCAACTGGTAGTGTATAACATGCCTCTTATGCCTATCGAAACTAACATTGAGTAGTATTTGCGTCGGCCATCCAAAGGTAATGAGGAATACCGTCTGGATAGACTCTTGAAGAGAAAAGCTTGCGAGGGAGTGATGATTTACATTGTGATTTACAAGAATGTATCTGTTGCTCTGCCACTGGATTCTCAGCACACACGAGACTGGATGCACCACGTCCATCCCAACATCATTGTGCAAAGACATGCGAACCTTACCTCTTCACCCTTCTGGGCTCACCACGAGGTATACTGTCTGTTAGTCTTGGCCATTTTCATTGTCTCAACTCTCGTTCCCGTAGAAAATTCTGGTTGTTGATTATAGACTTGCGTTTGTGGGCGGATTGGATCTATGCTTTGGCCGTTACGATACGTCCAAGCACGATTTAACAGACTACAAGTCATCTGACGAAAAGGAGGTGTTTCCCGGCCAAGATTACTCCAACCCAAGAATTAAGGACTTTCATAAAGTGAGCCAGTATGACATGGAACTGATTGATAAGCAATGTGCGCCCAGAATGCCTTGGCATGACATTCACACAGCAATGGTATGTGTTGCAGATGTGTCATTATACAAGGTTTATAAAGTAACACTCTTTCAGATTGGGCCACCTGCAAGGGACATAGCACGCCATTTCATACAGAGATGGAACTTTATCAAGTCCAATCGAGCCAAGGAAAGAAGCGAAGTGCCCTTCTTGCTCCCCAAAGGCGAATACGTGGCTGCCAGAGATGAGACCAAGTTTAAGGGAACATGCCGAATTCAAGTATTGAGAAGCAGCGCTGAATGGAGTCTGGGTATTACTAGAGAAGTAGGTGCATTGCTTCACGGACGCATACATGTACTAATTTATACATAGTATTCCATTTACAGTGCTTACATGGAGTGTATTTTCAAAGCAAAGCACTTTATATACATTGAGAACCAGTTCTTCAGTAGGTGGCCCTTTTCAACTCACAGCACATTTTTTTTGACAGTGACACATAGTAACGACAACAAGCCCTCATGACAAGCTCATCAAGAACAAGATTGGACAAGCCATTGTAGAGAGAATCAAACGAGCACATCGGGAGAAACAGAAATTTAGAGTGATTGTAGTCATCCCAATAGCGCCTGGGTTTGAGGGTGATTTCATTCAAGTCGATCGTAAATCGATGCCATTGAGGTTTTGTATTTCAGGGGAGACATATGAAACAGCCAGCGCGCTAACAGCACAAAATAGATCCGTAGCGCAATATCAGTATCGATCCATTTCACGTGGAAAGTACTCTGTATTTGAACAGTTACGCAAAGCCAACGTCCCGATCAAGGATTACATTGGCTTCTACAGTCTTCGAAACTGGGGAAAAGTCAAGAAATCCACGCCTAAGCCTGTACCCATCATGAAAGATGAGTTTGGTCAAATCATCCCGCCTCCGCCCCCGCCGCCACCACCACCACCACCTCCACCTCCACCACTTCAACCTCGCAGCAAAAGAAGGATAAGGCCTCGATCATCTAGTCAGAACAAGTCAAACGAGGATTTCCAGCAGCAACTGCAATTAGAGCGTGCCTTGTTGGAGCAACAGCAGTACAATGATGGCCGCATGGATTTTGTGACGGAACAAGTTTACATCCATACGAAATTGATGATAGTGGATGACAGAACTGTGATTTGCGGCTCAGGTAAATGGATGCCAAACATGTTGCACTGTTATAGGAATTAAACTGTTATCATTCAATTAGCCAATCTGAACGACAGGTACTTTGTGAGATTGGCTCGTCAGCCCAAACAATAAGGTTAATTTCATTGTTTTACCTACACGCAGGTCTCAGTTGGGAAATCGGGATTCAGAGATTGCTGTGGTCATTGAGGACACAGATTTAGTGGATTCTCGGATGAATGGACAACCAGTAAAGTATCCTGTTTGATAAGCATGCTGCGACGGTTCGATTAAACTCACTTGGACACAATAGTACAAGGCATCGAAATACGCATTGACACTACGCATGCAGCTCTTTAAAGAGCACTTGGGGCTGCTCAATGTGCAATCTAGCAATGAATATCACGTAGACGGCTATAGAGACATGAAGAGAGAGGATGTTGTGGTCATGGACCCGTTGCATGATGAGTTTTATTACGATATTTGGAACAAGACTGCTGAGAAGAATACGTTGGTGTATAGAGATGTATTCAGATGTGTACCTGATGATACAGGTAAGAACATACTCACTTGTACTCAATGAATGACGCCAGTAAATTACTTGTATTATATAGTGCATTCTGTTGAGCAGCATCGTCAATTTGTACCAGATCCAACGCGTGTTTTACCTGGACATGTAGCAGAACCATGGAACCGCACCAACGAACAGATCCAAGCAAAACTAGATGATATTCAAGGGCATTTGGTTGAGTTTCCTACTGAATACCTCAAGAATATCAGTATGACAGCATCTGTCATGCAAGAAGCAGTTCCTCCTATCGTATTTACTTGAGCCTATTATTCTCCTTATCAATAAATAATAACGAATATGGTTGCTGGGTATTTGCAATAAAGTTTACTAGACTCCCTCTCCTTCTTCAAGTATAAAGAAGTGATACTTTATCTGATCCTTTCCTTTTCTTTCCCTTCTGTACACACACCATGTTGAAAAACGTCAAAAAAGATAAACCGTTCCAATATCTGGCACATGTATCTGCGCGTAATCCATTCGAAATGATGGTCGCCATATTCATAGCATGCTCAATCTCCTATCTCTACCTCACAAACACGTACAACAAAGGGTTGCATGACATGGTATCCATTCATCCCAGTTCCTATTACCATAGCAACCACCTAACAAATCACCATGGAAACGACGACGACAAGAGTGTCATTCTCAAGCAGCTGATATTACATCACCATAAAGACATGATGACCAAAGATGCCCTTCAATCTGTCCTTTCATTCCAACAATTGCTTGCACGAGACATCTCTGAATTCTGTTATCGTAATGAGGATAATAATTGCGTTATCAAAAGTCCCTTGAACTTTTGGAATAACAGCATTGCCAAATTAAATGCAGATAGAAATGTCAAGTCAACCATCAACCAGCAGCATGATCAAAGCCACTATTTCCTGATGAATCATCACAACAATTATGCAGATGCTGTCGTGCTATCTTTTGTATTTGATGGATCGCAGCAGGAGCGAGTCAATCAATGGGAGCACAATATTGCTAAATTGGGTCGTATCTTTAGCCATCAATCAAAACAACCAACCTACATAGCAATGGTTTTCGATCACGCCAAGAGACTATATAAGGTATGTTTCATTGTCTGGAAAGAAGCTTCACAATTGAAATGTCCATTATTAAAATAGACCTCAAATCCTGTGGACCTGTTTCTTTTGGCCGGTGGCTATATCCTCATGTCCATGACCTTGATCAATCTCTTTTACAGTCTGCGAAAAGTGGTAGGATCATACTGCGTTATTGGATCAGCTGTTATTTTGAATGGCATATGTGCGCTTGTGTTTGGTCTAACTGTCATGAAGTTATTGCAAGTCAACATAACACCCGCCCTGCTACTGTAGGTCCATTGCTATGATTCGCAAACTGACATGTGCTTATTGCTTTATCACTTAGTGAATCGCTGCCTTTTCTCGTTATTGCCATTGGATTTGAACGACACATCAAGTACACGAAATCGATCTTGAGTAACACAAACAATAACAACGACAACTCCGTTTCCATGATGCTCGCTTGGGATTGTTTCACTGAAATCACCATCTTTTGTCTTGGTGCCAAATCTGGTATTAGCGGGCTCAGGGAGTTTTGCTGGTTGAGTGCTTGTTTATTGGCATTTGATTTTGTCCTCCTTTGCACTTGGTACACAGCCGTATTGACTTTAAAACTGGAGGTAATTGGCCTTGTGTTTCATAAATTTGGAAGAGGATGTTCAGTTTGTGTAATGATGATTTATATTGTGTTATTCTTAGCTGAATCGATTCAATACTGCAGACGAGATCAAGCACCAGCCAAGCAACCAGAGTAGTACGTCTGTTTGGCACTGGATCTTGCAAAAGACGAAGCTGTTCATGGTAAAGTATGCAAGATTGGATGGGGTTTTACTCTCTGGACCATCAAACATTTGAAAAATTTTTCTTCTCTATTGATTACAGTTTAACTAACCGCGCCAATTACAAAATTTGGCTTCATTAGATTGTAGGCTTTATAGGAATGCATATCTTTAAAGTTTGCTCCACTTTCCAACAAAAACCTCTTTCATTCACTACTCTAGATAATAGTCAGCCAACTATCGCATTTGTATTATCTGAACTACTCGATAAGCAACAACTCGTCAAAGTATTTCCAAATCAGTATTTCTATGCTGTAATATCACCATCTACTACTACTTTTTCCACATCCTCTTTATTTCAACAATATCAACTTTATTACATTATGATCAAGCCCTTTGAGAGCCTATTCGACATTTACGCTGTCTATATTCAACATCCCATTATATCCAAATGGCTGACTATTGCTCTCTGTGTCTCCCTATTCCTGAATACCTATCTGTTCAATGTGGCAAAACAACAACCAAAAGTAGTGGTACAAAAAGTTATTGAAAAGGTCCAAGTACCTGTGCAGGTTCCAGTCGCCAAGAAGGAAAGGAAAATCTCCTCCTCGTCTCCATCCGTAGCCATGGCAACCAAAAAGTCGCATCAACATCACCATCACCAACAGCAGCAGCAGCAGCATCACCATTCTGATATCGTACGCCCCTTGGATGAAGTGTTCAGTTTGATTGGTACTCCTGAGGTATTGACAGACGAAGAGATTATCTCTGTTGTTCAAAGTGGAAAGATGGCTGCCTACGCGCTTGAAAAGGTATTGGGTGATTTTGAACGCGCTGTGCACATTCGAAGAGCTTTGGTTTCGCGTGATTCTATCACAAAGTCGCTGGAAGGTAGCTTGCTTCCTGTCAAGAACTATCACTATGACAAGGTAATGGGTGCATGTTGTGAAAACGTGATTGGTTATATGCCTATTCCAGTCGGTGTAGCAGGTAAACAGACAAACATGCAAACATGACAAGTGTATTGACAGTGGCACAGGTCCATTGAACATTGATGGCGATCTGATTCATATTCCCATGGCTACTACAGAAGGTTGTTTGGTTGCTTCAGCTGCTCGAGGCTGCAAGGCCATCAATGCTGGTGGAGGAGCTACTACTATCGTTACTGCAGATGGCATGACCCGTGGACCCTGTGTTGAATTCCCAAACATTCTTCGTGCAGCCGATTGTAAGCGTTGGATTGAACAAGAAGGAGAAAAGGTAGTGACCGAGGCATTCAATTCTACGTCTCGTTTTGCTCGTGTTCGTAAATTGAAGGTTGCTCTTGCTGGTCGTTTAATGTACATTCGATTTTCTACCACTACTGGTGACGCTATGGGTATGAATATGATCTCAAAGGGCTGTGAAAAGGCATTATCCAAGATTGCAGAGAGATATCCTGACATGCAAATCATTTCTCTTTCTGGCAACTACTGTACTGACAAGAAGCCTGCTGCTATCAATTGGATTGAAGGTCGTGGCAAGTCTGTTGTCGCTGAGGCTGTTATTCCCGGCGCTGTCGTTGAGAAGGTTCTCAAAACCACTGTCGCTGCTCTTGTGGAATTGAACATTTCCAAGAATTTGGTCGGTTCTGCCATGGCTGGCTCTGTGGGTGGATTCAATGCGCATGCTGCCAACATTTTGACCGCCATTTATCTCGCTACAGGCCAAGATCCCGCACAAAATGTCGAGAGTTCTAATTGTATTACGTTGATGAAGGCTGTCAACAACGACAAGGATCTCAACATTTCTTGTACTATGCCCTGTATTGAGGTGGGCACCATTGGTGGCGGCACTATTTTACCCCCTCAACAAGCTATGCTGGATTTCCTTGGTGTACGTGGCCCTCATCCCACTGAGCCTGGAGCCAATGCTCGCCGTCTTGCTCGTGTTATCTGTGCCTCTGTGATGGCTGGTGAGCTTTCTCTCTGTGCTGCTTTAGCCGCAGGACATTTGGTCAAGGCACATATGGCTCATAATCGTAACACTGCTTCGGCCGCTACCGCTGCCGCTGCACCCTCTATTGCCGCTTCCGTCATTCAGGCTTCTACTCCTCCTGCTACTCCAGTTGAGAAGGAAGATCCAATTCCTGGAAGTTGTATCAAATCATAGACTGTCTTTTTAATCATATACAAACCCTCAAAAAATATTCTATTTCTTGCATCTCACTCTTTTTTTTTTTTTTTTTTTACTATTCCTTTTTGCTTATTAAACTACAACTCATAAAAAACAATAAACACCACTAATAATGTTCACATTCCATCCATCCCAAGGTACCACAATGACACTTTCATTTGGGATTTAGGTTTGTATCACATTTGATGAAGAGGAGTTCTGGTCATTCTAGAACGAGCGCGCAAATCTTATAGCCAACAATCGAGATTCAGCATGAATGGGCCATAGAGCAAAAATAGCTTCATTCAACTGATATCTGTTGTGCCTTCTTCAAGGCTCATGGTGCAAAGTATGACAGTCAAGCAGCACGATTTCTGAGGTGATACGACCATCCCCCTTTAACTGACAGGAAGCACATTGGCTTGGCAAAGCACTAGATCCTTTCTTATTACGGCTACCAGCCACCCGATGATGCCTTTAAGCACTTTCATTATAATAATAATCGATAGTAGCCAAACAACGCTTGATCAAGGGCATAAAACATAGTTATTTATTTAATTTCTTCGTGGTGGCATTGCTGTTGGCACAATGTCGTTTACAGTTTTCTTTCTTGTTTTGCCCTCTTCCTTGGGTCCATCAAATTCTAGCTGTGTATGCCCATCCCAATCTTGCACAGTGATCGACGGTAAATGCTCTGGTTGCTCTGTTCCTCGAGAGCACACAATGGATATAGCCTTTTGTTGTTTCTTGATCTCCATCTTTTCCTTGTGAATTGCCTCTAATTCCAACTCGTCATCGTCAAGCTCATAGTCTGAGATCTCGGCTGCGTGCATCAAATCGGATGCAAGCACGGCTTGATTTGGCGCATCTTCTTCAATCTGCTCCCAACCATCAAATGGCGAACCTGGTGGTGAGATAAGCAAATTGCGTTGAAATTGTGGCACTTGTAATGAGGTAGATTTTGGATCTACATTGATTGCGAAATGCTGATTGTATGACATGCATGAGAAGTCTCGTTATCAGATCGGTGGATAATTCGCATATATTACCTGTCCGTAGTACACTCGAAGCATCAATACCACGTTTCCAGCATCTTTCCACACTTGTTCCGTATCGCCATCTACTTTGGCGTATGTGACAATCTCGGGAAAAGGCTCTCTTTCTCTGTATATGATAGAGTGTCTATCCAATGCTTGCTTTGCTTTCATGGCATGCGCAGTTTCTTGGAATATAATCATCAGTCTTCGAAATCCTTTCATTGGGACAAACGTATATATCGGGCCAAACTCTGCAAATGCGTCATGGAGTGTTAGCAGAGCATCATCACAGTCAAAGAAGTTTGCTGGCACGTCTGGTATCAAGAGTGTGTTTGTTGCTATAGACTCTGCTTTGCGAAAATGGTCCATGATGTGAAGATGAAACAGAAGAGAAAGAACGAGAAAATAAAATAGCTGAGAAAGGCATATCGTCACTGCTTTTATTCCCTCTGGCTTTGGTATTACATTCACAATGCATTGATTTGAGAAATTCAGTCTTTGTTGTATACATGTATCTAACAGCAATAATAATAAAAATACAATAATATCGTTGAAATATCTATTCAATGTCGACACCAGTGGCGGATGCGGCTGCTGCTTCAGGAGTCTCTGCTTGTTGACCTTCCATTGCCTTTTGCTAAAATGCCACGAATAACGCTCAGATCAACATGTCCTTCCCAATCCAGCTCCACAGTTACTTACCTCAATAGCCAAAATAGTAGTGATAGTGGTGAATACAGGCTCAGGAATAGTCTTTTGGTAGATCATCACCAACTCCATAGGAGCAGGATATACCTTGAGTGCCTTGTAGAAGGGCAAAACAGCTTCATCATAATAAGAAGGACCTAAATAATGCCATATAAGTACCAAGAGGCTGTGTACCGCTAAAGCAGATTCCCTCATACCTTTTCCACACAAAGCTTCACCAGCAGCAACTTGTTCCATGAAATACTTTTCCTTTGCTTCAGCAGAAGTGGGCAACTCTTCCCTTGAGCATTCAACAATGACTCTTTCAATCAACTTTAATCTGGACTCCTTCTCATCCTTCTCGGCCTCCTTTGATGCCTTTGCGGCTTGCTTACGCTCACGTCCTGGTGGCTAGATGTTGGTTTTTCTACCTCTCGTTACCCCATGTTCTCGGCACTTACTCAATTGTTTTCTGAATTCAGGATTGCTACGTCTCTTTGAATCAAAGTAGATCAAATAACCAAGACCGAGAGAAGCGACGACACCAGTAGTGATTAAAGCAATAGTGGAGTTCTTCATAGTATATATAAAAATTGGAATGAAAGAAGAAGGAAAGAAAAATATTTTATTTTATTTTCTTTTATTGTAGTAGAGCCCTGGTGGTTGTGCTCACTACTGCTGATAAGGAAAAATATTTTTTTCCCTGCTACAGGCAGCATTTGTGCGGTTGGTGAATCGTAAATGTCATGAGCGATGTGTCATTCCATTTCTTAAATCAAACATCACGGCAGATTCCAATCAGCATGCGCTTTCAATGCACCTTTATAACTGACCATTTTGTAATGGTTTGTCAATGGGGCCGATGCTATAGATTAAAGATGAGTATTAAAAAAAAAAAAAAAAAAAAAAAAAAAAAAAACAAGCAGAAGCTACATCATCATGATGAGCGATGCAAACACATACACTTTCATGGTCGGAATATACGAGTGATAAAGCAGCACGAAATTTGGCTTCATTGAAAACTTGTTTTACAAATAGCACACATTAAATATTAGCAGTTATATACATTTGAACCTTTTTGCAAGCCAACTATGCCTGCATTGTACCAGGTTTTGCTACCACAACACAAACTCTGATCGTTTTTCATGGCACAGTGAATGAATGATTAAAGCAAACAACTTTTTTTTTTTATTGTTTATATATGTATGTACGAAATCTGTCTTATTTACATACAATGCACATCAAATTAGAATGCAACATTGCTTTATTTGTCTTCTTTGTCCTTCTTATCAAGATGTTCAATAGTTTCATCTTGCAAATTCTTAATTGGCCTGTCATGTTCCTTGTCAGCCTTGACCTTTGTTGAGGTGTCAGTATCTGTCATACACACACAATGAGCCCTAAAATGAACTTACAGCTGCTTCGCTATGAGATGCCAACTTTTCGTTCCATTCCTTATCCTTCTTGCTTAATTCTTTGTGCTTTTCTTTTTCGAGAACTTCGGGATCGTTGTCAGACATGTGAGAGAAAGCAGACATTGTTCTGACGGTAGCGGTATTAGTGATGGAGTTAGATAACAATGAGGTGACATAGGTAGAGCGATAGGCCTTGGTGACCTCGGTAACAGCAGTTTTGGCGTACATTTCTTTAGTGGATGGTGATTTATTGAAAGTTAGATTATAAAGAAAAAAAAAAAGTGAACCAAGCGGCTGCATTGCGTTGTATTTATAAGGCATTGGAAAATATAAAACTAAAAAAAAAAAAAAAAAAAAAAAAAAAATTATAGCCATCATATCAATGCCATCACCTCACACCAACGTCATTGTTGGAGAATAATCTACAAAAACTAGATTTAGGCGAAATGCATCACATTGCAAATATTATTGGTAAGCTTAATGGATACACATTCTTCCTCTTCGCGTGAAAATCAGCTCCTTTGTAAATCCCAATCAATGTTTACTTAATGATGAGGTCTTTTCAAGGTACTCACGCTATTCAGCGATGCTATTTATATATTTAGCAATTCTAGTGATAGCTGTATAGTATGATATCATCTCTCTTGAGGGTCTAGGGTATTGATACTCTAATTCCAATGATCTGCATTTGTCAGCGTGTTCTTTAGTACACACATTCACTGTGATTTGACATCTTATGCATAATTTAGCAAAGCTCAATCCACAGAATTACAGATGCAGATGCCATGTGTAAGTCTCTAACGAATTGACGCTACGGATTTATCGTTCGGTAAGTTATTGTAAGTGCAGTACATTATTACTACTGCAAAGTCAGCGCCTGAAGTATCCAGACATTTTTTCGCAGTATTACAATTGCTAGCCGATCAATCTCGCTATGCTCGATGACGGCGTTGCCCTGCTGACTCTCGCCGGAGACATTCCAAATAAGAGATAATAAAAATCTGGCATATCAAGTTGATTTCAAACGATCAATTAATAGTAAAAAAAAAAAAGGATATATCAGAGTTAGGAAGGGGGGTTATCCATTCGACTATATGAAATGTGGTTATCATCCGATGCTTCCTAATACATCCTTGGAGTATTTTTCAAGGCGCTTCCAATGATGTCAACTAAAATAGACGTTTTGATAGAACTTATTGAGCAATTTCAGAAAATACGAAATAAGGGTTTTGACCAAAATGCCAAAATTTTGCATATGATGGCCTCGTAAAAGTGGCTTCAGAACCTGCTTTGGGCCGAGAGAAACATTTTGGTTTAATATATACCGTAGTAAAAGTCTTCATTTTTGGTGTCAAAAACGCGATCGTTTGATTTTCGATAAAAACCATGAGGGAATACCTCATGCTTTTTGGTCGATTTTTGGCCATGTTTTTTTGGTCCTCAAAAAGTTGAGCAAAGGTATCAGTAAGCAAGTGCTAGCCGAAAGCAATTGTATGGTGCCATTCTGACGGTCTGAAGCGGCTTCCAACACGAGAAAACACGACTTAAATTTGGTTTGAATTTCGCTGTGTTTTGCATACTTTTGAGTAGCAAGAGGTAGTTGGACTATGCTATCTGTCCAGAGTTAAGCTGTTTCTGTTTGAGCAGACGGGGAGCATTATTCAAAAGTTAGATTCACTGTTACTGGCCCTTTGTAAGTGAACCTCCCTTGTTAATAGAAAGATAAGAGCCAATATTAGTAAATGTTGTTTGATACATTTTCAAAATTTTGTTTATTAGATTACAAAGCAAGAAACAGTGGAAATGTATAACAAAGAAGCATGCTAGTGCCAGAAGTGATTCCTGCAAGCCTTATTATTGCCAGTTTGCCATCAGGTGCCGTATCGTAACATTGGATGTGCTATCTGGACAGTAACTGCGGTTGTCGCCTTCTCCAAATCCCCACGGTATTTTATCAAATACCAAAAAAAAAAGATAATGCACCGCTGTATCGTACAATGGCATTATTTGGTATAAAATACCTGCAAACAGCCAAAAGAATGTCACCAAACAACATATCAGAACTCTCCTGATTTGTGTATTTCTTGGTCTCCATTTCCTCCATAGCAAGTCTCCAGATCAAATTAACAGGTCTTGTGTCTTTTTTTTTAAAGATGTTCCACCAGATACATTGTAGTAGTTGTAGACAGAAGGCTTGATATGACAATTCTTTACTGTATGAAATTGAATAAGCAGAATGAGAATCAAGGTATATACCCTACTTACAGTTCATGTCGTGAACATTGTAATATATTGCCGTATCGGAAGTGTCGACTCTATCTGTACGTGTCAAGTGCAGCGTGTTATTGGCTGGCATAAATGAATAGTCGGTGATGGCACAATGCTTTCCAACTGAGGAGTGGTATTCTTTGATTAGCATCGACACATCATTTTATGAAGCAATACTTACAAATATCATTTGGTAGGCGCTTTGTCTTTATCCGACTCAAATATTGAGCTTTACAGTCGTCAAAAAAAACACTACGTTGTAGTATAACGAGTACAAAATACATGCCGCCAACACAAAGTGAATGGAGGTGCGAAACGTCTCTACAGATAGATACAAGTTCATCTTGAGGAATAAAAAGAGCCATTGTTTGATTCTGCCAATCTGTAGCATTTTATACAAGCATCTGGAGATTGTGTCTCATTATCAAAAGTTGTAGTAGTACGTCAAACAAGGCATGTTTACACTCTTCTTATATAGACACAATGAATTGCGAAAGTCCACTAACACAAGCATCACAGATTGTCTGAATGTTGCATAAACATCTGAATGGCATATACTAATCGATAAAATGAACGCCTTGGATAGAAAGGAGCATGTATAGCAGCTCAATGTCTGATCAGCAATGATGTTGCGCACCGAGATGAATGGATCAGTTTGCTGTCGCTGTTGAATCTAGAGCACTAAAAGATGCTCAGAACGCTGCTATGCAAATCTCTGGACAGATTTTGCAGCTCCACCGTCTAAACCATGATGATTGCGGGGTCAAGAGTAGAGTGACATGTCAAAAACCATCATGATGCTTACTATCGATACGACGTCAAGTTGGAGCAGCTAATACACGGCCAATACTAGCGTCAAATGTTGCCCATGTAGAGAGGACTTAGACCTTTCATGGACCCTCTTTTTCACACACTGTATCCACCTCAAGACATGATACATCTCTTCGGAGTAGTGACTGGGATGCATCAATTTTAGCATGTCGTTTAGTTTCCTTTATTTTCCATTTGAGACAGATTCCTATTTTTCATTTTTCTTTTCTTCTTTCACTCAATTTCCATCATGGCTATTCAACCCAAGACAGCTGCATTGATTACTGCTGGCGTAGCAGTATCTGCTGGTATTGCTTACATGGTCTACTTTGATCACAAGAGACGCAATGACCCCAATTTGAAAAAGAAGCTCAGTAAGTGTTCCAACATCCCATGATTTTAAGAGGGACCCCGGTTTTTGTATATCCTTGTGCCCATCAAATGTTGACACCTGCATTGCTTTTTTTTTAGAAAAGGAAAAGAAGAAGGCTCAAAAGGAGATGAAAAAGGCCGAGGAAAAGGTCAAATCCACTGTTCTCCAAGTCATTGAGCAAGTCATGAGCGCTGCTGAAAAGGAGCCTTTACCTACTACTCCCGAAGCCAAGGAAAAGTATTTCATGGAACAAGTGGCTGCTGGCGAAAGTCTCTGTAACAGAGGTAAGTTGGTCTTTTTTTTGGGGGGGGGGGAGAAGATGTAAAATGCGGCTGTTGACCAACATGCGTTTAGGTGAGGCTTTCTATAATGATGCCGTTTTGCCCTTCTACTTGGCCTTAAGAGTATATCCTGCTCCTATGGAATTGATCATGATCTATCAAAAGACTGTTCCTGAGCCAGTTTTCCAAATGGTCATCAATATTATGGCTCTTGATGTAAGTACTTGTCAGCAATGAAGTTGTGTGTGAGGAGGGGAGATCAGCGAGCATGGGAGAGAAGGTTCATGCCAAAATTAGTATCAGATGCTAACTGCTCCTGATAACTTAGCAACAAAAACGTCAAAACTTGTTTTACGAAAAGTTTCCTCCCAAAGAGACCAACGTCAAATTGGCTGAATTGCCCGCTGGTGTCAATGAGGAAGGTACTCCTGTTGTTCGTCGCTCTCTTGCTGCCGACAAGGACATTTCTGAAGGCGAGGTCATCTACTCTGAACGTCCTCTTGTCTCTGCATTGTATCCCGAGCTGGAAGGATCTCACTGTAACTATTGCTTGAAGACTCTTACTGCTGAAAACAAGGTAGAATGTCCCAAGTGTGATTTAGTTGCCTTCTGTAGCGAAGAGTGCCGTCAAAGCGCAGATACTGATTATCACCAATATCTCTGTTCTCATAACAAATCAACCGAGATCAAGGAAGCGGATGAAGCAGAGGAAAAGAATGTCGCTTTGGAATTCCACGAAACCTCCAAGATTAGCAACACAAAGTACCCTTACATGATTGCTCGTTTCTTGTCCGCTATGGTTGCTGAAGAATTGAGCAAGCAGAAGACAGAGGAGAAGGTCGGCGAGACCACTTTTGGTGCCTGGGACCATGTTGATCGTTTTAGATATCTGGAAACCACCGCTAGCCCCGAATCTACTGCTGAAATTTCCATGTTGAAGCAAGTGCTTGGCCCCAAGGTACAAGGTATTAGCGAGTTCTTGTCTGACGAAATTTACTTGATGCTCAAGGGCAAGATGTTGTACAATGCTTATGGTATCCCTGCCTCTGCATCAGAGCAGGTCGAGGTTCGCCCCTCTGATGAACATGTGAGATCCACTGACCCCAACGCAAAGTACATTGGTGCTGGCCTTTACAAGATTTCCACTTACATTGGTCAATCTGATGAAAACGCCAACGTCAAGTTGACTTTTGAAAACGACAACCTCTCAGTTACTGCTCTCAAGGATATTAAGAAGGACGATGAGCTTCTTGCTTCTTACACTTTACCGGTTCCCAAAAAGTCGAACTAATCTTCTGATTTGATATGATCCCCCCTCCCTCTTTCTTTCACTCTTTCATATTTACATTTTTGACAAAATTATAAAATAGATTCTTGTACAGTATGTTTTTGAAATTTGTTGGCTTTTTCAGATGTTTTAGTAAGCTAATTTAAAAGGATTTATGCTGACTTGATGATGATGCTGTCATAACACATAAACTCGTTTTGTTGGGCATAATGCATTCTTTCAACCGGATTCACCCGCTTCATAAATGTCTATGCCTCCATTTTGACTACTTTTGACATCAGCGACTGAGTAATGAAATGAAAACTCGCCACAACATATTATTTTCCATTACACATCTTTTTCATTGCGAAATGTAAGTATTTAATCAATTTTGATAACAAAGCAAGGATAGTAATCATTGTACAGGGCTGACTATTGGGTTTCTCAACAAAGACACTGGTGCAAATACTGCAAGAAATTTGTTGCCAACAACAAACCTGTAAGTTTATGTGCTAGTTTCTTGGTAAAAGCCAACTGACATCATAACCTAGTCCATTCAACTCCACGAAAATGGTAGATCACATAAAGACGAAGTTGAAAGATTTCTGCGTGGAGTGTATCAAAAGGGGCGACAAGATCAAGAAGATGCAGAGAGCGTGCGCCGTGAGTTGGCACGTATAGAGCAGGTATGGAGAGCATCGCAGCAAGCGTGCAATGTAGCATAAAACCACCTTTTTCTTACACAAATGTAGGCAGCACGACACTCTGTTGGCATACAAGATAGATACAAATCATCGCCTGGACCCAGTAGTTATGCAGATAAACCAATTCGAAAAGCTACCGAGTATTACGTGAGTCCCAATGTACCCACAATCGAGGAACTGCGTCAACAGTCTGAGGCAGAGAAGGTCAAATTGCAAGGACGTGAGGAATGGGCAGTGAATAAGGAAATCGCCAAAGTGGGTGAATGGGAGACAGTAGTATCTACACCAGCATCAGTAGATCCCACTGAAAGCACTATCACCAAGAACGACCAAAGAGCAGAATCCACTTCAATGCATGATCAGGGCGCAGAGTTTCAAGACGATGATGAGGACCAAGAAGATTTGCATCACTTTAAAATTAAGGAGAAGGAATATCCTGTTGATTTAGACATAGTGCCTGAACAAGAACAAGACAGCGAGCCATTGACGTTTAAAAAGAGAAAGAACGACGGTGATGGCACCACGTTCAAGTCAAGAAAGAAGAAGCCTCTTCGCAAAAAGGATTGATGTGTGTGTGTGTGTTACATGACACCCAAATTCTCGCCAAAAAAAAGGGTCCTTTCTTCTCCTGTTTGTGGTGCTCCTTTTAACGCAGCTCCCTTTAACATCTTTTCAGGTGCATTTTGTATTATAAATTGCTTTATATGATGATTTTCTCCTTTTATATCTATTGAATCTGTATAATAAACAAGGGAGATGGTCGTTTTGTACAGAAAAAAAAAAAAAAAAGAACCCGTTGGCCATGTGATGCTGTTGAATCAAAAAAGTACACACATTTAAGCAGTAGTTTGTTGATCGAAATCATGATGATGGTGCCTCTTTCATTGGTGTGGTATTACATTTCTCTGTTATTTTGTTTTATTACTCGAAAGGCATATTTAAGCTTTTATTTTCTCCTTTTGGCTTTTTACATCTTCTCTTTTGCTTTAGCTTACCTTTTTTTTTTTTTTTTTTTTTTTTTTATAATGCCTCCAGAAGATGATGATCTGTGTGTCATTGGTGGATTCATAGTATCTCACACCATTGGCCATGGATCTACAGGCCAAGTCAAGTTAGGCATTCACCGAAAAACTGGAATTAAAGTAGCCATCAAGGTCATTTCTCGCAAACAGCTATCCACATCGCTCAAGATAACACAGGCAGTCGAACGAGAATTGGCTGTATTGCAGCTATTAAACCACCCACATCTCATCAATATGTACCAGATATTGCAAGATCTTAACAACATCTATTTCATAACAGAATACGTGCCTGGTGGTGAGCTCTATCATGTTCTCAGCGATAAGAAAGAGGGTCGCATTCCTGAAATCAAGGCGAGAGAGCTGTTTTTTCAAATTGCCAGTGCATTAGCTTGGTGCCATGCCAGACACATTTGGTACGCTTGCAGTTCTGATTGTCGCTTGTAAATTTGATCTAACCATTTACTAGCCATCGTGATCTAAAACCAGAAAACATCCTCCTCAGCAGCGACAGAAAGAACATCAAGATCGCTGATTTTGGAATGGCAATTATGCAACCAACGAATAGACTACTAAAGACAAGCTGCGGGTATTGATGATATCATTATTATGCTACATTCTATTTATATTAACTACAAAAAAAAAAAAAAAAAAAAAAAGATCGCCTCATTATGCTAGTCCTGAAATTGTGAGAGTAAGCGTTCAAGAAACAAATCCAATTATCTTTATTGACAAGCCTACTCAATTAGGGAATTCCTTACTATGGCCCAGCAGCAGATGTGTGGTCTGCTGGTGTTATTCTCTATGTGCTGTTGACTGGGACACTTCCATTCGATAATCATCACATTGGCAAATTGTTAACAAAGATTAAAACTGGGCGTTTCAGACCAATGCCAGAATGGGTATCTCCTCCAGCCAGAGATCTTGTGTATAGAATGTTGATTGTTGATCCCAACAAACGCATTAGTGTGAGTGGTACACTGTACTGTTGTTGTTTATATGACAGACTTACCCTCTTCGTTTGCCGAGTAGTTTAACGAGATTTTACTCCATCCTTGGATGCAATCAACGCAGATGGGTGACACCCCATTTACCATGCATTCGTTTTCATTTCAAAACAATAATCCTTGGCATGATGAAAAGTTAAAATCACCCATCTTGTTCCAATCAAATGATCTCGATGGTCCTACCAGAGAGACCTTAAAAGTGCTGTGGCGGGACCTCAGTCATGATCAAATTATCACTGCACTGCAACAGAAAGAGTAAGAGGTAACCCACATGTTTGTTTCACTAGAGACTCAACACTGATTTCATAGGCCAAACATACAAAAACTTACCTATCAACTTTTGCAACAACGACGTTTGGAAAGATCGACACATTCTACCTGTGACACAGAACAAATGGGCCTTCCATCGCCTCCAAACAACGGTGACACACCTTGTGATTTCCATCGAAATTACTTTGAATATAATGACGATAGTGACCCTTTGCTATCTCCACCTCCCGAGACAAACGGTTGCTTTGATGGCGCACCACAGTTGCAGTCAAACAATCATCATCACTATGCATCAAGATCATCTGACTATTGCAGCATCAAACCGCTCTTCCATCACCAGCCCACCAAGACACCCATCATCATCCAGCATATCATTAAAATTAGACCTCTCACGCATCTATCGACACCTAATGTAGTCTCTATCATAGAATCAAAATTACAACAGCATTCACTCTTAATATCTCCCTCGTCACCTGCCACCACTGTCACCTCCCTCGCCACCAACCTGAAAGCCCTTGAGAACAAGATCACATCATTCTTTGCATTTGAAAAGCCCAAACAAAAACTGCGCCATCGAAAAGAAAAGGTATCTACCTGTTGTACCGCTACATCAGAATATGTAGCTGCTGGCAAATTGCATTACATACTGTCGCAGGTAAGCACCTACTCACCATGTCACTGTCCAATACCTCCCACTCATGCGCATTATTAAAGCACTTTAAAGGCACAATGAGCGGATGCATATATCCCGACGGCCGAGTGATTTGGTCTGGCAAGCTAGGTAAGATTTCATCATTGCACGGCAGACACTATCATTGACCATTAGATCACAGGCCCTATTGACATTTGCCATCACAAAATGAGCTTTATATGCAACATCAAAAAGGCAGCAGTTTCCCTGTACAAAATTTCATTCATCATTGAAAAGCAAGATGTACTTCGTATGACTCAAATCATGGACATGCTGGATCAGTATGAACTCGACTCAAATGCCGTTATACAAGCAAACACTTGGACTGAAAATAGCTGTAGCATCTCACCGTTGTATACAAAAGGCTGTTAATAAAATACCAACTCTTTTGCATATAGCATTGATATCACTTAATGCCGTGCTCCTCAGTCTCTGTGGTATATATGTGATAGTGTCCGGACCGAGAGTTGATCGAAATCTATCTGCTATTCTCAACTCCTCCCTACCGCCTGCCCAGCCAGCCTATCCAAATTTCTCCAATGGGCATATGGACCATCCAAAGGAAAGCAGATGGGTAAATCCTCCTCTTTTTCCACTAGTTAGGCAAGTATTCATACAAGGAAAACGATGGATGATTGCATCTATCTCTACATCGATGTGTATTGCAGTGCTGAACAGATATGATGGATTCATCCATGTTTTGATGGGATGTTGATTGACCGATGCTAATGATTATTTCGCCTCTTTTTATATATACACTTTCAACACAACCTACAATACAACAACCTATACACAACCTATACTCCATGCTATTGATACACTTCATCTGATTCAATGCTATGTATTCAACCACTATTCAATTCGTCGATATACAGTTATGGGTCGTGTTATTCGTGCTCAGAGAAAGGGTGCCGGATCCATTTTCCGCTCCCACACCGTTGGCCGTAAGGGTGCTGCCAAGTTGAGAGTTTTCGACTTTGCTGAGCGTCACGGTTATGTTCGTGGTATCGTCAAGGACATTGTTCATGATCCTGGAAGAGGTGCTCCTCTCGCCAAGGTTGTCTTCCGTGATCCCTACAAGTACAAGCTCCGTACCGAGACCTTCATTGCCACTGAAGGTATGTACACCGGTCAATTCATCTATGCTGGTAAGAAGGCTACCTTGAACATTGGTAACGTTATGCCCTTGGCCTCCATGCCCGAAGGTACCGTTATCTGTAACGTTGAAGAGAAGGTTGGTGATCGTGGTTCCATTGCCCGTACCTCTGGTAACTATGCCACTGTTATTGGTCATGGTGATGATGGTAAGACTCGTATTCGTCTTCCCTCTGGTTCCAAGAAGGTCATTCCCTCTACCTCTCGTGCCGTCATTGGTGTCGTTGCTGGTGGTGGTCGTATTGACAAGCCCCTCTTGAAGGCCGGTCGTGCTTTCCACAAGTACAGAGTCAAGCGTAACAGCTGGCCCAAGACTCGTGGTGTTGCCATGAACCCTGTTGACCATCCTCACGGTGGTGGTAACCATCAACATATTGGTAAGGCCTCTACTATGGCTCGTGATTCTCCTGCTGGTCAAAAGGTCGGTTTGATTGCTGCTCGTCGTACTGGTCTCCTCCGTGGTACCAAGAAGATCAAGGATGCTTAAATCTTTTAAATTTCTACTACTACTACTACTCTGCCTTTTGTATTCAAATGGGAATAAAAAACGACACAAAACGTACATACACACAGACATCCTGGAAGATTTGAATGAGGAGGGATTTTATTAGATAATGCATAGAAAGGGGAGGCTAGATTTATGAAAAGTATGTGCTTGAGAGATAGAGAGAGAGAGAGCTTAAAGGGTGAGCATTCTTCCAAATCGAAGACCTGCAACAGCCAATCCAACAACCTTGACCGTCTCGAATCCAATGTAAGCACGATGCGCCTTGGGAAACTGCTCGTCTTCATGGCCTGTGCGATCAATTTGCTTTGCCTTTTTGTTCAATGTGGGGAGTAGGTAGACAGCTTGAATGGCAGTTACAGTAGCAGGAATCCAAATAGATCTAGCAAGCACGCCATCGACGAAGCCATGATTGTCAATGATTCTCTTGCGCCATTCACAGTAGAGATCCAAGCCGAGAACACCCACTACAATCTACACACAGTGTTTGTCAGCTATGTCACCATTGACATGTCAAAAACTCACCTCGATCTTGTTGAGCCAGTTGAAGCGCTGTCTGCCACAATCTAATTTCTGCTGATCACTAAGATGGGGCGATTGCAAAAAGAGTGGTGTCTCGAGGAAGCTCAAATTGAGTGTTGTCGCAAACCAATACGTGTTGACAATGGCCAAGTACAATGTCAAGTCTCTTAATGATGTCTTTTGCCACAATTTCTTGTGTAAGACGATTTCGATGGCAACAGAGGGAACCAAGACTTTGACAGCTGCGAGTGGATCTTCCAAGAAGTGGGTACAGCAGTTGGAGAATGAGGTGTTGGGCATATTGAGCAATATAAGATTGAAGCAAACGAAACAGCTAATTCAAAAAAAAAGTCTCCTACGCAACATTTATATAAAACGGAAAATATTCAGCGTTTATTTATTCCTTGATAAATCCATGCGCTAGTGCTTAGGATTGTGCCTAGTAAAATATTACTAAATAACTGACTAGACGCCTCGCATCATGTTGTGTGTCGCAGTGTATAGTTTGGGGTCTTCTCTACCGCCTGTCATTGCAAAGTTGATCAGTCTGTAGACGGCGCCCACAGTAACCGCAGAACCGCCAATGATGCCACACAATCTAACTAGGAAATGCAAAAATGATTGTTGACGAGTTTCGCTGATCTGCACCGAAATAGGCTCGATGTCGTATTTGAAAAAAATACCAGGAATTGTGTGGCCCTCCTTGAATCTCTTGTGTGAGTCAGTAACGGCGTATTGGTTTGTGAGTAAAATGTTGTTCCTGCGATCGACATAGGTGGTGGGCACAACGGATATTGCGTACTGGAAAATCTCAAAGTCTGTTGGACAGGTAAATTAGTATGCTGATCAGCGTATTTGAGGCTTTTCATCACGTACGGGTTTCAGAGATCTCAATGCTGTTGTCCAGGGGATTGATGAGGTTGGGGTACAGTTGGCCAAACGAGAATTCATCGATGCGATGCGTGAAGTTGAGCACTATACTGTTACATGAGTTATTCCAGCTGATACTATGAGCAAATCACTTACAGTCATGGCTGGTGTGCTGGCTGCTGGCATAGCCATGGCCATCAGATGTAATGTGAAGATTGGAGGCAACTTTGTTGACATTGAGTGAGCCATACAGTCTACATGCGCCCATATCGTCTATTCGAGCATTAGCACAGCGATCACAGCCAAATCCAGATAAACCTACTGGCAATCTCATGATTGTATTGCTTTCCACTGGCAGCCTGTATGATCTCGTGAATGTATTTAGGATCGTCTACTTGTCTGCCACACAAGAACATTTAGCATCCCATTTAGCATTGAGGTTTCCCCGCCCCCCGTGTAACTCTGGTTACCTGTATTTTGTAGCAGTGCGAGCTGAAAATTCAGCCTATAGAAAAGGTACAAGTCAGTATTTGGAACATGCAAGCTACGAGATGTACGCACAGGAATTAGCTTGAGATCGTCAGTAAGCCTTGTACGTTGGCCAGTAGCATCCACAACATGTACCATCAGCGCTATTGTCACTATATGAGTATAATGTGATGAGGTGAACAGCTGCAATTGTACTCACAGGGACATGGCATGGCAATCGTTGTATCAATGTTGATTTGCATTTTGGTATCAATAGTAGAGTCCACCAAGAACTTGTAATTTGTCTGTATTTTGCGATAACTAGCGTATGATTCAATGGCCAATGTCTTGAGGTTGTTGATAATCGAAGGTTTACTTACTCTGAGAACTCGCTCATGGTCAGCAAGAACAAGCACAGCGCGACTAGCACAGTTAAAAGACCACCCTTCTCGCTACGCTGTTGGTTGTCATCTTCCACCTTGGGAAAAGCGTCAATGGCCGCTGCCTTTTCCGCCAACTTACGAAATGACATGGCTTGGTTGAATGAAAAAGAAGAACAGTAATCTCGAATTGGAATACCTGATGAAACAGAGAGGGTTAAGGTACAAAGAGAGGCATCCGGGCCGAGGCACAAGGCCATAGAGCTTTATGCAATCAGTCAAGACATGTCCGGATAGCATTTGCTTACTTGAATCTACGCCTGATGTGACGTGAGGAAGGTAGATGACGTTGGTGAACAGACATACGCACCTCTCTGTGGGCTTTTTATATTACGCGTTGCCTTGACATTCTGTAGAAATAACCATTCAAGACCTTTCTTTTCTTTAATTATTGTTTCTTTTTCTAATATAATAACATCATCATGGAGGAAATTGGAATTCGTCCCAAAGTCGAAGTAAGTTTTGCTACTGAGGAGCATGGAAGGGGCTACATGCTGAACAAATTTACTTGATTTCACAGCAGGTCAAAGAGCCTACAAGTATCCTCTCCAAAGCCGGTCAGCTGGAAGACTTATCGGAGGGGGATTTATATGTCAAATTGAAGAAGCTTCAGAGAGATTTGGAGTTCATTGAGCTCCAGGAGGAATACATCAAAGACGAGCAAAAGAATTTGAAGCGAGAGTTAGTCAGAGCACAGGAGGAAGTAAAGAGAATCAAGTCTGTTCCACTCGTTCTTGGCCAATTCCTTGAACCTATTGATCAGCACACCGGTATCGTGGGCTCCACCACCGGATCCAACTACGTAGTTCGTATCCTCAGTACTATTGATCGTGAGCTGTTGAAGCCCAGTTCTTCAGTCGCTTTACACCGTCATTCAAATGCTCTTGTTGATGTTTTGCCACCAGAGGCCGATAGCAGCATCAGTCTTTTGGGAGCAGACGAGAGACCCGAAGTCGCATACGCAGATGTTGGTGGTTTAGATATTCAAAAGCAAGAAATCCGTGAAGCCGTCGAATTACCCCTAACACACTTTGATCTCTATCGCCAAATCGGTATTGATCCTCCCCGCGGTGTGTTGTTGTATGGCCCTCCAGGTACAGGTAAAACGATGCTTGTCAAAGCTGTAGCACATCACACAACTGCTAGTTTCATCCGTGTGGTTGGCTCCGAATTTGTGCAGAAATATCTTGGTGAAGGTCCTCGTATGGTCCGTGATGTGTTTAGATTAGCCCGTGAAAATTCACCCTCCATTGTCTTTATCGATGAAATTGATGCCATTGCCACTAAACGTTTCGATGCACAAACTGGCGCTGATAGAGAAGTACAACGTATTCTGCTCGAACTGTTGAATCAAATGGACGGCTTCGATCAAACATCAAATGTCAAGGTGATTATGGCTACAAACCGTGCTGATACATTGGATCCTGCCTTGTTGCGTCCTGGCCGTCTCGATAGAAAGATTGAATTCCCTACACCTGATCGTCGTCAAAAGCGCCTCATTTTCCAAACTATCACATCAAAGATGAATTTGTCTGAAGAAGTTGATTTAGAAGAATGTAAGTACAAGTGGAGTGGTTTTGTGTATATGTCCATGGCTAATATCTGTTTTCAACATAGTCGTTTCACGACCTGACAAGCTATCTGGTGCTGAAATCGCAGCAATTTGTCAAGAAGCTGGTATGCACGCCGTCAGAAAGAACCGTTACGTTATCCTAAGTAAAGATCTGGAGAAGGGTTATAAGGCTAATGTTAAAAAGGAAGATTCAAACTTTGAATTCTACAAGTAAACATACAATAAAATGGGAAAAAGAGCGTTGGAATCTTCAGTGTTTTTGTTATGGGATATGTGGGTCGATTTGTGATGGGGATGCCAGATATACGGGGCATAACAGTGGTATTGGCAGATCAATTGGCTTGCTGTTCATGAGCAACTATATCAAGCCTGTAATGTAGCTTATAGTTGCTTTATCTCGCTGTAATGTCCTCATGCTCAGATGGAAGCAATAATGTTATTCGGTCTTTTTGTACCTTTGTTTCGCTTCGATGAGGGTCTACCTACACGGCAGCAGCGAGCCATCGTTCAGCTCATTAAAATTAGTGCAGGCTTCATCGAATATGCTACAACTAAGCATCTAACCCAACATTTGGTAATATTAATCTCAATGAGGGTTTTACTGTAGCGCAGCGAAGAAGGTGCGAAACCATAGTATTCAAACAGCAAATTCGGCTTTTCATTCCCATTGTTAATAAGCTTAACAGCAACACAGTGCATCAGAATTTGCATGAATTAGCTTTACCAAAATCAATATGCCTCCTATTCGAATTAGAAGTTGCACAGGCTGCAGAACTGCCCTTTCGTTCAGAAGACTTCAGCTACCAAAGATGTGATTCATGCCATGTAAATAAACTCTATAAAGCAAAAACATAGCCAAATTTGACAGCTTTCAAGCCTTCATATCTTGATATATAGACCTTTATTTGCTACCGGAATGACGCCAAACAATTGTACTTGAGTAGTAGTAACTTCCTGACACCTTTGCTCAACTTTTTGGGCCAAAAAAAAAATGGTCAAAAATCGACCAAAAAGCATGAGGGGTACCTCATGGTTTTGGTCGAAAATCAAACGATCGCGTTTTTGACACCAAAAATGAAGACTTTTACTATGGCATATATTAGTTCAAAATGCTTCTCTCGATCAAAAGCAACTTCTAAAGCTTCTTTGTGAGACCTCTATATGTAGCATTTCGAGATTTTTACCGAAAACCTCATTTCATACTTTCTTGGTTTGCTCAATAAGTTTGTTCAGAACACGTATTGTAATTGGGACCATTAGAAGCGTCTTAAAAAGTATTCCAGGAGAGCATAAGGGAATATGCGATGATCATACGGTTTCTATAGTCAAAATCTTCAAAGTGAATCAAACAAGTCGAAATTGATCAAAATCTGGCCAATCTTGAGCAGACGTCAAGCGGAGATTTAATGAGCAATTTTGGCTACCAAACCTATGCCTTCGAGAATATAGTGGCAATTGGTGTTTTTGAAGCTCATGAGAAGGGAATTGCGGATGGGAAAGTACTACAACAGTATAGCCTTGCTACATGCTTTTGCTTCTGTTGTGTAGCTTTATACTTGGTAATGTGAGTCAGCGTGGCTAGGCACAGAAATAGCTGTAAGCCCACTTTAGCAAGACTCTTTCTCATTAGAGGATTATTCATCACAAGCAATATCATAAGCACAATTATTAATTCAAATGAAATAATACAATGATATACATTTATTCAGATATTGACAGTTACTTTTTGTTTGATGTTGTATACAAAGATAGAGAAACCATATATATATATATATATAAAAGAAGATAAGAACGGGTTATGCAGCGATATATAAAAAAGTTTATTTAAACAGAAGCTTGGATAGCGGGTTCAACGAAATCCTTGGAGGCCTTGGCACCAGTATCGTCACCAGCAGCGGCAGCACCACCGTGAAGAGCCAAGAGAGCAGAGACATCGAACTTGGGTGCCTTGAGGATCTTAACCTTGCGAGTGTAGGTGTTTTGGAGAGGGTAGATACCTTGGCAGGCCTTCTCGATACGGACGGCAATAGCATCTTGAGCAGATTGAGAAGCAGAAGAGGTAACCTTGGCAACCAATTCCTTGAGATCACAAGCAACAGCTTCCTCAGTCATAATTTCAAACATCTTCTTACGGATTTGACGGATTTGAGCAGCTTGAGCGTAAGTGGTCTTCTTGATTTGGTTGCGACGACGAGAAGTGAAGGAGACAGTGAAGAGACGAACAAGATAACCATCGGTAGTCTTGACATCAACGAAAGCCTCAATCAAAGATTGCCACTTCTTGACCATAGAACGGAGCTTGTCAGTGGTCATATCCATACGGTAAAAGTTGGTGAGACAGTTCTTGCCTTGGATTTCATCGACCTTCAATTGGATCTTACGGAAAGAACGAGCTTCGTCCTTGGAGAGATCACCGAGAGACATCTCGACAACACGACCATGGAGAGAGTCGTTGGCGTTACGGAGACCTTGAGTACGGTTGACAAGAGTCTTACCCACTTGACGGACGTCGAACATGGAGGGAGCTTTGATATCATACCAGTCCTTACGGGTGAAGGGATCAACACTATTATTATTACATTTAGTCATCAAATGCGGATTGCAGTAAATCAGCACATCTCCCCGCCTAATTATCAAAGAAACGGTTGTAGCGGGTGTTTGAGATGGGCGTACATGTTGCTATTGTGTATAAATGCATGTAGTATCAACAATGCTGGCTGCTGCTGTTTACGTGTAGGGATGATTGCTTGATCGTCATGCAATTGGTGATTCGTCTTATTATCCACATGCTGCTCCAGAAATGTCGTCGTTTCTTTGATAATCTTGACAAGAAGTGTATAGCCGACTAGTTAATAACTTACACCTTCTTCTTTAAACCCTTCTTTCCTTTTGAAAGACGCCTATAGAGACGGAGTGCATTGATGAGTCTAATGTGTCTACTGATCAAGATATGGAACCTACTTGTTCTTGCCGACAGCTGTTTACAATAAGAGATGAAGAAGCCAATTCAATTGATTAGTACAGCGTTCAGATGGATATTCCATCATTTTGCAAAATGGATGGATGCTTCTACGTACCCATATTATCTATTAAGAAAGAGGATTCAATGTTGAGGCAAGCTTGATGTGTATAGCTTCGGTAGAGCGGCCCTTCAACGCTCAGATAAGTCACTGGATGCTACTATCCTTTGCATTTAGCACAATATAGACCGGACCATGAGGATCCACAGGCACTAAAGTAGTGGTGGTAGGCAGCGGACCATCTCCCAACTTGGCCAAAAACTTTTGGTGCTTATTTAGCCTCAAAAATTCGATGAAAACGGTGTACAAATACAAATCAAATATGAATTGAGCTATGCTAGGCAATAGACTAGATCTGCCATGGCTTGCAGAACATTTCGGTCACTCCCTCCATGATATATAGCTGTATTTACTACGTTTCATAGGAATTTTGAAGGCTTTCAGGCACATCTCCGCTTGCTTGTGTCCGGCTCGCTTGTCTCAATGTTCGGTTGCAAGATTCGGTCGATTTTTTTTGCGAATTATATCTAGCAAGTTACAGTGCACACATTGAGGATCTTTCTCTTTGTAGATTATATTCATCCAATATGGTAAATTTCACACAACCAATGCATCGATCCATCGATCCATCCATCAATAGCCAACGATTCAACAAAGCTAACCACAAACACTGAAATAGGGTAAAGTTCACGGTTCTTTGGCTCGTGCCGGTAAGGTTAAGTCTCAATGTCCTAAGGTCGCTAAGCAAGAAAAGAAGAAGCCCAAGACTGGTCGTGCTAAGAAGAGACAAGTTTACAACCGTCGTTTCGTCAATGTTACCACTCAAGTTGGTGGCAAGCGTAGAATGAACCCTGCTCCTACTGCTGGTCCTTAAATTGGATCAACAATGTCTCTTTTCAATCTGATATAATCAAGTTTATTCTCGAGAAAATTATGAATATGCGTGGATATTACTCATCAACAGCGATTATATAGTTTTTTCCCCTTCTACGAATAAACTTTTACATCTATACACAGAACAATTTATCCACAGTGAACTTTTGGATGCCGTGGCCTGTCGAACTGGAGATGATGTGGGTGGATATTTATGGATTGAAACTGGATCGGGCTAGGAGAGTGAGAGGAAATCGACATTCCGCATGATATGAATGTAGTTGAGGGAAACTCTGGATATATTGATAATCGAAACGATTGGGGGGGGGGAAATAGTGTATAGTTGGGGGAATTTGAGTGTTTGACACTGATGCTCCTGGATAATGGCATAAACTATTGATTTCATGCTAAATATTAAATGTCCAAACATTGTTGTCCTTGTAGTTTACTCCGCTCCACAGCTTCAAGAGTTACATGACACATTATATCTGGTACACAAACAAAAACAACTATCTATTGAATGAACCATAGCCAATGTTGCATGAATTTCAGCCATTCTTCTGATATTGCTTTCAATTGAGAAATGCGCATCAAAGTTAGTGAATGGCAACATTTTCTTTGAACATTGCGAAGGAGGCATCACAAAAGACAAGCACCAAATATCAAAGTAAAGATCGTGATTTTAGATGATTCACGTCTGAAAATTTCTTGCTGTCAATACATGTAATGCAGCTTGTAAATAGCTATGATGGGTCTAACCCTTTTGACCTGTGCAGCGCCCATGCTCAATCCAGTGATACATAGGGCATTGTTTCAATTTCAAGCAATGACTCTACAGAATATTCGGTTTGGCCGGAAGTTTTCGTTGGTTTCAGATGCCTGTGTTTCTTGTTGACGACATGCTTGGGGTAAATTGAGAAAGTGCAAGTATTATAATTTTGGAAAAATGGGGTTTCGATATGATTTACGTATTTACATCATTTCAATGGTCCCATCTTGCGGTTGAATCAACCTAATTATTACCTCTACACTATGCGTATTATGAGAACATGGTTATAGGTTTGCATGTTAAATGGGAGTATATATGCACCAGGACATGTTCATGTGCATATATTTGAATCCACTTGTTCATGCCTTGGTTGCAGAACAGTGCAAGCCGTTTGAGCCAACGAGCTCAAGCTGCTTGACCATTTAGATTGATGCTAAATGTATATACTAAATACCATGACATTAAAACGAACATCTTCCATGAGCGTTCGACTTGTTGATTTGACCAAAATCTTCTAATTTTTTTTTTTTTCAAATGTAGAAACCTTCTCTGTCGTGCCTGAAACTTGGTCAATTTAGACCCTTTACAGGCTTCGCGTATGGTTTGCGCTTGTAAGACATTCATGTCTGACACAAAGTCAGATGTTCTTCATGTATTTCCCTCTTTCTTTGCTTCTAACACAAAAAAATGTGTTTGATTCAAACTGAAAATTAGAATGTATATAAATACCAACTGCCATTTGGCATATTTTCCCTCTTTTTTCGGCATTTTTGAAGTTGTACACTCTCTTCTCTTTACAAATACATGAATCTTCCTGATACTATTCTATTGGACATATTTTCTTATATTCCTCTGCCTGAACGTTGGCTTGTAGCAAGGTATATTTTATCAACAGATTCATTTTGTGTATCACCACTGACACCAATGCCATTATACAGTGTTTGCAAGCAATGGTATGGTATTTGCCATGATCCTTATCTTTACAGACATGTGCAATTGGACAACTTGGAGTACAGAACACTTGTACTTGCATTGCACACACTTGTGGGTGTTGCCTCTCGAATCAAATCAATCACCATCAGTGGCTGCTATTCAAGGTTTATCCAAGACACGATCGTACCGGTGCATTTTTCAAATAGAGCTCACAACACGGGCCCAATGCTCTTCTCTCATCTCACTGCCCTTCAACCCTATCGTCGAAGGGATGAATACCTCAAGCATCATTTTGAATTGCATGATGAATTCTCAGACGTCTTTACTCAACTACTCTGCAACAATGCCACCACGCTTACTAGTCTCACTGTGCAAAATTGCTCCCTGGATTTGGAAATGACTGAGCTGTTCTGCTCCATTGCTTGCCATGCCCATGCATTGGAGTCATTCACTTACAAGGACAACCATGATAGGGGTATCCACTCTTCGGGTCTTTTGCAAGCCATTGTCACGGCCTGCCCTCGTATGCGACATTTCCATGGTTCACATTCTGGCATGGACGATGCCGTTCTGCTCACCATCTCTCGCCATTGGGTTTCACTTGAATCCTTGACTCTATGCTCACTAAAGTCCCGTGACGTTTTAAGTCATGCAGAAATCATCAGTGATGGTCGTCAGTTAACAGGATCATCACCCACAGGCCGGATCTCTGGTCATGCTCTTTGGCAGTTGCTAGAAAAATGCCAAAAACTTGTGTGCTTGGAGTTGTATGATCTAGCCTGTATTTCCAACCGAGAATTAGCTGTATTCAATACTTTAAAAGCAATGGCCATGCAAGAAAATGAACGACAACAACAGCAACAGACATCTCAAGGTACAGCAGCATCAGTCAAGCGATTTACACCCTATGCTATACCCAAATCCATCTTTGCCAACAAGAGGTACAACGCAGCCTCACGCGTTATACCTGGTTCGTCCATTCGCCAACTGATCATTACAAAGTACATGACCACACCCTTATCCAAGCCTGGATTTGAAAGTCTGTTGAAACTGTTTCCAAAACTGAACCGCTTGGAATATGAAACCAATTTTCATACTTTTGATAATATGTTTGAGGGTATCACTAGAGATATGTTTGATGCTGAGTGTCTCGCAGTTGAGGAATGGTGTGATGAAAGAAAAGGTCAGCTTGAATACGTTGGACGTTGGCATACTGATATGACAGCTGAGCAGCGTTTGATGGCTGGCATGGCCAGTGTTTCTGAAGGCGCATGAATTCTGTATAATAGAAGTATACCCACCTTGATGCTTTTTGTATATATATAATATAATAAACAGGACTTGAAACCGCAATAGAGTTAGCATCTTGTGTTTCAGCAGCTTTTTCTTGAGCAATATTCGCGTTCATGGGTGAATTCATGCAGTCAGCAAGCGATTGCAATCTAAATGATCATTACAACACTCTTCAAGCAGAAATTGATTTTCTGTAAAAAAAAAAAAAAAAAAAGCGACCTTGCAATTCCAAACAGTGTGTGTTGTTTCGCCATAATCCATGATGACACATCATGACGATATGTACTTTTCACTCGTGTCTCGCGTCGGTTTAATGATTACTATTGTTCTCAATGTAAAAATAGAAAGAAGCAGACTTATCATCATCGTCAAGGGGAGGCAGATATGATGTCGATGAATTTTGATAAATGAATCAGGCAAGGAGATCTCGAGTGGGGAGTGAGCTCGAGGTGCAGCTTTAGACGTAAAACATCAAGTGGGGAGGGTACCGAGGAGGAGACGCATTGAGAGATAAAAATAACGTCGAGGGAAACAAAAACATGGAAAAGTGGGAAGAAGCATCCGAGTATCCACACTGAGGATCCCCGGAGGAAGGCGAAAAAGGGAGGTTACAGAGAGCACATTGAGGGAGGAGATACGAATCAACATGGCATGTATAATATGGAGATCGACACTCTTCATCACCATACGATGCTCGTGAATGGGGGGGGGGGGGGTGACGAGGCAGACATGTATAAAAATGCCGTGCTGTAGCACAAGATGAAATGTTTCTTTTATAGCAGCTATTCTATGATCAATTGATCATTTTGGCACAGATCAAAGCTGCTTGCTTACTAGTGCTAAACATTTGAATCGACCTACTGGGTGTTGCTTGATTTTGCATAACGGAAACAAAGATGAGCCAGTTGTATCCAGAAGACGCTTTCTGACCTGCTACACGTCTGGTGCTATCCTCCATTGAATGGATGCTGTGCTGACTGTCATCAGATTCATTCAGACAAGTGGAGACACACTGAAATTACAATTTATAAGGGATCAGCAAGTGTAACCCACCCACCACTCCATTGGTGGATTTCTCCCTACTTGCTCTCTTTGATCCCCTTATTCTAATTGACAGCAAAATATTAAAATCCATTTATATAAATACAGCAGTTGTATTTATTTTCATCATTCTTTTCCATTAGTTTTTTTTTTTTTTCTCTCTTTTTCTCTCTCTTTTTCTCTCCCCTTCCCATTCCTTTTATTACATACACTCCTTTTTTCCTCTTTTTCTTTATTGTTATTTCGTATTTTTGTCTTCTTGAAGAAAATAAAAATCCCTTGTCTTTCCTTTTCTTTACAATAACAATGCTCGCAGACCACTACCAACAAGAAAAAGAAAATGACATCCTCAAAGACATGTACATGTATCAAGATATCATTGAGCAGGTAGGCATCTTCTCCATGGCTGATTCATGCTCTTTCCTTGATCTGACGTTTATTCTACTCTCCGATGCTTGCAGTACCATCAAGATGAGGATGAACAAGACGACATGTCTGGAGTCACCGTGTCTCAGCATCTTGCACCTGAACAGTACTTGTACGAGTTCCCAACAAAGACCTGCTTGAAAGCATTGGCCTACTTGGACAGTGAAGAAGACGAATACTCATTTTTCGATGAATCCTCATTTTTCACGACAGATAGCAGCTACACGGCAATTGAATCGGTTCAGCAACACCACGATGGCAATGACGATCACATGAATTGGAACGAAAACACAATGCTGGTTGATGATGGCAGGCTATCACCTCTTCAGCTACCTGCTCAAGCTGATATTATTACAAACATTAGACCACGCGAATCCTTTGTGAACAGCTCAACCCAATCAGATCAGCCTGTCGGCCCCTCTTCCTTCTTATCCGATGTTCGCAAGCATCACATGTACTACCATGTTACACCGGCAAGGACAACATCGTACATGCGTAAAGGTAACATGAGCAAGTGAGAACTGGGGTTTTGTGTATATAAGCTAACATGCCTTGTAGGATACTCTTTTACGTCTGAACAAGAGTACTGCGGCCATGTGCCTATGATGGACTCTGACTCTGACAATACCACAACGACCACCAAGAGCAGTGCATCATCTTGCATCGTTTTAATTAAACTCAACAAGCATAAGCAATTACCAATGGCATCTGTTCAACGGTGCCCTACATCTCTCACCTACTTTGCCAGCGACGAAGGCTACAATGACGATGAAGATGACCTATTCGAAGGTGCTGAAGAACTAGAGTCTCATTGCGTCTTTTATCCCTTGTCTGACGATGAAGAGCAAGATGAAGATTACGCATGGACAGCCAAGCATCAAGCTGCAGTCAAGATCCAATCCCTTTGGCGTGGTTACCGTAGTCGTTGCCAAAACAAACAAACCTTCCGCAACATGCGCCCCGAGCAGCGAGTCTTGCTAAACTTGGCCAACATCTGTAGCCGCTTACACCGTCGTCGGATGAACACAGTCGACGAGAAACTGCATCAATTGGAGCAACGAGTGCGACAAGAAACAGCGATGCGCATGGCGTTTGAAAAGGCAATGGAAGACATGACAGTGCTTATTGATCAGCAGCAAAAGATCCTCTACGACCGTGTAGAGCAAGAAGTGCACATGCGCCAGCTGTACGAAGACAAGATGAACACTGCTCTGGCTCAATTGCAGCCACTGGAGTCTCGTCTACGCAAAGAGGTCAATGCTAGAAGCAAGATGGAAGAAATGATGACTCGCGTTTTAGATCAAATGCATGAATCGGAAACCTCAAGATTGGAACAAGCAAAGCAAGATGCAGAGTCAAGAAAACTGATGCAGGCTAAATTAGACCGTGCTATGGAAGAGATGGCCATCCTCCAGAAGCAGACAGCATCGACCAGATCCAATTCCTCAATCACCACCACCACCACAACAACAACAACAGCAGCAGCAAGTGGTAGTAGACCTACCCCATCCACTGTGCGCCGTCCAACGTTAAAATCATCACTGCCATCTACAGCATCATCTACAAAAACATCATCCACTGCATCATTCACTATCACCACCACAACAAACACAAAATCATCTGCTACCCCCAACACCACTTCTCTTCGCCGTTCTACTCGCCCCAGCACAACTAATACCACCAAAAAAAGTACCAGCAACCTTAATATTTTGCCAGAACGACCATCTGTTGTACCATCTGTTAGACGCCCATTATTAAATTCTAAAACTGGCAGCAATACAGCCACCACTGCACCTGCCAGACGTACATTTTTGTCCCGAACATGATTTCCCTCCTTGTAATCTTGGTATTACTATGTTCTATTGGGGAGAAAAAAAAAGTGCCTTATTATACCGACTTATTATAGCTTCATAATAATGATAATTTATACACATTTCCTTAATAAAATAATAGCATTTTATTGTCACAATTCAATCTATCAAGCAAACGAAAATTCATTGTGTTGTTCGATTCTGTAATGCAAGCGACATGTATTTTGGTTAGAGGCTTGTATTTGCCAGTAGCTCTGGGGTTGCGAATGATACCTAGCGTGCTTTTCAAGGCTCCAATCATTGCCGGCATACTGACCCGAAATGAAAAATGTCTTATCTCAAGGGAGAGTGCTACTATCTGGGTGTTGTGCATTAGTGTAAGGAGATGGATACTCCCAATTAGCAACTTTAAAGGCTACATTTGTCCATACACAAGTCTACATCGATATTCCTCACTTCAGATTATGGTAATTAGCCATAGAATATGAAAACAGGGTTAGTTTTGATCTACAAGTATGCGTAATATTGAGGCGAATTTAATAAACAGCAGGATGCTCGTCCTCATAAAAGCATAAACGCCTGGTGGATTTTTAACCTTCTCCCTCAACTGAACACAAGCAACAATGCGTTCATTTACAGTGTAACATCGATCGAGACAATGGAGATACTGTGCCACCAATGCTTTGTACATGCGACCTTAAATGGCAATCGCCTCTTGTGTCTCTCTATCTAACAAAACCTGAAACGATGACAATATATTAACTTGCATGAATTGTTACAGAGATTAATGTTTGTTGCCAGACTGGGTTTCTATTTCTACAGCACATTTTAGCCCTCTGGGTGCAATCAAAAGAAAGCGTATATATATATATATATATATATATATACTGCCTACAGAGAACATTGGATGATCTTTAGTTGCTCTGCATGCATCTTTAAGGGACATGGTTTATTTTTTTTATCAAATAAAGGGGATTAGATGCTTCTTTAACACATACATGGCGATAAAAATGAGGATGCCATGTCAATAAATGCCTTCTTGCAAGAGGGGCTTCTTTTATCTCTCTCTCTCTCTCTCTCTCTCTCTCTCTCTCTCTCTCTTTCTTTCTTTCTTTTGTAGAAAGTACACTCCTCTGGGCCCTCTTGAGATATTTGGCTTCACAATCAGGCATCACATATTAGACGCTGTAGCACGGGTTCTGTACATTGATATTGAGGACTCACATTGTACATAGCAGTTGCATATAAGAAGCAAACTCAAGATAGAAACTTACATAGAGCACGTTTAATTCATATTTTTTCTCTGTCCCTTTACATCTGCCATGTCATCTCTGATCATTCATGAAAAGACACATTTGTCAAGCAGTTTACCAATCGTAACCGGCGATGGAGCTTCTTCGGCCTCGCCATCACTCTTGGATGAAGATCAGAGCATCGAGAAGGATCGGTCCACCATCACCTATGGGACAACCTGGGTAGCTTGGCTGCAAGTGATAAGCATCATACTGGTGAACAGCGCCTGCTCATTGATGTGGATGAGTGGCTCCAGTTCGCCTATAGCCGTATCTGAATGGCTGAAAGTAGACTTTTCCGCCCTGAATTGGCTGTCCAATGTATCTGCTATTGTGAATACCCTTTTTTCCCTATTAACGGGTTGGTCATATCAACGATTTGGAATCAAGGCAAACATCATATTTGCGGGTGGCTTTAATCTAGTGGGCTGCTGGATACGTTGCATTGCGATCATTGTCCCTGAGAATAATCGATACGCAGCCATGATGGCTGGCCAATGTGTCGCCAGTATGGGTGGCCCATTCGTTTACAAGTAAGTCCTTTGTGCGTGTTTGTGTAAATCACTCATTTTTATGCGTACCTGTTTTATGTAGTATTGCTGCAAAGGTAAGCATAATTCTGTTGTCTTGTGGCATTGCTAATGAATATGAAAACAGTTGGCCGCTGTTTGGTTTGCACCTGAGCACAGAGGCATAGCGAACACCCTATCAAGTATAATCGAACAGACACACAGTGAACAAGACAATTTCTAATAGATTGCTTTGTAGCCTTGTCGTTTGGTATGGCAGTTGCACCCATCATTGTCCCCTTACTCGCTCCCACAGTAACAAATGTACCATGGATGCTCATCGTCATAGCCATCATCTCAACAGCATCTGCAATTCCATCCGTCTTTTTGCCGAGTGAACCTAGAATCCCGTCATCTCCATCGTCTGACCAAGAACGCATGGGTATCAAAGAAGGCCTCAAGTGCTTGATGAAAAATAAAAGCTTCTGTTGGATCACGGTACTATGTGCTGTTAATGCAGGTATGGTCTTTTCTGTGTCTACATTGATTATAGAGGCCATATCTCCATTTGGCTATACGGATCAGCAGTCAGGGTATTGTGCAGCTGCAGTAGTCGTTTCTGGTTTTGCTGGGGGCATCTGTTCGGGCTACTGGGCGGGCAAGACGGGGCAGCATGTCATGCTCATTAAATTGCTAACCCCTTTGATGGCTTTCACGTACGTCATGTTTATCTTTGAAAGTAAGTAGACTGTATCTATATGACACTAGACAAACTCAACTAAAAAAAAAAACAATGGGCTGCAGTGATCCCGAATGCCTTCAATGTGATCTTGTTCGCTTGTATCTGGAATGGTTTCTTTGCTTATGCGTTGTTTCCTATACATTTAGAGCTTGCATGCGAAAGTACGTAACATGACTTATCACTCTAATTTACGCAGCTGTTGACTGTTCTCGACATAGTCTCTTATCCCGTACCAGAATCAGTGTCATCCTCCCTTTTATGGGCAATCTCAACCGCTGTCATGCTTATTTTCTGCGTTATCATCGACTCCTTGCGTGCTGGTCCCGAAGCTGATCCTCCAAACAATATGAAATTCTCCATGATTGTCGTTGCCATCATCATGTGTGTAGGATCTTTACCTTCTGTATGGCTGAAAGGGGACCTAAAAAGACTTGCCTTTGATTTAGAAGAACAGCAAAAGCATGACAAGTAGCATTGCCAACCACGGATGGCGATTTATTTATTCAACACTTTTCCAAATTCAATACAATATCAGCCAACTTGGCGAATTGATTGCTGTCTGCTGTATGACGATCCAGAGAGACTAAATGCAAGTAAATGTCAATATAACCATTTTCATGACCCTTGCCTATACTTGCCTGATTTTGCGGGATATAAGATTTGAGCAGCCTCGTTGTATTTCCATCCTCTTGCAACAACCAGCTCTTGTAATACATCAGCCTCTGACAAACCAAAGTACTCTGCTGCCTGGCTTAATTGAATTGCTGTGTAAATTGTTGAGACAAGCTGGAGCATGTAGTTTCTTGTGTTTTCCTTGATCTTTATGATTAAGGGTTGCATCCATTGAGACCATTCAAATGCGTCCAAGTCCATATATACTTGAGGGTATGATTTCTTGCTGATATCAACTACAACTTTCCAGATAGCTTCGATTTCAGGTGTGGTGTCTTTTGGTTTTTTGCTATTGATGCGTTGACGAATGTGTCTAGCAGTTTGTCTAAAAAAAAAAAAACTGTGTCAGCTATTCAGCTTGAGATTGGCCATTTCTTGATACAATACAGGTCATTCATCAATATACAACTTGCTAAGGCAATAGGATACACCTCCTTGATGTTGATTTCTTTATTTGTCGCGTGCTGCTTAATTGCTGATTAGATTCTCTACCAGGCCTCTCAAGTGCTGATTGTATACCTCAATCTCCAACAGCTCGCATTGATTCAAGAGCTGATGATAGTTGCTTTCTGTGATTAAGGCTGGGATAGCATCCATCTCTGTATTATTCTGTGTCAAAAATGAAGAAAGAAAACATTTCAAATTACAATCTGGAAGAACAAGCGTGGATGGCATCCAGCATTTCAATCTCCATCCGAGAAGAGAATGGCTCAACTGCATTAAAACTAGCTTCGGGATAATCTAGGTGCAAGGATCAGTCAGATCGACTTGATGAAATGTTTGGACCATTAGCCAAAAGCGCTTTTATTTGAGCGATAGCCTATAATCGATAGATGCAGTAGCTTAAAAAGTCAAGCATTGCAGAGGATACTATCGGTGCAATGCTATGCTAAATCAAACGTGGGGTAGAAATCAAAGGAAAACCTAATGATACTAGTTTCAAGCGCATTGGACTGATTTCTGATAGGATAGCTATTGCGGCTTTTTGGTTGTTTTTGATAGATTACCAAGCTTCTACTGTCCCAACTTTACTTGTAGTACTTATCAAAGTGAAGAACAAACAAAATCCTATCGAATGAGCCCTGGTTCGAAGCCCTAGGAGGATTTAATCTTGAAAATATCATGTTGCAGGAAGACATTTTTGACCATATCTCGGGAAAGACGCATCATATTCAGATAAAATAAAAGCCATCCATTAAATTCACTTTGAATCTATCAGGACGTGAGAGGTTTAAGTCCCAAGTATACGTTCCCTTCACGATTTTTCTCAAAATTCCGTATTTTACGACCTTTATTAGGCAGAAGAGTGGTCAAACTCTTCTAAATAGAGTTATATTAGACAAGTAGTTTGGTAAAAAAAATTGAAGCGCGAATCAAATGAAACTACACTTGTAAGTGATACTATACAGCTTGTGTACGAATAAGCTTGGTTCTCTATATATTTTGGTGTATGTACTGAACCTGCATCGTTGTAAACTCCAATTTGAGGGTTGCAAAACTGATTTTAGAAAGGAAGTATCATCATCGTAGGCGTACAAACCAGGTCTTATGCGGTAGAGAAGACACAGGGAGGCAAAGCTTAATTAATAGAAAAAAAAAAGCTTGGTTGAATTGACAGTTGTGCTGTAATAGTATCGAAGCACTACTGGCGTGCTGATCTTGGTTTGCTTTATACTTTCCTCGCTTACTTATTGGCAATCGATGCAGGGACTAAAAATCCATTATATGCTAAACAACCCCGCATAATGGGCATATAATAACCATCTTGATATAAAATCTCTATCATCAATATAGAGCGTGAAAGAGCTCTTCTTCCTTCTTGACAAGATGCGCAGCATAGCTTCAAACCTTTGCCAAACCACAGCGAAGTAGGATATTGACAAGCGAGTTTAAATACAACGTCTGACAACATCTCATCCATAGGTCTAGCACTCGTAGTTACTTGTAATAAACAGCTTTCAGTAGGTGCTATACCTAGTTATCTGCTCAAGGTTGCCTTGTTTAAAAAAAAACATTCGTTTTTAAACACCAACCCACCATCCAATCTAAGATCCAAGTACACTATTGTTTTCTTCGCAAGATTTTGCTATAGGAACATGCTATTCTCAGAGCTCTAGCATCAATGATATTTCAAAGCTTGATTTTGGGCGGCCCAAACTTCAAGACCGGAAATACTTTTGTACATCCAGAGTCTTGGATGTCAGGTAAAAGATAGCAAACCATGATGAAAACATTGAAACATATATGTTGGAAATCAATGATGTACATCGCATGCTTGTTGGGACATTATTTGGTACTGCTGCTAGGAGGACCTTGTATCCAGTGTACTGCTGTAGTAGTACCTATTATATAATTTTCCGTACATAATAGATTTAAAAGAAACAATCCTCACATAAAATTTTGTTTAGTGGATGATAAATACAATGATTGCACCTTATATTACTGCTGAAAGAAGGAGGATTATTTAGATTGTATGTATTTGGTAACCTCTTTATTATTACAAAGACAAGATTATATTAAATGGCATGTAAATAACAGATCAATAGGAAATCAACTAGTTGTAGACCTTTTCTCTTTCAACTCCAGAGCCAATCAAATCGCTCGAATACTCCGCTGACCTAAAAAAAATTTTGCGAGGGTTTCCCCCTGTTTTGACGTGAGGCAAAATTTTAAGCGCCGCTATATATAGCAATATAGCTGTTACTATCATCAAATCTCCCTCAGGTGCTAGAGCATGCCTTACTTACACCACCTAGCTTTAGATTCTGGCGTTGAGACTCTCAATCATCACTAAAGTAAGTAGTGATAACCAAGTGGAGGCGGCCTATCCACCTCCTAGCCTCGGATAAAGTCTTGTTGAGTTTCAGGGATAGGCACATCCACACAACGTAAGAAAAAGGTATGCTTCAAAGAAACATAATAATAATAAAAAAAAAAGAATGAAGAAAAGAACATACTACTATAAGAGTATAGTAGTACATAGGCAAAAACAAGGGATACTCACACAAAGTGAGTCGAAGAAAAGTATAACAAACACAACATCAGCGATGTTCAAAAAAGCTCGTTGTTGTTGCAATAAAAATGCATACATGAGCAACGTGCATGGTAGTAATAGTCGGATGATGTAAAGCAACATGGCACAAATGCGCACAACTGCAAAAGCAACAGTGGTATTATAAGTATGCAATACAACATAATGACTAATGTTGTTTCATGTGAAGCCACAGAGGAAACACCACCAACAATAGAAAAAGAAAAACGCAACGAAGAAAGCATCATGAATGCATTATCATGAGGAAGGAAGCAATAATACAAACGTTCAAAGAAGTTTTATATCATCGCGACCAGAAGAAAAAAGATACTTACCACTTACCACAGCCATAGATAGACCAGAAGCGTATAGACAATGACCTGAGATAGACCAAAGAACGAGTATACAGCAAATACAGTAGACCAGGAAACACCAGACTAGCAGCAGCAGCAGTAATACCAGCACCATAGAAGAACCAAAGAACGAGCAGCATCAGCAGAGACCAGACAAAGACCAAAGAGGTTACTTGCCACTTATCACCACCGCAGATAGACGAGAAGAGGATGGGCAATCACTAGAGATATACCAGAGAACAAGCATACAATAAAGACAGTAGACCAGGAAACACCAGATTATCAACAATACCAACAGCACCAACAGCAGCACCAACACCAACATCATAGAAAAACCGACCACCGAGCGACACCAGAGACCAGACAAAGATTAAAGAAGCAACCGCTTGAGACAAAGACCAAAGAAGCAGACTGCAGAGATAGGAGAGAAGTAACGGCAGCAGCATGCACGTCAAGCAGGCAAAAAAATTATCGAAGCCTAATAAACAAATTCGATTAGTAGTACTGATTTTAGGCCTTCCAGTGCTCGTTATCGAATGGTACCTAATGTATTCCATTTCAAAGAAGCAGTATCAAGTATTTATAACAGTGCAAGGCCGTGTTGTCAGAAGTTAAAGTGTTATTTTCAATTAAAAGGGTTCCAAACCAATATTGTATGATACTAAACGCGTTTTGCAAACAGGGTAAAAAAAAGGGAGATACGGAGAAATAAGAGGGCGCCCTACTGGACGTCACGGCCAGTAGATTTAGTCTCAGCCTTCTGCCGTGGCAGTCGCAACTGCTGTACTTTAATTTGAAATTGTGCAGTGGGTATTTTCGTGTTCAAATTTGACTGGAACTTACATTCTTCAAACGTTTTTGCTAAATTTGACTATGAGAATTGTCGTTATTATACTTTACTTTCTAATGCATTCATAAAGAGTCAATGAAGGCGCATCGAATGATGCTGGTTACATTCAGCTTTCAGACCGAGAATAATGAGCAATTTGCGAAAAGTTCAAAATCGGTTTTCTGCAAATATGTCAGCATTTAGCATATACAAATCTCATAGAAAAGGCTTCGGGTGCTGCATTCCATCTTTACGATCAATTTGGTCTGATATGTATCATAGAAAAAGTCTTCATTTTTGGGATGAAAAACGCGATTGTTTGATTTTCAGGAATTTTCCCTTGCTAATACTCATGTAAAAACGACGATTTTGATGAATTTGCAATGACGCAGAAAAAATTGAGATAAAGCATCAGTAAGTAAAGCGTATCAAAGGAGAGCCATTTGGCCCTATTCTAAGCGTCTACAACGCTTTGTAGCATGAGTTATTCCTGCTTCAAAATGGATAGGTTTGGGCAGAATCTGGCGTAAAAATAAGGTGTAGTATGTTGTGCTGCCAAAAAAATAAGTAAATTACAGTTCTGTTTGATGACCCAGGTGGTGCTATGCATTGTACGGAACTTAGTTTCTAAGTGGTAGATGCTTTTATTCTAATCCTGAATGAAGCGAACTAGATTAGATTCCCGTCATGAACAAAGGTCAAAATAAATGTCATCTCAATCAAGCCATGCTACCATCAACAGATAAGCATACATAATAATAGTATTAGTATGATGATAGCAAGGGTTAAATCATCTAAAAATAAGAGATGACAGATACTGAAGTAAATCTCAAGGGTATTGTAATGTGTTGTAACATAAATATACCTAAAAAAGATACATGCTCAACAATAAAGAGCTATTCTCTATGCAGTGAAATCAGGTTTAAATAGATTTCACAAAAAAAAATAAAGCAATAGTAAAATACAATAGAAATCAACTGTATTTTATTTTGTGTATAAAATGAACTGAAGATCCTGGAATTGAGTAAAAAAAAGAAGAGTATTTATACATTTGCAACTAGCTTGTAGGATTAGTGATGATAGAGAGCAATAGGTGCTGCTATTGCGATATCTGGCAAATGTTGTTGATGTTTGATTTAAAGTGGTAGTCAATGCAGGAGCACTGGCCATAAGGGTCGATTTGAGTAACCTTGATGGGCTTGGGTGAGCTATCGTCATAGCATGATTTAATGTAACCTTGATGGTTTAAAGTGTGATGTTTGTTATTGAAGCATGGAATCCTTTATCTGGGATATTGTGCAACTATGGCAGCAGGGCATAGTTGTCATATTTGAATATGCTTGTTATTGATTTAATTCTATTTGGATAAAGATACCATCACCTATTACGACCATCATGGGTGTGATTGAATACACTGTGATCAGGAGTGATTCATTCACACGATGTGCGATATAAGCGTGTATCTTTACTTTAGTATTTTTAAATGGGTTTTTGATGTACATTTGAGCGCTTTCATTAATAGATCCAAATAGCATGAATTTGAATGAGTGCTATTTGATGAACTTTGGTTTTCAATTAAGTTGCGTTTGGGTGGCTATTTCATTACAGGTGGCTTGAGGAGAAAGTGAATGTAGCCTAAGATGCATGCTTGTATGCAACATACACTCTATGCATAATTCAAAAATCATATACTGAAATGCCGCTCTTGATTCATCAGATCAACAACTGAATAAACCAACAAAAATATATAAAGTAACGGAATCACTGGCAGCCGCTAAACTACTGTCAGCAGATAAGAGATATAAACCAAAAAATATAAATAGAGACGTAGAATATATATTTTATTGCACATTATCCTAATCTCGAATAAAGAAGGATTTTAACAGTATTCTACCTACTTTTTTCAGCTCCTTTTTTACTGCAAATATAGACCGCTTCGTACGCTTCAATTTTTAATATGCTCAGTCAGATTTATGCTTGTGTGGTGTACATATGCGAAGGTTAAACGGAGCTTCAATTTCTACTGTTCTGAATGAGGATCCATGGGATTCCGAAATCTATCAACCTTAAAGTTACGCGTTTCTTGATAATAAACAGCCCTTGAAATTTATACGAAACTTGTAGAGAATTTAAAGGAGAATGCACTGGTATTTACTTCAAGTGTTTGCTACACATTGTTCGGCTGATATTTGACAAGTTAAATTTTAAGACTTTTTCACTGTTTTCTAAAGATTAATCACTATCTGTCATCAAAACATTTTGTTAAGCATTACTAAACATTGTAGAACAAAAAAATTCCTATCGAATGAGCTATTGCTTGAAGCTCTGTCAGAAATCTATTATGAAATATCAACAATCTTGTAATAACCAAAACAAAGGTCACCAGATTTTTTGCTTGCTATCGCACGTAGATTTTGAAGAAAAATTCATGATTTGGCATGATACCCCTTTTTGACCATATCTCAACAAATACTCACTGGATTCGCACAAAACAGAGACCGTACAATAGCTCTACGTCATATCCATTATAATATAAAAGTTTTAAGTACCAGATGTACGTTCCCTTCATAAATTTGCTCAAAATCATATATTTTATGAGCTACAAGCAGGGAATATCTACTTTTTTTTTATTTATCTATAATAACCATACCATCGTATAGAGAATTAAAAAAGAAACAGAAGCTATTAAGTCTGAAGCTCTCGTTCACTTAGTAAAATTCAGAGCTATGGCCCTTTGAAAATCGGTCATTTGGAACATCTTCAGTCATTACTCATTGGCATCACTTTCCATAACCTCACATCAAACATGTCCTAGTCAAAAAAAGTCTCTTCTACAACTTTCACTACACATACATCCCACATTCATTTAGTAATTTAGAAAGTTTTACTAGCAACATCTATTCAAAATTAACTACTTTCTAAAATCACCATTTCTCAATAACCATGCTACCTACGCAAATTCCAATTACACCATCGTTTAGAGGGCAAAAAACTGGTATAGAAACATGCTAGTTTCAAGGCTCTAGCATCAATATTTAGAAAATCGATTTTCGATGGTCCAAAAGTTGAAAACCTCAAAATCAAAAAACATTTTGTACATCCGTCCTCATAGGTAAAAAAAATTAGAATCTCATCAAACTTACATATGCTGTAGAATAGTGATATTGGATCAAGTTCTTAGTAGGAACATTATATAGGAAATGCATACTTCATGAGATAATCAACATTGGAGATGCTATTTTTAAGCGGGGGAATATGCATGCTTTAAATTGCAAATCTTATTATAATCGAACAAAGCAAGCTACAACTATCTAACCTTAAAAGCAAGATTCTCCATTATGTCAGGTATCTATTGATAACTTGAAACCAGCAAGTTAATATGGCCCTTTTCGCACGCTCCGATTTTTAAAATGCTCGGTCAAATTCATACATGTGTCATGTACACATGCCAAGGCTAAACGGAGCTTCAATTTCTATTGTTCTGAATGATGATCCATGGGATTTCGAAATCTATCGACCTTAAAATTATTTGATTTTTGATAGTAAGTAACCCTTCAAACTTATATGAAACTTGTAGAGAATTTAAAGGAAAATACAATGATATGTAACATATCAAGTGCTTGGTACATATTGTTCAACTGATATTTAATGGGATAGTTTTTGCGATTTTTTGACTGTTTTCTAAAGATTAATCACTATCTGTCATCAAAACATTCTGTTAAACATTATTAAATATTGTAGACCAAAAAATTTCCTATCGAATGAGCTTTTTCTCGAAGTTTTGGCATAAATCTATCGTGAAATATTGACAATCTTGTCCTGACCAAAAAAAGGTTGCCTAATTTTTCCCTGGCTATTACAAGCAGATTTTGAAGAAAAATCCATGATTTTGCACGAAACCCTTTTTTGGTCGTATCTCAACAAATACCCATTGAATATACACAAGACAAAGATCATTCGATAGCTTTATAGTAAATCTAACGTGTTTAAAAGATTTAAATGTTCAAATGCGCGTTCCCTTTATGCGTTTGCTCAAAATCCTGTATTCTACGATCTTAATAAGGCAGAGAAGTTGCCTAAAGATTCAGAATAGAGTTGTATTAGCCAAGCAGCTTGGTACAGAATAAAAACTTCTTGCTTCAAACAGTAATACTCTCATTAGATTATTTACAATTTGCGTCTAGGTTGGCTTGTTTTCCCATATATTTTAGAGATTTGCGAAGGAAAATATTTTATAAACCTGCACAATTCCACCTATAGCATTGTTCATTGTGTAATCAAAAAGTACTATAGTTCGAGGCATCACTTGAAGCTGATAATACTGATACAAAGTTAGTAGGGTTGGTACATTTGCGTAGTCAATGCTCTAACGAATTCGTTCATTGATCCGAATAAGCATGCCATACATAAATTATTCTGTATCACGTAAAATTTGGTAAATACATTACCCAAAAGCAAATGTCAAACGAGATAAATCGTTTGCCAACAAAAAGTCGCAAGTGATTGTAATAATCAGTAATTTTATCTAAGCAAGAAACACTAATTGCCTATATACAATGGATCCTTGGCGTTCTGAATTATACGAAAAAAAAAAAGGTTGGCCTGGTAAATGATTAAATAATGCGTGTCATCCTAAATAAGCTCAAAATCGTGCCAATACTGCAACTAAATTAAGGTCAAGGTAGTACCCTGTTATTGCTGACTCAAACAAGTGTAGACAGCCCCCTTCCAATTATCTACTACCATTTATCTGATTCTTATTTGGAATGACAATGACAAAACAGAGAACTCTAAACCTTAATTGTAAACAAGTGCTACTACGGACATCTGTATATTGGAGGGAGAAACTATTACTGCGAAGAGCTTTGTGCAAGCCAAGTCTAAAGCATGTGATTGGGCCTCAATTAATTTATTTATAGTGCTAATCTTATTGTGGTGAGCCTTCTTTTGCTCTTTTCTCTTACTCTTTTCGTTTTTTCTCTCTCTTTCTCAATTTTGTACCAAAGAACTGAACAGTTTTCTCAAACGGTTCCCCCACCCTTTCATTTAAATCAGCCATCTAACCCTTATCTTTTTGCACTTTTCACGCAAAAGAATCAATCAACTGGAATCTTCAAGAAAATTTTTTTCGTTCACTGAAGAAACAAATTTGAAAAGCAAGCAACATCAACTTTTCTGCTCTGAATAACTGCTATATATATTACTCAAACATCTGTAAACAGTAAGCAGCGATCCAACCTACAAATTTTGTCGCTAGTCGCTCATCAACTAATCAACAATTTCTTAGGAGCAACCAAACAAGAATGGGCCAATTAATATCTGGTTTGAACCTCCGTCCTGGAGATGCACTTGTACCTGAACTGGGTTTTGATCTCGAGAGTAAGTTTATTTTTTTGTGGTTGTAATAGAGTACTAAATCGCCATTAATTTAGATGCCACACCCTCCAGTGATGAGCTTCAGTTGTACAATAAACTTTCATCGTTATTAGTGAAACCAGGTCCAGCTTTGCTACATCTCTTGAAAAGTTATGTTCCTGCATCTGATCAAATTCGCGATGCAATTGCCAAACCAACTCCTGAAAATGAATCAAGAGCTTGGGATGCCGTCTCTCCTACAGTCGATATTTTGCGTGATATTTATGATTATTCAGCTGATCTACGTAAAGTTTGAAATGTACATCTTGATCTGCCTTTCATCCTGTTTACTAACATGGTTTTTTAGAGGAAGGATTGCCAAAGCTTTTGAGTGTCTTGTGTCAAGGTGATGTTAGTAAAAATTTGGAGAGGAATCAAGGCTTAGCAAAGCTGTTTGCTGAATTGCTGGATTTTGTATTTGAATTTGATCATTTGAAGGTAATTTCTCAGTCATTTATCATGTAAAAGATGTCTAATAGCCATGCCACAGATGCGTAGCCCAACACTTCAAAATGATTTTTCATACTATCGACGTATGTTGCAACGAGGACGTTACAGTAGTCAAGGTGGGCAAGATGGCGATGACAATTCTGTATCAGATTTAAGGAGTGCCATGATTGAAGATAATCAAGCCAACCGTATATCACTCTTTATTGCCTATCCTACTCCTATGCTCAAATGTATCATTGATACCACTACAAAATTTGTAAATAATAACCGATTACAAAAAAGTGTGGGAGACTGGCTTGCTGCATTATGGGCCACTTGCTTCAATACCGTTAGTAAGAAGAGGTAAGAGAGCAAATCACCGAGCGTTCATGGTAGTGTGGTCCTAACACTGAGACTAGAAATCAAAATCCTGAAATATCAGCATTCTGTATGAAGGTCATGGTAGTCTCGATTATTCTGTACGACCACATTGATCCTAATGGTGCTTTCTACAAGAATTCGCCCATCAATGTAAGTAACGTTTATCGGTGATCTCACTTTCGCAGCGGTACCTAACAGTTTTGCTAGATCAAGCATTCCGTCAAAATTATCCAGACAATCAACACGGTCAAATCCAACGAATACAGCGCAACAAATCTACTGTCTGCTCTGCGATACAATTCAAAACATCTCAATGATGATACTACACCAAAAAATGTCAAGAATTTGGTGTTGGCCACATAAAAGAGAGTCTTAATAATTTTTGTGCCACAGCAAAAAAATAACTTTATTTTCATCTACTAATATTCTTTTCTTTATACACTCTATGGCTTAATGTATTCAACATTTATTCTTAACAAAAATCGCTTCGCCTTTTCTCGCCTCACAACCCTATTTTTCTCTTACTATACTACTTACTTACTACAGCAATTTAATAATAACAAATTTACTTTATATTTTACACTTTTACTTGTAACACGGTAGTTTCCTTTTTATGTGAAAATCAAAACGTTGGTCTTTAATCTCAATTTAACCCTGCGCTGGTGTAAATGTAACATGTTCTGATGATTCAAAAACTGTTACGAAATAGCAAAGTAACTTTGGGAATACAAACACAACTCGCACCATGTAAGGCGTGTCTTTGTCACTGCTAATAGCCTTATGTTTGCTAGCCAGAGTCGTGGTTGTGATTCTTTGTGAGCCATCTGTGAAAAAAGTTAAAGCGCTTCAAATAGTGAGCATATCATTACGCACTTTCTTCTACGATTCTGATTAACAGAACCCTGCTATGTGAACAATCGTTCGTAAGCCGTGCTGGTAAAATTAATGTTCGACTGAGCGCCAGATTGCCATATTCTCTTCTTGATTTAGATCACCAATGACAACCAATTTGCAGCGTATGAATTATACCAAGGTGCTCCTTTACCTTGTATCTCATCATCACTGCAACCACTCTTTCCTTTCAGAATACCAACGTAATGAGATGTATCTAGCACAGACTCGCTGGAATCACACTGTGTGATTCAAGTTTGAATTAGAAATGATACACGAACTTGCTCTCTTAATTTGGCATATTCGGTGTCAACGGACTGAAAACTGTAACGCATCAAGCACAAAGACCTAATTTTAGTTTCTTTTCGCTCTTCTTCCATACATCATAATGTACTGTTGGATGAGTCAAGCCGTCTTTCTTTGAGAACAATGTATATGAATGCTATGAAAAGGCTGTTAAACATCAACTAGTATTAAATGCTTAAATAAACCAGAGCAGCAGAGTCAAACAAGACAGCCGCATACACTTTGCATTTGCATACTACTTTGCATAAATGACTTTGCTCAACTGGACTAAATAATCAAGTTGTGTTCATGGCTATGCGATCACCATGATGTCTTTTTTAATAAGCTGCTTCATCCATCATTGGTTCATTAAAGCCATCGTTCGACTTCTTCGGTTACTATTATGCTTAAGTAGTGGCTCGTATACTACGGGATGTCCTGCATTTGGCAAGGCACTCTGACACAACAGCGTAGATGGACACAGTAGTAGATGCCACCTCAGTGAATAGGTGTGAATGGTGATTATGATGTCTGTGCGCATATAACAATTACTTTTAAGCTTGTTCTCAAAGTATATTTCTGATTGCAGTTATCAACCTGGCGTACTCCATCTGCCAACCTCAGACAACAGTAAAATAAAGACGGTAGAGCAAATATTCGATGCCATGGTAAACGCATTTATTATTTAAAATATAGGCTAGTTACAAAATTTAAGCACGGGCAAGACGAGCGTTGCGGGCCAATTGACGAGCATTGAGCTTGACAACCTTCTTGTCATCAGCACGGGGAACAACTTCATCCTTTTCAGTGAGAACAACCTCGATGTGAGAGGGAGAAGACATGAAAGGGTTGATTCTACCGTGAGCACGGTAAGTACGACGACGGTGCTTGGGAGCTTGGTTGACAACGATGCTAGAAATGTAAAGTTCCTCAACGTTCAAACCCTTAGCCTATAAAAAAAAAGTAGCATGGTCAATAATCCACCATCATGCCACTATACTCAATCACTTCAACTTACTTCAGCATTGCTTTCAGCATTCTTCAACAAGTCAGTAACGAACTTGACAGACTTGACGGGCCAACGACCTTGAGTGGTACCGAACTCCTTGGCTTGAGAAGCACGACCAACACCACCGTTGAATCTACGGAAAGGAATGACTTGCTTGTGTTCGGTAACATTGTTAAGATAGGCATAAGCCTTGGACAACTTCAAACCCTTGACAGCAACGGCAACTTCATGGGTGTTCTTGAACTAATTGATGGAAGATATACAGTTGGTACATGTCAATTTGAACGAATCTGGATCTACAGATTACTTACGTGAACACGGAGGTAAGAACCTCTGGACTTGGCAGCTAAGAACACATAATTTAATTTGCGTGCTCTGCAAAAGTATCTAGATTCAAAAACTTACCCTTAGCGGGGTTGGCTGGTGTAGCAGCGTATCTGACCATAGTTGCTCAACAGACTATAAAATGTTGAATAGTCGATTAGTATACGAATTCTTCGACATTTGGAGCAGTCGGTATGCAATGAAGAGTTGAAATAGACATTCAGAGCATGAGCGAGCAAGTGTTTGGTTCTATTTCCGTGTGATGCTGTGTGTGTATGTATGCGAGGGAACTGTTGTATGCTAATCCAAATTTTTTAGGTGGTCTATCTTTCAGACTGATGGCGGTCATTGTCGACCATCCAACGTCAAATTTCGATGCATCTGTCAAATCGATGGCATATCCCAATCTTCCTCGTTCCCCATGTTGGCTCGAATGTGTCTATTTCAATCTTCATGCATCCTAACGGTATACGTACTGTCGAATAAAAGGAAGGATTGACTATGACATTGTTTGCATGCTCGTATAATCCTGTCTTTGCAAATCGGTGTCTTAATGACATCCGGTCCGGGAACAAAGGCTTTTCCACGCTGAACGTTTGGATGCAGAATAAATTTTCTCTTTGCGGTGATGGTGAGTCGGATTACGGGCCAATGAAGATTTTTGAGACATTTGCAAAGTTAGCATTTCAAATCTCCAGTGCCTAGTGCTCCACAAAGACATGGATTCAAAATTTTATAGTCGAGAAATACATGTATTCACTGTAGCTGAAGCTATACATTGGCTTGTTTTAAAATAAATCTCAAAGAACACATTTTTGATCTAGTTAAATGGCATGTTCAAAATCAGGACAACTGTGAAGATTTCAGCTTTTGTTTAGTATACTCTTTGAAACGACAAAGTCTACATGAGCATATAAATGTCTGGCATGACATGCAAAGTATTTGGTATATCAGTTCATAGGCTTTCTTTGTTCAATTGCAACGCAATGTCTTTTGACATGTCTACAATGAATTTTTGCTCGGCTTTTTTAAAACCCAGATCTTTCACAACGGACATTTGGGAGGGAGCATTTAGAATTAAAGGTATGATTTCGATGTAAAGATAGTACCTCCTCTTTAATCATATCTTTTAGGTAAGATCGTTGAAAGATGAATCTCATCGAATGGGTAGCAGAATATGGACATGGAGCATCCGGTAATCAATCAATCAGCAATGCATTCATGGTCAAACTGATCAACGATGGATGGATGGGGCTAAATCGGTGGATGGATTAAAATGTCTCCATGAAATGGTTCCACTATGTGCTGATTTCTGATTGATATCCAGTGTGTACATTCTCTGCCCTTTCAATGGGACTCTGTGTATTACTATGAACATTATGTGCTAACTACCTCTCCATTTTATTTCATTCTCTTTGGTCTCAACAGTCATGGGTGGTAAGTTGAATATAATATTGACACATTGCTTACCTAATGCATTGTTTACTGATCTCACTTACACACAATAGCCTACAAGTATCTCGAGGAACTTGCCAGAAAGAAGCAATCTGATGTCTCCCGTTTCTTGCTCCGTGTTAGATGTTGGGAATTCAGACAATTGAATGTCATTCACCGTGCTTCTCGCCCTTCTCGTCCCGATAAGGCTCGTCGTTTGGGTTACAAGGCCAAGCAAGGTTTCGTCATCTACCGTATCCGTGTCCGTCGTGGTGGTCGTAAGAGACCTGTTCCCAAGGGTGCTACCTACGGTAAGCCTGTCAATGAGGGTGTTTCTCAACTCAAGTATCAACGTTCTCTCCGTTCCACTGCTGAGGAGCGTATTGGTCGCAAGTGTGCTAACCTCCGTGTCTTGAACTCTTACTGGGTTAACCAAGATGCTACCTACAAGTACTTTGAAGTTATCCTCGTTGATCCCTCTCACAAGGCTATCCGTCGTGATGCTCACATCAACTGGATCGCTAACCCCGTCCACAAGCGTCGTGAGGCCCGTGGTCTTACTGCCATCGGTAAGAAGTCTCGTGGTCACGGAAAGGGTCACCGTTTCAACAACACCAAGGGTTCTGGTCGTCGTGCCACCTGGAAGCGTCGCAACACCCTCTCTCTCCGTCGTTATCGTTAAATATCATCTTGATCTTTTTACAATGTTTGAGAAAATCAAGTTTTGGTCATCAATTGATACTTTAATAAAGCAAAAAATATTTCATATTTGACATGGAAATTGCATTGAACTGCATGAGCTGGGATGGATAGTGATGGATGTGTACAATGAGACATCGCGAGTGTATTTTCTTCAAATGTGCCTATGTTAGAACTCGGCTTGAGAGAATTAGTAATTTTTGAGCAGTGCCTGACATTGATCACAGTTCAAGTAGACCTCGGCCTGATTAATAGATATAGTTTATCCCAGCGCTTGGATAAGCACAAATTCGTCTTTGTAGCTTCTTTCGTCGATTATTCGCTTCAAAAGAAGGAAAACAAGGACATGGAACACATGTTGAGAGTTTAGTTTTATTGAGTTTGATATGTTAACAATAGAAAAGGAGAGATGAATGGCATACATGGTGGTATTAAGTGTTAAAATAAACGTTACTGTACACGAGTGTGTCTATGCTTCAGATAGCTCTCTACTATCGCTTCGCTTCGATAAGAACCAACCTGCGCAGCGGGAGCTCTCGCTGCTGATTGCCCTTGCGTATCTTATCAAAGTACTGCTACTTTCAATTTGACCTTCAACTTGCATATGAGAACTCTTCATATCATCTATGAATCTGACTTTTATGCGATGTTCCACATTCGTATACACGTAGATACTTCATATACAGGCAAACAGCATACTGGTATTTCCCCTTTTTAGTCCTTAGTGTCCCTGATACAGCAAAATTTGAATGCATTTGAGCTGCGTTTTCTCGCGTCCAAGGCCGTTTTAGATTGTCATAATAGGACCAAACACTTGCTCTCATCTGGCAGTTACTTTCTGACACCTTTGCTCAACTTTTTGGGGATCAAAAAAAAACATGGACAAAATTCGACCAAAAAGCATGAGGTACCCCTCATGGTTTTCATCGAAAATCAAACGATCGCGTTTTTGACCTTGATAATGAAGACTTTTACTATGGTATATCTTAAATCAAAATGTTTCTATCGATCCAAAGCAACCTCTGAAATCATCTTTGTGGGACTTTGATATGTAAAATTTCGACATTTTGGCCAGAAACCTCTTTTCATATTTTGATAAATTGCTCAATAAGTTTATTCAAAACATCTATTTTATTTGGTACCATTTGATGCGCCTTTAAAAGCACTCCAAGAAAGCTTAAAGAAGCATTTTTTTTTTTTTGTAGGGGAGCCGAGCTCCATTTTTTATTTTAAGTCCTTCAAATGTCGCTATGAGTGATAGGAAAGACTGGGTATGATTACAAGAGGATCGGAGGAACGAAAGAAAAAAATAAAAATAACAGATAGAAAAGAGCAAATGGATAAAAGAGGAAAAACTGAATACTTACGAATCTAGCTTTAACTCGGCATCCAAGCGAGCAAGAGAGCGAGCAAGACGATGTTGAACAGTGTCAGCGATGAACGGGGTTCGGTCGAAGATCCAGCGCCAGTGCGCTTGCCATATTGTCAGCAGAGTAGTTGCGAAAAGTTGAGGAATAGAGAGATCATTGAACGAGAGAGAGAGATCACGATCAAGATAGGGAGAGGAACAGAGTAATATTTGTTGGAAGAAATGAATCAGATCAACATCAGAGATTGAGGAAGAAGCAGAGAGATAGGTGTGGTACATGTGTCGCCAGACCAATAACTTGGGAGGGCAGGAGAACAGAGTATGGGTGATATCCTCCGTGGTAGAGGCAGAGCAGATGGTACATAGGGGAGAAGGGTGTTTTTCGGGGATGCGTAAATGTAGCAGAGCTCTTGAAGGGATTTTTTCGTAAATAGCTCGGTACCAGACCGTGCGAGCAGCCAGGGGGATTGAGATTCTCCAGAAGGAGAGCCATTGAGCCGGCCGGAGAGGAGAGAGTGAGGAGGAGGTAGAGGAGAGGGTTTGACGTAGTTTTTTGAAGTAACGGATGCTGTTGAGCGGCAACCGGCCTCGCGAAGGCAAGGAAGAAGGAGGAACGATAATGCTACGGCAGAACGCTCGAAGGGAGGGAGGTTGATGTGGGTTGAGGGTTGGACGAGGAGCAATGAAGCACTGTTGTGCAAAGAAAGGTTGGAATAGTAGTTGACGCGACTGAATGAAATCAGCAACACGTTGGGATACAATAGGATGGCGAGCGAATTGGAAGGAAGGACGAACACGAAGCACCTGATGATCAATATCTAACTGGAAAACCTCGCTTACAAGAAGCTTTCTGGCAACGTCAGAGCCATCTAAAAGAAGATTCGGTGGTATAAAGCTAGAAGAATATAAATTGTTAATAGTAGGAGGAGAATGTAAAAGTATTTCATAAAGAGGGAGTGAGTAGCAAGTAATAGCATCAACATATAAGTTACGACGTTCTGACATCTGAAAGATGGACAAGCAGGACTGAAGATTAGTGATTGGATTGAGATAAGTATTGCGACGGGATGGACTTTGAGGAAACCACAACCGATGGCGAGCATGCCGAAACAAGAGGTAGTAAAAGAAATGAGAGAAGACGGTGGAGGAGTAGCACCAAGAAAGAGTATAAGTTAAGACAGGAAGCGAAGGAGTGTTGTACTTGGAGAAGGCCGGAGAGTCAAGATATTGAAGCAATAGAGGGCACACCCAGTACCATTGCAGAGCTTGTTGTTGAGAGAGAGGATCTAGGAGCCCCAAACCACCGGCAGAGCGAGGTAAAGAGAGAGTAGCAAAAGAGAGTCTAGGGAATATACGAAAATTAATGAAGGCGGTACCCAGGCTTCGTAAAGAGAGCAACTGGGCCTTGGTAAATGTTGTGAGTCGTAAAACATGCCATAATTTGGAATAAATGAGTGAATTGAGAATGGTGACCCGGCCACGGATAGAGATATTGCGTTGGGAGTGGATAGCAATAGCGTTACGGATGGAGTCATACAGTTTTTGAAAGGCAACATTGCGTTGAGTAATGCTGGAACAAATTGGATAACCGAGATAAATGAGTGGAGTGGTGGATGTGCGATCATGCCAAGCGGTGATGCCATAAGATGAGAGCAGGGCTTGCCAAGTTGTTGATGGTTTACCTGAAAGAGATGTAGCTACTGTTTTGTGATAATTCAATAATGCGTTAGAAGCTTTCATGTAAGTAGTGATGGCAGCCTGCAAACGATGGAAATCGTGCGTGTCGCGAAGATACACCAAAGTATCATCCGCATAGGCAAGGATTTTGACCGCCAGAGGCGCAGTTGTAGAAGAAGCTGAAGAAGTTGAACCATCGGGAACAATGGGCGGGTCAGCAGCATCAGAAAACAGTTGTTGCATAGAATCTGAAATAACATCAGATTGGGTATCATTAGAAGGGGGAGGAGCTTCAGTGTGTAGGTTGAAACCCTTGTATTGAGGGTCTTGGTGAATTGATCGAAGGAATGGATCAAATGCGATATTAAACAGTAGTGGCGAGATGGGATCTCCTTGTCGAATACCACGTTGTTGGGTGATATAATCAGTCGAGATATGTCCATTGATGTTGATGTGAATTTGTGTCGAAAAAAAGAGAGTTAGTAAGGAATGAATAATATTAGTAGGCATGTTAAAACGTTGCATCACAGCACGAAGATAATCAGGATGAATGCGATCGTAAGCCTTCTCTTGATCCAAGAGAAGTGCAATACTGTCAGAGGATGTTTCAGCGGCAATGAGGCGAGTGTTGTGGAGGATCATACCATTGTCACCGATGAAGCGACCAGGCATGAATCCTGATTGTTGAGGACATATGATTTTGTTCATAAAAGGCATAAGACGTTGGTTGAGAAGTCGGGTAAATATCTTGGCATCGCAACATATCAATGATAGAGGTCGCCAATTCTTGAGGTTGGATAGGTCGCCGGATTTGGGTAGTAAACAGATGCAGGTTTGCAACCAGCTGGAGGGAAAGATACCCAAGTTGAGAGCATCATTAAATACCTGAACAGAGAGTTTGGCAGCCTTCGGGTGGTTGAAAATCACGTTGAGAATGGGATAAGGTAAACCGTCGATGCCAGGACTGGATTGGAACTTGGTACGATGAGTACCAGTCAATAAGTCGGCATAGGTGAAAGGTTGCTGAAGAATAGTATGAGCATCATCCGGGATGGTGTCAGAGTCAGGGATCGTGTTGCACAGGGACTCGATGCTCGCGATATCGACCGGATCACTGGAATACAACGTGTCATAGAAACTAGAAGCAGCTGTCTGCATCGAAAGAGGATCAGTACATAATGTGTTACTAACTGGATGGAGGAGGCTAGTAATCGCCTGTTTAGCGGCATGAGTGGCAATAGTTCGCTTAAGGTAACCGGCAGAGGTTTCCCCCTTTTCACGCCAATGTTTACCTGCCCGCAATCGTAGGTTCGTAGCAATTTCACGTTGAAGCATACCAATTTGCTTTTCAACGGTGTGTAGTAGTTGTGTCCGGGTACGAGGATCCGAGTATTGACGACATATTCGGTTGCGCTTGCGTTGTAGGCGCCGGTGTTGGCGTTCCAAGGCATTGCTGCGAGCACGACTTACCCGACGAGCGATATCCTGAACTAGAGCTTTAAGAGCATCCCAATTGTCTTGCGGAGAGGCAGGCAAAATGGAGGCGGCGGCATCTATGGAAGCGGTAATCTCCACGGTAGTGAAAAATTCATCTAAAGCTGTAAACAGTTGATCCGTGAAATATTGATTAGTTGCTAGATTGGGGTTAGCTCGCCATAGACCTGATCCCTGACGATCCGACGAAAAGACAAACCGTGCCCGGAGAAGGGCATGATCGGTCCAGGAGGAATCAAGGAACTCAATGTCAGAAGAGTGTAGGTGTTGGAATAAGAAAGCAGAAGCGTACAGGTAATCGATAGTAGATTGACCGTTCTGTCTGCGATATGTTGGTAACAGAGGGCCTTCTTCCCGCGAATGTGTACATTCAAAGAAGTGCGTATTGAGAATCTGATGGAAGTGTCGGTGAAGGGCAGCTCCTGAAGTAATATTGTTAGTAT